TTTGCTTTTTAGCAGCGTCAATGAAAACTGTCTAAAACCAATTTGTTCTTTTTAACCCTTTATCTCCTGAAAACCTACGAGGAGTAATTCAAACTCTTTTTGTCAACTGAGTGTTTTCTGTCATATTTTAGGCCTGATTAAAAAGCCTGATTGTGCTCTGGATATTCACGGCCAGAAATTTGACCACACAAACCAACTTTGCAGTGCAGTAAGCAATGCTGTAAACATCTTTCTTATTTTAGTATTTTGCATTTCTGAATTTTTTCTTGTTCTGCAATCTTTTATCGCCCGTCTTTGAGTCGTTGGGTTATATTTTGGGAGATTTGGCTGCAAATGTTGCCCTCTGTAGCTCGATGTGCTAGCTGTGGAGAATATCAACAAGACTTCAGACATCTTTCTGGGAACTGAGTGTCTGTAGGAGGAGGGGGGTGTAGAGGTTGAGTGCTGGCTGTATAATAACCATTATTCAGCTGAGATGGCTATCCGGAGAGGGCTATCAGTGCTGGGGCCAGAGACACTGTGATTAGATTTCCCCCGTGTTGCTATTCTTCTTCTGTCCCTTGATCTTTCTGTGCCACTGTTCTCCTTTTGTATATTACTCAAACAGTTCAACAAGAATCTTACTGGTCATAGAACTGATGGCATGTCACAGAGAGATGTATTGAAGAGATGAGAGTTCAGGTTTCTTTCAAAGTTTAATTTGCTTTGGTCAGAAGCTGTGTCTTTGGAAATGTTCTATTATCAAAATTTACCAACTGTCAATTCCAGATGACAGAATTCAACAGCTGTTTTTCACATCCTTTACTCTGCGTGTTGTTCAAAACCCAATAAACAAATTGCTCTGTTGACCAAATGGACTTTACTCCATTTGTACCGCATCTGTATTTTATAAACACCCTCTCAGCACAGGCCCCTTGTTAATGTGAACAGTTGTGGCTGCAAAACAGGTGCAGAGCAAATGAAACTGCATTGTTGAGAGTCTGAGCAGCTGGGTCTGCCTATTAGTTAAAGATCTAATTTTTCAGACTCCAGTGTGTGGCTTTCAAAGAGTGCGCCAATGTTTTTCCATCCACATCCACTTTCATCCACTTCCGCTGTCTTTATTATCCCATTTCTTTGCGACTTCTTCGACACACACATGTCCCTTTCTCTCCCATTCTCTCGCTCCTCCCTTCCTTTCCTCTCACTCTGCCTTGCTCCCTCTGTGGTATCAATGCACGGGGCTGCTTAAAGCCTGTGTCTCTATGCTGTGGCGGTGGGTAATCAGTTAACCTCATTATGCTGCTGATGAAATTAAATCATTGCAGTAAGTGAAAATAATAATATGAGTAATAGGTGCGGGGTATGGTGGAACACCCCATGGCATTTGCTGCAGTCCCAGCCAGTCAAGATTTACCTCTCTCTTTCTCTCTCTCTCTCTCTTGCTGTAGCGAGCCATCGGTGGAAGATAACCGATGGCTCGGAGAAAAAAAGGGAGCTTTCAAACCACCGATGTTGACATCAGTTAAAAAGTCATATGTAATGTAATATGTCAGCATCCATATGCATATCAATATGCTGACCACCAGCCAGCTTTTGAGCTGCCAGGTGCCTGTTTGGTTTAGGTTTGGTTAAGGTCCTGAAAATTATAAATGTGTATTACACTGCATGGATAACACAGCTGTACTTTGCACTGCCTACAAAATGGCAGAGTGAGTTCTAAGGTTATACATTACCTTTTCAGCAAGACTGCTCATTTATCAGTCTATTATATGTTCCCTTTGCCCTAAAAATAGTGAAAGCCAAACCAAATGGCCATCAAATCACATTTCTGCGTCTAGTGCAGGTACCTGGTTCGGTATTTATTTATATATTTAGTTTAAGAGATGGTTTGGTAGCAGTGAGCAGTCAGTGGAAATGAGATTAGTCGGGGGACTTATGTGAGTCTAAAGGACAGACCTTTTGGAAGGCTGCAGTTAGCATGGTGGAAAGCAGAACGCAACAGCAGGCGTGAGTCTGCAGATTAACAGCCGGGCGGTGGCTAAGCTAACCAGAGGCTGATTAAAGGCTTTGCACCTGTCACTTGCATAATGATATTAAGTGGTGAAGCAAAATTAAAGACAATTATGGATAATGATGGCATTCAAAAAAAAAAAGCAAACCACAGACAGGCTACCTATCCCTGCCCAGCTCATTATGAGAGCCAAGCTGCACAAACCATATACACTGTCCTTTTATAACTATGGATTAAACTAATGAACACAAGCAGCATGGAATGTTTGCACTGTAGTTCTTTTAGGCAAGCATTGTGCTGTCGTAAAGAAGATGCTTTGCAGTTGGAGCGATGGTTAAAGTACGTCTCCAGGAAATGATTGAGTTAATATAAAGTGTTCTGAAGTTGTGCTTGTGTAGTAAAAGACTGAATTTATATTTGAAAATTCTTGCCAAAATGCGGGGTGTAACAGCAAAGTGTGTCTCGTAGCACTCTGCGAGGCTGTAAGGTGATTACTGGCCTAACTGACAAAGGTTGCTTTCAGCAAAACAAGAAAAGAAAAAGAAGGAAAAAGAAAACAGCAACATTATCGTTGAATAATGCATGTGTGTTGATTCCATTTGGCTTGAGAAGATCTGTCATTTCAGACGGCATACGTCATAGAAGAGTAATTGCTGTGCCATTATGGAGGACTAGCCCTTTGGGAATTCTAGGATACTATCATCCCGTGTCATTGGTTTCCTTCTACCCTTCACAGTCAGGCTGGCTAACCCTAAAGTAACACTCCCTCGATGAGTGATCTATTTATTTTTGCATGGCCGCCTTTATTGACAGAGTCTGTAAGCTTCAGGGGAAAAGATGTTATCAGACTCTATTCCAGGGGAAGCGAGCAACCAAAATATAAGCCTTTTTTTTCTCCAGGAAAGGCTGCCGATGCTGTATCAGGTCAGAGCAGCTAGAACGATAGCACGATCTCTCAGAGAATCCGCTATCCCTGCTTCTTGTTTACTGCTGTTTTCTGTCCTCCCTCGCTTCTCTGTGCACATTCACTCTTGTCTAATAGTGCATGTTTTCAGTTTCATAAATGCTGTCTGTCTAGGTTTCATTCTACACTTTTCACACTGTAAAGACGTAGTTAGCGCAATGTACCGTAAAGATCCAGCAACGTCAAAGGCATCAGATGTAACACGCAGAGAGCAAGGTAGACCTGCTCTTTACAGATATCATTGTCCAAGAGGCAGAACAAGCTGGAGAAATGCTGAAGTGCAGCACATTTTATGGTATACATGGATCATTGACACGCAGAAGATGCTGCATGTGAGAACACGTTCCTATGTCTTTGCTAAGTGATGTGGCTTGCTTTTTGAGCTCTAGAGATTATATGGGGTGATCATCAATAACTGATGGAGAGACTGTGAAAGCATGAAAGGATGTAAATGCCCGCATTTTTTTAAACCGATCACTGAAATATTTATTTTGCTTGACCGACGTCAGCCTTAGTTTAACCGGCTTTGATTTGGGACCCTCTAGTTCTTCTTTTTGTTTTTTCAGATTGTCTGAAGATTCAATATTTCATTTCTAAATGTGAATGCACACTCTCCATATCTCCCTACATAGTGTGTCATATAAATCCATAAAATAAGCGTATGTATTTCAGTTTCTTTTATGTGGCAATTTTACCAATTAAAGCTAAAACAATTCATTATGAAAGCTACGTGAATCAATAATATTCATTATCTTGAAATTCCTGCTGCCTTTTGATTTGAAATGCTTAACTGTGATGACTTAAAAATGTGACAGTAGTGGTTGTGAAAATGAAATATGCCTCGGTCCTGTTAAGGTTTTTAAGGGAGTCCCACCATGATATCACTTGCAAATGGAAAATAAATAATAGCTTTTTATGACTGTCCTTTAAAGGCAGATAGTCAGAGTCTGTGACTCAAGCTGCTCCCCTAATTTCCCTTGATTTAGTGCTCGCAAAATATCCGTGAGACCACCACAGTGTCTGCAAAGTGAACATGAGGTCATCGGCTTGCCGAATGAAAAGCGAGCTAAGTCAGTCAATCTTCTCCAATTTGGGATGTGGCTTTACTCTTCTGAATCATATTACAGCTTAGGGTACTTCCCCCTCAGCTCTCATCAAAAGAGAATTACTCACTACCCTGCTCGAGTCCGGGTAGAGGTCAGGGGATTTGACCCATGAGACTAATTGCCCTACGAGAGCATGGAGCCTGCATCAGAACGACGATGACAATGAAGAACACTAGATTGTCATGTGTTTAAAGTGAAATAATTACTCAATGGTGCGTGATTATTAGCTGTAAGGATACCACAGCGTTCGTGTGTCTGAATAACAGTCACTGATTAGTGTGATGGCACTTAAATTATCGTGATAATAACGGCAAATATGTTCAACTGTAACTGCCGAACTCATGCACATTTAATGCAGATCTGTCAAATCTGATCAGTTACATCTCTCTGCAGACTTTTTTAATTCCACAGTGGCCATTTTGACTTGTCACAGTAGGGAAAGCACTGGTGCATTAATGATGGCTGAGGGGAGAGGCTCTACTTTTGCAGATGCTGGTTCGCTGTATTTGCTTACTGGCATTCTTCGTGGAACTGCGTCACAGTAGTTCCCTACTGTGACATGTCAAAATGTCAGCCATGAAAAGCGTCTGTTGGTGTCAAGTATGGGCATTTGGGTTGATAGTGTGGCTCAGATGAACAAATGTCTAAGATTTTCTGCTTAAATAATATGAAATTGGTCCACAATGGTTAAAAAAAAACTATAGAAAGTCTATAGTAAAAGGAGGACTTGTAACCATGGCAACCTAGTGGGTAGCACATTCAGAGAGTTCTAAAGATAAACACAAAATATTCTTAAATCTTGTGGCCTTAACCTAGCCAAAGAGTGAGCCAAATCTTTACTTAAACTTGAAATCTAAACGTAAAAATGAAATCTATTAATAAGCGAATGAAATAACCTCAGAGGACTCACGTGCACTCTCCTGCTCTTTTTTTACAGAGGACCTTCTTCCACCAGGCTTCCCTAACATTGACATGGGGCCTCAGCTCAAAGTAGTGGAGCGCACTCGAACAGCCACCATGCTCTGCGCCGCCAGTGGCAACCCTGACCCGGAAATCACTTGGTACAAAGACTTCCTGCCGATTGACCCCACTGCAAGTAATGGGCGAATCAAACAGTTACGCTCAGGTAAGGAAAGCTAAAGCATTGTATTGCTGCTCTGGTTCCTTCTTACTAATGTGAGCCCTCGTTTAATTTCCCAGAACATTTTCGACGACACGTAACATTGATGTTTTTGCTGTTTTGTGTAAGCTAATGTATGTGTAATGCCCAGTATTTCCTTTTCTGAAGTCAATTATTTTCTCAAAGTGCCACTGAGAACACATGTTCATTTCTCTAGTTTGGGAATGCTAATTATTTCAACAGCCTTTACTTTAATCTGTGACTCGAGAATTCATTCAGCTCTAAATGTATAATCATTACATTGTGCTAAATGTTATGCTAAACAAATGAAAATCACCCAAAAAGGTTTTTTAAATGTGTTGGATGTTGGTCTAATAAATGGAGAAGAGGCACAAAGTTTTAAAGTAAAGCACACAAGCTCTTGTACATGTTAATATAACTGTTGGTCATCATCCAGTAGCTGGTGAGGGAGATGATGTTTTAGAGTGTAACAATGTAGAATGAGGTCAAAGGATTCACAACAACTGTGTCAGGACACAATAAGAGCAAGGTCCATCTTCTACACACTCAGTGGTGGATATGTTGTCTTGTTCCCATTGATTAAACCCCACTGAGAGGCCCAGTAAAGCAAAGTCTAATTATATAGCTAATTAAGTGCAGGCCCGCAGGTGGCTCAGGGCAACAAGGGGTAGATATTTTAGGTCGATGATTTGTCACCATTCGAAAAATCCAGTGACTTGTTTGTGTTGTTGTTGCGAATGTATATCTGGGTAGACGACACTAAATAAAGAGTGTGTTGTCATTCACTTCCTGTCCTAGTTGTGGTCCTCGAGAGCTATGTACACAAAGTAATCAATTGGTCAACTAGCTATTCATGCTGTACCTTACAGAGCAAGTTCACAGTTCTGTATTTTTTATTGGTTCCTCTTTAAATTATTAGTGTCTTCAATTTTGAAGCAGATTGAATTTTAGAATTTTTTAAATTTCAAATTGAGTCCATGCCTTGTCTTGTAATTTCATTACATTCTTGCAGGGTTTTTTATTTTTTCTTATTGGTCACTCACTAGACTCCTGTGCAACTGTTGACAAGGATATAAATCATGTGAAACATGGGCTATATTTAGTACCAAGTATTGGTACAAGCACTGCCCCTCCTGCTGCATAAAAGCCAAATTTTTATGATGATGTATTTATGTCATGAAATTCTTTTTAAATATGTAAGTTAAATTTCATGCCATGAGTTGCTATATTTTTTTTTACATTCCAGATATTCAAATTAAGCAGTAACAAATAGAAATGTGCACTGAAAGATTTAATTGCACAGTTACGATCACATTTTGAATTATTGTTGTTTGTTTCTCACGAGTATCCGGCAAGGGTAGGGTTTTTTTTTTCTCTCCACCAGTATTTTCTTTAGTCATACTGTATTATACTCCTGTCGAGGGCCAGCTTCTCTCAAAAAAAATTTCAATTACCTAGTAACCTTGTTAACATGGCTTTTTGAGATTTGTGCCTCTCTGGATAATCCACAGAGAAATTCAGCTTGGCGTCTATTGTCTAATCTCTGTACCATCTGTCTTTATTTGTTTCATGATTTTTCAATTGTCTTTGTTTGTCCTGTTTAACTGAAACAGAGCTGTTTACTCGTCATTGTTTTTCTGAATGTTTTGTCCATATTTGTGTCTGAAACTCAGATGTGCGTCTGTCCACATCGCAGAGTCTTCAACACGTTTTATGTCATTTTGACCTTTAACACAATTAAAAAGCCCCAACGAGAAACAAAATCACAAGCCAATTAAAAAATGGAAAATTGCACTAATTGTGATATTTTACAACTAAAAATAAAATAACATAACTTTTTCATAATAAAAAAGAAATCCTCTAAATGTGTTCATAAATTATAAATAAAATGCACTGTGATTACATCTCACTGTAATAAAAACTGCTAACAATGCTGTGGTGGGACAAAACACCAAACCAAACTTTAGCCCTTGGAAAGTCACATTGAACCTTATCTTAAATAAACTATGTTCTTTTCTTTTCCTATTTATCTGTTCTTTCTTTGCTATTTTCAGAAACCTTTGGTAAGTGTCTTGCAAAGCTCAGCAAACCAGCCCACTGTCCTTGAAGCACATGGCATATTTATACTACTGTCCAGAATGCATGATTTCGCTGCTCCTCCTCCACCCTTTCCCTCCAATTCCACGTTCCCTATTTTTTCTTTCTGTATAGCCTTCATTTTTCTTTACCCTACTCCTCTTGGTTTCAACTATATATTCTTTCACCTCAATACTACAACTGGATTTATAGTAGAAAGACACAGAATGTGTTGAGGAAGCATCATGATTCACCTAGCAGCATATTTTCTTAAGCAGCAAGTCTTTTGAGGTAGCGTCATACTTCATAATAAAGGTAACATGCATGGTAGGTCGTATAAACAGTCCAATTTGGACCCTGTCCACATTATTTTAGTACATGTATCCATGGGATTCCAAGATTACCTCAGAAGTAACGGTATATGAAGTTACCTTTAAGATTTATCCCATTTACAGCAAGACAAGAGGCCCTAAGTAAATAACTGGAATCCAACGCAGTCATTTCTTTGCAGCCTGAAGCATTTCTGGGCTTCTTAAAGGGATATATAGCAGGCACGTTTCTCCAGCAATGCACATTGCTTACTGATTTATCTAACCTGTTTTACTTGAACCTCTGTGCTTACAATAAAGCATTGCTTCAAAAGCATTCCTTGAAGGTGCAGCGAGTACTGTCAGGGGCTTGAATTCTTAAACATCAGTGCAGAACTTCTGGAATGCGTATTCCAACCCTAACTGGTGCTGCGTAAACCCTCTGGTCTTGGCCAAATATTTTGTCAGGAGAGCATTCTTCTTCTCTTGCCAGATTGGCCCTCTGCTTCACTACTTAACAAATGTCTTGCTCAGACTTTATTGCCCAGACTAGAGGCCAACTGATAGCCTCCTGACTTACGAAATATTTGCAAAAGATATACCCAGTCACTTCAAGCTGGATGTGTTTTACAGAAATTTCAAACTATACGTGCAAAAAGGAGGGGAGACAAGGAAATTACTTTCCCTTTTTTCAGTACCATAGCTCTTATAAGGTTATGTTAGCTTTGGGGGCTTGCTTTTATTCTATAGCTCTTCTGCTGGAAAGCTCAGCAGTCAGACAGGATTTATGGTGATTTATGGCTTGAGCCCCCTAGGCTGCCATCTTCTCATCCCCTTAGCTCTTCTAGTAGCCATCTTTGGTCCCTAATAACTTTTTCTTTTTTGCATTTATAAATGCACTTAAGAAATCCCCAAAACAGAAAACATGTGACAGCCTCAGCCTCCCCTCCAACTTCTTCTGATGTGCTGATCACTGTTGACAGTTTCTGGGGCCTCTCTGTTTGCATCAGGCACACTCTCAAGCCTGGGGGGGGGGGTAACTCTGGTGGGCCCTCTGCCATAAACGGTGGTTAAAGGGGAAAAGGAAGGGGAGAGAAGCAGGAGAAAGGAGACCATGGAAAGTGAGCCAAAGTCCATCATTTCAAAAACTTTCCCAGCTTCCAGCTTCTGCAAAGAATCTATATTTCCTTCTATTTGGCCTTCATCTTTAAATCATGAAATGTGAATGTTGATTTAAAGTGTTTGCGCTCCCAAAAAAAGGAAAAGATACGGAAAGACGGAAATAGCATCACCACTTGGATGTATTACCGTTGTTTCCAACATAGCTGATTAGCTGACAGACTGGTTCCTTATGTTCCAGTCCCTGCTTTGCTGTCAGAAGCGATATTTGCATCAGGGTTTCCAGAGGACCTCCTACAGAGGTGTGTAGGGAGCTTGACATTTCTTCTTATCTTCCTATGTCTCCAGACCTCAGGCCCTCCCTAGCCTTGTCAGCCAGAACAGATTAACTGCGGGGCACAATGACAGTAAGAGGATGGGCAAAAGTGTTCTAAAGATTTATGTCCTTCCTATAATAAAGGCTCAAAATCAGGACCGTGACATTAGATGGCACTTTTAAGCATATATTGAGCTTAGTTAGAGTTGCATGTAACAGGTAAACATTCAAATCCAGTGTCATCAAAGCTGCTGTGAAGAGAGTGGCTCGAACCTCTGCAGGGGTCGTAACAACAGCTAGGTTTTCCCTCCGGCCTGCTGTGACACCACCAGGATCCGAGGCTAGTGTCTGTGGTGACGAGAAGGTCAGCCAGACGCCCTCTTGAGGGTGGCCAGACTCTGACACTCTGCCAAACACGCAACCCTATTTGCCCCCCCACACAGATGTGTAACATCTCTGGCCAGAGACAATCTGGCCATCTGGTTACAGACTTTAATAATTTTTGAAAAAGATATTCAGAGGATTGTTTAACAAAACAGCTGGGGTGTTCTGTGGAAAAAAATAATGCCACATTTGATAATATGAGGAAGACAGCGGCATGTTGAGATATATTTAGGTCATTGTCACCCTAATCTGATCAACCCCTGGCTGACCAAAGCTTAGATGGGAAGCTTATGGCCATTAGGTTGCATGCCCGTAATACAGGTGGATTTGCCGTTGTAATTGAATATTGGCTGGCCTTGTGGACCCAGCCTGCCTGGCCTTCCTCAACAAAGTTTTAGATTTTCATTCTCATGCCTTTTTATATTCACAAATTAGAAATTGCAAACCACTACAAACCAAAGAATCGCATTTGTTTTCACTCTGTGTGTATTTGTTTCTCCTTTATCCACCATCCTCCTCATTTAACTTATTGTTTTCATCTCCTTCTCAGTTTTTTGTCACACTGGCCTTCATAAGATCCTCCCCTTTTTAAACCTGCTTTATTAACCTTAACCTTACTCTAACCTTAACCTAACTTTGACCTTAACCTCTAACCTTCAACTAGTAACCTCTTAACTCCCGACTAAAATCCATCTGAGCTAAAGCAAGATAAACCAGCTTCCTGCAGCCTCTAATCAAACTCTAACTTTATAACAACGTAACCTTCCCAGCCCCATTTTCCTTTGTCTTGTGATCACCTATATTTATATGGTCTCCAGAGTTATTGCAGAAATGAATAAATTGTCACTTTGATTTTGCCTGGTTTTTCAATGACTCTTAAGTGATCACCGTGGCACAGTAACACTGTTTGTGGCTACAAAACGTTGAGTCTTTACAGACTAGGCAAATCTAGAACATAAGAGATACCCTGATTTTCCACTTTAATCACAATGTGAATAAATGTAGCAATAAATTAAACTCCAGTACAGTAAATGTCAACAAATGCTTATGTTAAAAACATAAATGTAAACTTTTTGATGTAGAAATATATAACATAGTCCAATAGAGCAAAAAGGAGCATTGTAAACCAGGCAGAACTTCAAACTCAGTGACTGAATCCTAATTGCTGGTATCACGAAAGATGGCACAAAAATGTAATAATCTGACCGGAAGGTGCTGAACATTTTCACACCCCTCGTTGCACTGTAAAAAGTATGGAAAATGCAGGGCTGAGATTATATTTTTAAAAAATCCAACAGATTTATAAAACTATGTGTGCATTTCAAAATCAACAGAAACAGTTCCAGTTTCACTGCAGTTTCACTGTCAGCTTAATAAAGCTATAAATATGCCTGATTCTGTTTTATATGCCTTAGTCATTGTGCAGCCCCACAACCATCACTTTGTAATCAAGCTTCTTCCACTACTCATTAGACCTGTCAGTAACAGTGGTGGGAAAAACAAGGTGTAGTTAAACAGACCCTCATGATGTCAACATATAACAGTCCAAAAGCAGAACAAGTGTCCATAACACTGCCGAGGAAAAATGTCACACTCGGGAAAATATCATCAAAACTTACTTAAACAGATCCTCTGTATTTTCTCTGGGCAGTATGCATGACTGCATGCCTATACATGGGCCAAACCTCAAATGTTAGGCTCAGTGGATAGTGAGAACCCTTGATCCTTAGCCCTGTGGGTGCAGGCAGTCTATGCCAAGTAGGAATAACCAAGGGCACATTGTTGCCATGAGTCATCCTTTGATTTTAAAAATGCAGACTAAGAGAGAAGCAATACACACACAAAAGCAAACAAACTCTAAAACTGGGTGAAAGAGAGAAAATTAATAGAGCCGCTAAAGCAAGAAAACAAAAAGGAATTATAAAAAACAGTCAAGAGTGGAAGGACAGTTTAATTTGAATTTGAAGGGGTTTAAGTTAAGCTGGCTCCCCTTCCCACACCCAAAGCTGTGCCTGTAAGGGAAGCATTTTACAATGCAACATTTCAAACTACACTTAAAAAGCCCACCGGCCAGTGACTGGATAAGCTCAATATTTTATTGTCCCTAATGGGACATTTGGCTTGCAGTCAGCCACGTAACACAATACAGCCTCACAATAAACAAAGATAGAGAAACATACAACTCGCAGTGAAATGAAACAATTGGAAAAAGCAGGGAGATTGAATGACTGGGGATATGGGATGAAACTTGAGGTAAAGAGCCTATCTGTCACAGTTAAACAGGTTTATGACTTGTAGGATAAATAAGAACTTCAGCCTGTGTGATTTAACTTGCGGTTGCCTGAAGGCACAACCTGAAATTCTTGCTCAGTGGAGATTCTTCCTCCGCTTTTAACATGTTAAGGTTCAATGCTAATGTGGATGCTCAGTACTGAATAGTTGCAGTTTTTACGGACACCTTGTTCAAGTTCAGCTGGCTGGAAAAACGCCGCAGGAGCATAACTTGTCAACCTAAGAAACCAAACCTCTCGTGCTTGCCTCATCACCCTAAGTTACAGCCACGACCGAAGGCCAAAAAGACAGCAGTAGGTTAGCGCGATAAAACTCCCCATTGTTTTGTGATACCGGCAGTTAGATTGTTCTTTTTCTTTTAGCCCCCTTATATGTACAAGATTACCCAATGGTTTAATCGCCAAGTTTGAGTGACCCATCTAACCCAAACACCTCCTCTAACTATTACTAATATTAACCTTGAACTTCACTGATGTTGTGTCTTCATTTTTGTGTCTCCTCCAGTGGGTACCCCGATTCGAGGTAAGATGCTTAACCATCACGATAAAAACAGGAGAAAAATAAAAGACTTTAACTGACACATAATCAAATATAACCACTTCTAATTCCGCCAAAGTGAATAAATATGGGAAATAATCAGGGCTTTCCTGGTTTTAAAAAAAATTACAACCGTTTTCTCTTCCCGCTGTCATTAAGACCCCATTTGTGTTCGTGTTCTGTGTCACATTCGTCATGTATGTTTGATACTCCCATGTTTAATGTCAACACTGATGTGCTATTCTTCCACCTGTGTGTGTGTGTCAGTGTGTTCTGTGTTTGTATCTTCCTGTTAATATTAAAAATCAGGAAACTTTAGATTAAAAGAGCAAACAGATGAATGGTGAGGCCTGTGAGCTCTGCTAGGAGTTGTGTTGGTTTTCCTTTAGTTTTTTTTACCTCTGACAATAAAGTTTTAGGTCATCAACAAGTTCATGGCAGAATGGTTGTTAAAAACAGTTTTTTCCTCCAGCCCTGCTTTGATATCCTCCTCATTTGTGCATAAACTGCAAGGACGCTAACCTCATCTTATATTTGAATGCACCTCCCTGAAAAAGATAAGATATCAGGGGCAGCAAAAGTTACAAAAGTTGCTTTAATTCCCTCATGTTACTCTACGGGATATAAACCTATAACTGCAAATTTAGGAAGGCTGCTGAGAAAATGCCAGCATGGGCATCCTTTTAACATACAAAAGAACTGCTTTTATAACTTCAGAGGATGAATAGACGAATGGAAGGATATCAAGGTAAGAATGGAAGGACACAGGTGTGAAGCGGTGTGACTCCTGTGAATTACACAAAGGCTTTGTTCAAATAATTCTTCTTCTCCCCTCATTTTTCCCCCCGGACATTTTAACTTTCCTTTGTAATTATCTATCCCACTTTATAACTGAAACATTCAGTCTCGGTTGATTCAGCGGGGTTGTTGTTAAACGCTTTTGTTCCACAGGCTGAGCAGGTGAGTGAATATCTCAGTTTCCCATGGTTGTCCATGTAAGCAAGGGGATGAATTCAGCTCGTGTTTTTGATTTATATATTTATTTATTCCCCTGAGTTCCCTGATGAAGATAAGTGGAAGAGCATGGATGGATGTATGGATGGATTTAGATGTTATGATAAATAAGGGGAAAACCCCACAGTAGGTCCAGAGGTCCTCCATCCTCAATCGTTTCACACAACCAGTGCATGGAAATATTTTAAACGGTACCATGTTGTCACACATATTAAAGCACATCACAAGAGTCGGCAGTCCAACACAGCAAATCCAAGCCCTCCCTGCATCTTCTCGGTTAATTAAGAAGGCCTCATAAATCATATTGTGACAAATGTAACTTGTGAACTCTGCATTTGCATAATGACTTAAGCAGCTTGAAAAAGACGATTTTTCACCCATTGCCAATACTGACCTGCTGTCAGGAGTGTATGCCGCATATGTAATTACAAAACAAATTGGGTAGGAGTTGGAGGTGGACTAAAATTATAATAGAAGACTGAGGCGTTTGAGAATGACATGTTCATATGGACCTATGAACATGCAGGTGTTCTGTGTACAGATCTTTAGTGAAAGCATTGTTGTCTCACTGCCGAGTCGTTTCTATTTCACTCTGTGATAGAGTTGATTCCCATAATTTACAATTTCAATTAATTTTAGTTCCATACGAAGCCGTGCAGGTGCCAGCCTTGAGGTAAGCGATCGCTGTATAGGTAGCTCTACTCCCTACCTGCTTCATTACTAATTTCACGGGAGCGTTACAAGCCACCAGATGGGCTCTGACAACAGTGGCAGCACACGTGGAGCCTCATGCTGGTGCGATCACAGCATAATGACCTTGGGGTGGTGGCAGAGCGTTGCGGAGTGACAGCCAGGACACAGACAGAGGGGAGAGACAGTGAGAAAATGGCAAGTCCAGACTTGGCTGCCATGTAGCGCTACTGGCTTCTTCATTTATGCAGTTATTAAAGCTGCGGGTACACAGCTGAAGTCTGTAACTTCCAGCGTGTTGTCATTTATAGCTGCAAACAGAATTGATGTCCCATAACTCAGCAGTTCTTTGTTAATTGTGCAGTTCTGTTTTCTGAAACAGCTGTTACAAAACTTAAATTAACCAGCAGTTTGTGAAAATGAAAAACAAAATTTTGGTTTGCTTTGGTTTGGTTTTTTTTGCTTTATACACCTCAGCCGCAAAAGGTTGATGGGGAATTATCGTCGGGTGGCCAGGCGAATAGTGTGGACACCCAAGGTTGTGAATGTGATAACAATAGGTACAGCTACTAAAAATCTCAAAAGATTTTGAACTCAGGGTCAGGTCAGAGGACAGCATTTCTGAAAAGCACCTAGGTTTTTCACATTTAAACCATAGGTGCATCTACTTGAGGGGTAGCACTGGCTACCCTTAGAATTTTTTTTTCAGGTGTGGCCTGAATACCTTTCTCAGTTATTAAACACATGTCTTTATGTGTTTGCACTTTTATATGGTAAGCATACAACATTTGAAAAAGCTGTCAGTAGAAACTGAGGCATTAATGTCAAGGTCGGCTGTGTGGCAGGCAGGATGAGGACCCAATCGCAAAACTCACGGACTCAAGGGATGAACTCAAAAGGCAGCTTTATTGCTGACAAGATGACAGGAAAATACAAAACTTAAACTGGGCACAAGAAACTAATACTTGGAGAGAGACACAGGGAAATCCACGCAGCATGAGGGAGACTACGACACAGAACTGAGGGAGACGCAGACATAAATACACAGAGGGTTAACGAGGGAAGTGGGAGCACACGGGGAACACAGCTGACACAGATAATCATAACGAGACAGGGCAGGAGTGAACACAACATGACGCATACTGACGAGAGACTGTCAAAGTAAAACAGGAAGTACAGAGGTTCAGACAGGAGGAGAGAGCACGGGGAGAACACAGACATAACAGGCTGGGGAAAACATGGAATAAAACACGAAAGGGGACAAGGGCTCATGAATACATAGAGGGGCACACAGGGGGTGAGAGTCACAAAGGGAAAGCACACAGGGAACCACATAACAGGGCAACTCAGGAAACAGAACCTAAACAGGGAACTGAATACAAAAACACAAGAGAACTAAGAATACTGGGCCAACACGGCCCAGGACCATGACAATTAAAGTTTTATTGGGATTGCAGTCTGCACTCTTCTGTGCATTCAGATGAGTTTAATGCATGTACTAGTGAGGTTATTGTGTTTGTGTGTCCGTTCATACAGTAAGGTGCTAATTTGGGGTGTTAGTGAGAGCTGGCCAGCCGTTTTGTTCACCGCCTAAACAAATCTATCAAATCCTGCTGGAGCACACTAATTGAATTACACAAATGGGACTTTGGGGGGGGGGGCACACATGGCAAAGCTGCTACAAAGCAGCGACTGGGGTGGGCAGACCACAGCTTTAGGCACTTTCTGAAATTAATCAACCATGCTGGCTCCTCCTCGCCCTCCTTTTATCCCCTCATCTGTCTTTTTGTTTTTCTATGCCTGTCTGTCTTTTTAACTCTTCCTCCCACCCTTCTTTTATTTTTATGGGGTTTTTGGGGGCTCTTTTTTTTCACTTCACCTCTCATAAAGGAGAATTTTGTTCCACTCATTTTCTCTTCTTTTCCACATCTCAGTTTGTGATTTTTTTTTTCCACCCAGTCTTCATATTTTTTACCATCAGACCTTGCCATTTGGTATGTTCTGTGCTTGTTAGCTACAAAAAAGGACAATGAAGTCTGTGAAACATCTGAATGGTCCCTGTCTGTGAATAAGATAGCTCTCTAACCTTGACTTCTAGACAAATCTAGTCTGCTTTTAAGTTATCGTTCTAAAATGATCAAAATTGGCATAAACTGAATAGGACAGCAAAATATATCTGCTTTTAACAGTTTCTCAGCAAGAGTGTTTGTCCCTGAATCAAAAACATGTGTTTGATGAACCTCGTCTAGGCAGTCTTCTTTGTTATCGCACCTTGGCACCTCAGTCCTCTTCTTCAGGTCAGCCTGCAGCATGTGGCACTTTTAACCAGGGCAGCCGTCACAGCTGGGACGAATGCTCCATTACAGCCTTCTTTATCAAATGAATGAAGGCAGTAAACTTGCTGCAAGACAGTCAGAGTGAGCAGCAGGGGAGGTTGGAGGTTGTGGGTCTTTGTGGTCACTCAGACTTAGAAGATCGATCAACCTGGATAACTGATGTCATTAGGAGACTTAGCCACTTTTTTCTCCTTAATGCTGACCTTAATAGTGTGCCATGCATTAATCACTGAGTAACAGACAGAAGGGTATCTTTTACTGCTCTGACCTAGTAAAACATGAATTATAACTCAGCAGAGGCAGTTTACTAATGATTATTGTAGCTGTTGAGCGGACAGCCGGAGCTCTTATCCATTCCCAGTACAGCTCACATAGTGTCCTTGAAAAGTCAAGTGTCCTTTTTAAATGTCCTTAAATTAGAGAGCAAAGAAATAAAGTGGTAACCACACAGTAGTTCTGTATTATGCTGGGCTGGAGTTAAAGTTGTGCACTTACAATATCTATTTATTTATCTATTGCTATGAAAAGTGGCATCACTCAAATGGTTAATCTGTATTCAGGACAGGACAAAACATTAAAAACAACATTTTTTTCTGTAGTAACTGGAACCGCAGCAGTGATAAACCTGCAAAAACTGATTTTGTAACTGGAGTAAAGTACGGTTTTTGTTTGCAGATAATATATAAAGTAAAAGTACCCATGGTTTTTGTTCATGCAGACATGATTAGGAGCAGATTAGCACTAACACGAGTATTTTCTTTTCTGAAAATAACCCTGTGATCTGTGTAGTTACAGCAGTTTTTATTTGTGATAAGGATTAATAGCTGGAGACAAGGAAGCCGTGGCATTAAGACCCCATATAGGATAAATTTAATAAGCATGTGAGCAACACTATAAATTGTTGTGTTTATCAGTAAACACCAAGTGTTTGAACAGACCCGGTGCGTGTTTTTCTTTGTGTTATGTTTGCGAAAGATAATTTTCAGCATTTATTTCATTTCCTGTGCCACTGGCCACTCGCACAACAGGCTGGCAGAGCAGACAGAGCGCATTATGCAAAACACAGAGCGCAGCCATTTAAAGAAACAACACACAAAAAGAGAAGTGATAGGAACAAAAAGACACGTGGGTCTTGGTTTCTTGTGTGCACACATGCATGCTGCAGCTCCAGATAGGTCATCAAAAACATTTGTTGTCTTTATACCTTAATATTATCTGGTCTTAGACTGCCTGCCTTGTCACTGGCCATTGCAAAAAAGTAATATTATTATTTTTTGCTTCCTCTTTATGTGGTGAGATAATTTAAATGAACTAAATCATTTACAAAAGAGCAAGCCATAGCTCAAGGAAAATGTATAGCAAAACGAACACGAAAAACTGTATTTAGCCCCGATTTTCAAAAGGCAAAGTCACAGAGTCAAACGGGGTTTTTAGTGTTTTCTTCCTAGAATTTTTAAGAAATACATTTTCTCAGAATCATGGGAGGCCTGGAGGCTATCCCAGCTGTAATAGAGCAAGTTATGACAACTTTAAGACAGAAGCTAATAAATAGTGTATATTCCCCCTTCTCTGACATTGTCCCTGTACATTTTTTTTTCTTTCGCTTCCTTTCCTTCATTTGCTTCTCTGCTTTCAAGCATCTTGTGCTTGCCTTTCTCTCCTCCCGAACTTTTTCTCCCATGTTCTGCAACTAGAAAGACTCTTTTGTGTGTTCTTCAGAGCTTCATATTGAAATAATAGCTCGAATGTGTAATGAAGCCAGTAGGGGCTTGGAAACAATAGATAATCCTACCTAGCATGGTGTCTTGGAGCAAATGAAACTCCCCATCTTCTCTCAAAGTGTATTTTTTCTCTCTTTGCACTCCCCTCTTTGCCAGAAAGTTGCAAACAACACCAAATGTTGTTAATAGTTGGCTCTCAGTGCATCATTGAGATATCGGTGGTCATATTTTGTTTACTGTCAAATTACACGTGATAGATTGATATTTATTTTTTACTAGAGGAAAATGATCAGTAGCCGCCGACAGCACGTGACATAGAACATCACTTGTTATTCAACCGTGTGGTAACAGTTAACAACGAGGGGCTTCCAGCGATTTTATAATTCAGCACAGTGAGTGAGGGTGACAAGCCGCTGGCAGAGCTTTCTGGAAGCGTCCACCTGGAGTTGAACTTCACACAGTCCTTACTTTGTGGTCTCCCTTGTGCCGAGGCACTCAGCTTCTGAGCACATTCCAACCCACCTGCCACCGCGCTGGCATTTGCTGTTCCAAGTGCACATCAAACAAATCCAAATCAGATGCTCGCATAAACCCACGGCGAAGACTGTGCCACCTGCACTCTGCAGGTAGATTTTTTTCATTTGGTTCACGAGCTGTGTGCCAGGAACAGTTTCCCCGTGAGGGATGAGGATGATCTGAGTTTTAGATTGAAATGAAGAGATGCTAAAAAGAAAAAACAAAAAATAGAGCGCCATAGATTGCTGTGGCTTCGTGTCTTTATTATTGTTTTGAAAAGCAAAAACTGACCCAAAGGTATAAAATAGTCATGAGGGAAAGTGAGTTATCTTTATAATTAAGCAGGATCAATGATCTCATTTGTGGCACAGCTGAAGCACCTTATTAGGCCAACGTTCCAGAATAGTAGCCTTGTTCAACACTGTGTTCAATCTACTTTGCTGATGTGATGGAGTAGGTTATGGTATATTACAAAGCATCCAGGGAAGCTGCTGGCATATTGATGCTTCCTGGCTAAACGTTAACGAGCAATGGTGCTGTGTTTGTCAGAGAGGCCTCGGCTGCAATCTGTCCGCTGAGCCAGCCAGAAGCCCTAATGATATCATCAGGAAGTGCCGTCAACAGCGCTCTAATGAGGAATGATCTGACGCCTGTTGTTTCACCTCCCTCCTTTGTCCCTTGCACCTTTTTCTTCAGTGTCGCCAGGCATTTCGGTTTACTGTATTTGCGCATAGTATATAAGAAGCACTGCCGGTGAGAAATAATGTCTGAAAGTAGCTCAAAGGCGTCTGTTTTCGAACGCATAATAATGACAATAAGCGAGAAAAGAATGGGGGTCAAAGAGAGTGGCACACAAAATAGAGTAAATGTATAAGCGATTAAAATGCTTAGGAATTCAAATAACTGAACAGCAATATTAAAACCTGAATATTAATAATAATAATGCTTTATTGTATGTATTCGTTTGCAAGGTTGTTTGAGCATTTGTCACAATTTTGATGAGTAGTTATCACATGATAGCAGATGGGCTGGAACGCTGTGGATGTGTGGACATTTTCTCATAAACTCTCCCCCTGCACCAGCGCACACACGCACACACACACTAACACACACACTCTCCTCTGGTGAGCGTTATGCAAAGGGTGATTTACTAATCTCATGGGGTTTACAAGACCATCTCAACACCCTTTCTCCATTACCTTTCAGCATCCTTACATCATTACTTTATTGCACTTTCTTTGTAAGCGATCTCACATCTTACACGAGTTGCATAAACCAGCCTACTGTAGCTACAAATCCAGTGTGACTGATTCAGTCCACATTTTTATTCATTTATTTCCCCCCTTCTTTTTAATCTGTGGATGGCTGAGTCTGGAGTGGAAGCCAGTTTGTCATGCCAATCTGCATAAGCATTGCGGAGAGAAGCAGATCTTGACAAAGTGGTCCTGAGAAATTCAAGATACCCACCATTAAGAAGATTGTCTGACTTCTTCATGCACTGTCACAGACAGATTGACTAATCATTTCCTCTCTGCTTCCTGTCTCTCTGTCTTTTTCCTTCTTTTTTTTCCTGCCTCTTTCCCTCCCCGTCTCGTCTTTGTTCAATGTCGTCGTTTTCCAGGTGCCTTGCAGATCGAGAACAGCGAGGAGACGGACCAGGGGAAGTACGAGTGTGTGGCGTCTAACGTGGAAGGCGTGCGCTACTCGTCCCCTGCTAACCTTTATGTGCGAGGTAGGGAGCAACCCGGTCAAAGAATCAGGCCAAGAAAACAAAACAAAACAGGAAGAATAATAAAGAAATAAAACATCTACCCATTCTAACTAAAATAACTTGACAGTGCAGCTCAGCCATAAATGGCATTACTGTTGAGCTTAACAAATGATAACTGCTTCCATTCTAGCCTAGTTGTATTTGCACCAAATGTATTTTGCAAAATAGTATTACCCAAGTAGTGTCAATATTTTAGCACTGATAGTATTGCCTGCCCGTAAATGTAATTTCATATGCACTGAAACTTCCAGATGTAAAACTATAATTGACCAACTAATGTTCTTCTCTGTTATGATGTTATGCTCCATTTTTTCTTTTAATGCCCTCCCCTACTCACTCGGAAGGAAATGTGTAGCACAACAAGCCGTATGTCTTTACTTTATCGGTTGTAAGACACCTTTTACCTGTAACTGTGTGCCCGATCAAATGTTTCCCGCGCTGTCAAAGTTGGAACCCAAAAAGAGTCCGGAAGGACGTCTTTTTGATTCGTTTTTTACAGGTAAAGGAGCACAACGGTAAGTCTGTCTTGATTGAGTGGCGAGGTATTATCGCCCGCCAATCAATACCTCAACCCCTCAGCCTTCTCTAGATTTGGAGGAGGAGAACTGAGTAGGCTGCTCTGTTTAAAAAGAAAAAAAGATTATAAATAGTATACACCCTCTATTTCTTTGTCATGCTGCTCTGGAGCATAAATCCATAGTATTCCCATGTTTCTTCTTTGGTGTATTATCTATAAAGGCTTTTACAGTCAGTAGTAATTTTGGCTGGAATGTTCGAGCAAAGCGAAGATATAAAAAACGATCAGTCACAGGGAACATAGAGTTTCATAGGAAACAGACAATGAAGACAAAAGCGTACTCTCCACCACTAATGCTAAATGACAATGGATCCCTGTTGAGGGAGCTTTAATAAATTGAAGCAGATGCATTTCCGACATGGTTTATTTATACTGTGCATATTAAATAAAAATGCCTCCGTATCTACTCAGTTTGTTCCCTCTGCTGTGTACCAAATAACTTTGTTCCCAATAAATAATTCACTACTCTGACATTATAAAATGGGTCAGGGAGCTGCTTTTTCATTATTATTGCTATTATCATACCCTGTGAAGTAGCAGCATAGGAAAGGGAAAAATTCCACTGTGAAGAGCTGAAGGTAAAAAAAAAGGGTTCATCAAGATTAGTTTCTGTTCTTGCCAGTGTTTATCCTGGAGGCGCATGCTGTCTCTTCTGTGATGCGGGCAATGTCAAGTAGCTATCCACCTTGCTAATACGTAGCATAGTAGGTGTTAAAAGGGTCATTGAAAATTCTAGTCAAGTACTCTACAGGCATCATTAAATACTGATGAATAATTATGGGAACACTTTGTTGACACAGCACTGGGATGTTCAGCAGCTCCTTTGGTCAAAACATATATATACATAAATATATATATTCCGTGATATCATTTCCAACAATTCATGCAGTCTCCATGAACACTGGCTCCATCAGCATGCCTTTAAAAGAGTACACAAGGGTCATAAATACTTAAGTACTTTCACGCTATGTAACACACTTGTTATGCTTTGATGGTGTCGACCTTTGTCTGTTTTCAGTTAACTTTTGTCAATCGATTCTTGATACTTGATGTTGACTATGTTTTGTTCACAAAGCAAAATGCACTTGAGATTAGCAGCTGCGGTAGGGACCAATTAAGAGCAGGAAATATATACATATATAAAAATCCTAAATTAAGACTGCAACCCGACTGAAGGCCCAACAACGGTGCTTCTGATTGGCTTCCAATGACATTTTTAGTGGGACTGCCTTAAACTGCAGCTGCTAATTTCATCCCAAACTGTGTCTTTTTTTTTTCTTCTTTTCAATCTCTCATTTGTTTTTTTTTCTCCTTTTTTGTTTTCTCTTGATTTTGTTTCCTTCTCTAATAAAAGCAAGTACGGCCGCAGCAGGAGCTTCTCCTCGTGGCTATAAGAAGCTTATGAAATTCTGAATTATGAGAATGGAAAGCTTGATGTGACTCCAGTGGCGCCTCACTTCCTTTTTTTTTCTTACCAGGCGACAGTGCGGCCACTGGGGTGAATCTGATTGTTTTGGTTCAAGTTTATTTACGGGGGTGGGGCAGGCAAGTGTACTTTCAAGACGGGTTTCACTGATAGCGGGGAAAGGGAAAAGGAGTGGAAAAAAGATGAAAGAAAAGGGAAATGTAGCTGCAGCTAAACACCTTGAGGTGGCTTTTTTTACTCTCTCTGTGTTTCCCCTATTTTTCTCTTCTCCTCATGTCATTGTGTTCTGCATCAACCCCTTTACATCCCTCAGAGCTTCGAGAAGGTTGGTGTGTTTTTTCTTTTTTACTTTTTTTAACCCACGTTAACAAATAATAAATTCAACATGTTGGAAAGAAAAATTTTTAGCTGTATTTGCCTATTTCAGAGCTCAATTGATTACTAATTTGAAGAGATACTAATCAGCTGATCCAAACTGCTAAATGATTATGAAAGAAATTTTGATTTCTTTTCAAAGGAAGAAATGATGAAAGCAAACCCGATTAGCTCGGGTCTTGTTAATTTACTTTTATGTTTGCATTGTGGGGCCTTTTCTCGTTTTGCATCCTTTGGTATTGCTTCTGCATCTAAAGGCTTTCTTGCATGTGCTGAGTGGAAATGCAGCGTGTGGAAATAACAGGACCTGTTGCATGATGGGAGAATGTAACTGCGCTTGCATGCCTCTTCAAAAGCCGTTTGGCCACAGTGCTCTTATTGTTTCTGCATTCCTTTTTTTTCTTCAGTTCTCTTTCTTTGGTTTTGGTTGTATTTTCCCTAACACACCCCTTTTTGGCTTACTTTTTTTTTGTTTTTCCCTTTATTTCTTTATTTTTGTGTTGTGATTATAGTGTTGTGTTGTGCGTTTTCCTTTAGTTCCTTATCTATTGGTGACCCTTTTTTCTGTTAAAACATCAGTCTCTTTTTGTGGTTTATTTGTCGGTGAGATTTTTTTTTTCAAAAATGACGCTGCTCTGCTTCTTGGGTCTCGGAGTGCAAATGCAAATGTCGAATGAAATAATAAGTGTGTATACAGCCAGTGTTCCTGTCATCTTGTTTATAGCGATCCATTACTGGAAAAATTAGACCTGATTGGGCCTGATTGGCTTCCATGGTGATTTTAGACAGCCATTAAGGGATGCCATTTACAGTGTCGTGTGGATCAATAACAATATAATGAGTTTGACATCAAATTTGCTGTTGCTTAGCGGGTGCTCAGAGATACTTTTATTTTCAAATGGCGGCAGCTAGAATGTGATTGGTTTTGTTGAATGACTGCTGTTTGTGTTCCCTCGCAGTCATGACACTCCATCAAATTATAATCTATTATTCAAAAGCCCTCCTTCCTTTGTACACACACGCACACACACACTCCCTCTCTTTTCCTCATGGAATATTGATATCCAGGTTGATGAAGCTTCTAAAAAGCGCAAGAAAATGCGCCGTATTTGTATCTTTCATTCGTGTTATTGTCCTGGCACAAAAAGAAGAAAGTGCTAAATGAATTGGAGATCAATGCAAACGTTGTTTTCTGCTTAACTGTAGATTTGATTGGCTTTGTGCAATAATCAGATCTTTACTGAACTCCATGTCACGCAATTTTGGGAACTCGTATATACATGTGCATTTCATAGCTCCGCTAGTCTCGAGAATATTTGAGATAGATCTACTGGGTTTTTTAATGGAGCAATGGCTTTATGTTAGAGGTGTTACATGGAGTTAAGAGAGTCAGATCAGGAATACCATTCTTTCAACTAGAAGAGATGATGCACATTCTTAGTACCAGTCTCTTTTTGTGGTTTTCATGTGTATTAGTCACCAGGGACTAAACCAACATATCTGAAAGTCATAAAAATGACTACTACCGCAACAGCAAACTCATTACCAGATTACATGCTTTGGTATCAGTCAGTCCCGAGTGTATATATGATTTTCTCAGGCAACACCATATACCAAATTATCCAGAAACGTTGTGTTTTATCTGTCTATCTACCAAATAGCCAGATTATTTTAATTAGCCTCTTTTGTTCCTCAAGATTTTATGGAAGTATGAACTACAGTAAGCCCAAATATCAAAAATAACCCCTCAAAGATTTAGAATTTAGTGGACGTAGGTTTCAATCCCAAGCTACAACACCTATTCCATTCCTCTGAAATGCACAAACCCATCCTTTGTCCTTAAGTAAAGTCATAGGACTAATATAGGCAATTATCTCAGATCTACTAGTTATTATGGACAAAGTGGAGGTTTTCCCTTCCATTACCTCTATTTACCAGTTGGCTGTCAAAGAGACTGTAGCAGTATGGTCTATGAAAGTGTTCACAAAGTATGCTAAAACCACGCAAAAGAAACAGAATAAACCTGGCTGTGTCTATATTAAGTCTGTAGCTCTTACTTGAAGTGCTAAAAATAACAGTGATGCAGAAAGACTGCGCTGTTCTGTACGCATGTGCATGTTTACCCTCCTACGGTGGTATCTGCTTGGTTTTGAATGTGCTTGCATGTCCTGCTATGCATTTGTGTGTACTGTTGGGAAAGAAAGCTAGATTACACCTTACGTTCTCACTGGCCAAAGCAAAAATCCTGCCATCTCTATTAGATGTTTGTCTCAAGGAGTCCCCCAAGATAATACCCACTTTAAAAAAAAACATGTTGTTTTCAGAAATCTTCATTTTTCAGACAAAGCAAATGTTGTATAACCTCCTTATGCTATATATACAAACATACTTTCTTTCCAAATCAGAGTAATAACAATCATTGTAGGTATCTTTACAGTGAGGGGACATACTTGCAGTATCATTTGGCTGCTTGTCATCTACTTGTAGGACAATAGAAAAAGAGTGATTTGCTTTGAAATCCCCTCAATCTACTGCTTGCTATTATTAGATACCCCTGCCACGATTCTTGTCAGGTTCCTTTAGGTAATAATTTCCATTCTGATGAGCCACCCATAGTGAGTGTTTAGCACTGGCGCAGCCAAGGTATGTTAATACAGACCGACCCCTGTGGCTTATATGTAAATGCCCAAGGCCTTTCCCAGGCAAGTGTGACTAAAGGATCTCTATACTGCACCTGTGTCCTCAGGCAGCAAGAGGGTGTAATCTCAGCTTCAAGGTGACACTAAAGGCTGCACATTATTTTGGCTTCCCCCCTCATTTTGGGGCAGCAAAACCTGCCTCACCAAAATGGCCGATAATGTCCACCTTCTGACCTCTGTTTTTTGGCACAAATCCCTCCACAACACTGCCCACTATTAGAGTTAGTGCAGTACTCTGGCATTCTCTCTCGACTGCTTTTCACCTCGTCCAGTGTAAGGCTTCTTGTCTTTCTCTCCACATTGGGGCTTGAAACAAGATTACATGTTGTTAGTACACTACGTTTGGTTTGTTTTCTCTTAATTCCAAATGGGCCGGCTGGGCTCCTGGTCTCTGTGAATGAGGAGCCTGTCCATGCAATTGGGATTCTTTCTGCTTTTTTTCCTATGTTTCAATACATTTGTGAGGTAGTGTAGGAGAAGGTTTCACACACATGCAGACATCTTATCTAAGCTTATCATAGCATTACTCAGAACATTAAGTCGTATCGCACCAGGCCTGTGTCCGGTCAGTAATATCAGTGACCCATATGCATGTGACATTGACATTTAGATGTAGAATTAATGTTGTGTTTTCCTTAAGATTTAAACATTTTTCTGCCAATCTGGAGTTAGAACTGAAGGGATCTTCAGCTCTTGATCTCCTGTAGTACCTAAAGACCAAATTCACTTACCTGTCTTACACACGGTGACGCTGTTGACAGGTAGACTCACCTGCATATCATTTATCAGTAGATTGCCCAGTACCAGGAAGCCTTTAAGCAAGGATGTTTTTGCTTATTGGCTCCGTGAATTGAACATTACGTCACACACCAGCCACAGCCAAAAGTTACCAACATTTGGCAGGTGACTGGTGTTAGATGCCTGACACTATAGGTACTCAAAGGTAAACAAAGACATGTTTATGTGGGGAAACCTCATTCACTCAGCCACTACAGCTCCCGGTCCATTGGCTGACCTGAGCCCCAGGGAGAGAAGCGCTCCCTCAGACACTCTTTGATTGGAAGTTTCCCCCAGATAACCTTGTTTCCCCTATTGAGTTTTCACCATTATTTTGGATTGGAGACCAAAATTCAAGATAAAAAACCAAGCAAAACAAACAAAAAAACATCTAATAGTATTGATGCATACCTATTTGTTGAACACAGCTGCACTCTGGTACTGTCTATGCTGTTCGGACGTAGTTCTTTTTGTGGATTTGTTCAGTTTGATTTGTTTACTTTAATTTGATTTCGTGTGTGTGTGTGTCTGGAACAATGCTATATTTGGGAATGGATGGCATGCTTGGACGGGCTTGGGTGACATTTTTTTCGATTGTATTGGTTATCTGGTGTCTGCCCAAATGGATGGGGGCGCACCTGTACATGTCACTCATGCCGTAGCCACACCCATGCATGTCCGTGTGAGGAATGGGCTGCCCTTTCACCTTTGTTGTTCAGTTAGGACATTTTTGAAAAATAAACGCAGATATATATTTTTTCCTTTTATCCAATTCAACATGTTTTTCGAATAATCTACCCCACTGACTTTTTTGAGTCTGTCATTTAAAAAAACAAAGTGTATCTCAACTGGATCAGGGTAGAACAGGCTTTTATAGAGCCACAGTTGCTTCTAATTAAAAAAAATTTGTTCAATTGTAAAAATTCAGAGATTTGATATTTTTAAGAACAGACCTTTGTGGTCTATTTTTACCGTTGATAATTTTGTGCTCCACAAGAGAGCTTTTTTTTTTCTTTTTCCTTTTTCTCAAAAATCAGTAATTACATTTTTGCCCTCAAGGTTAGGCCTTGTCTTGGTTGTAGAGTTGTGGCCGGTCACAATAAACTATTGTTAGGATGTACACAGAATATCTCAGATGACAGAAAACACAACACGGGATGCAGAAGGTTCATAGTCTGCAACTGGAAGGACTGTCCAAAGTGTTTGTTACATGAGAGCAAGATGCATTGGTTTCTAAGACTGCTACATGTTAGAGATCATGTAAGCTCCCAGGTAAAAATCCCCATAGTGTGTGTAGGTGATATTTGTGCCTTACTTTGTTGGAAAAGTTCAACTGTCTCATGCAACGATCATATGAATCCCATTTGGATCGACACGGTGTGCTTTTGGAATGCTACCTATCCTTGACGCCACTCTCAGTCTCCCCCCTCCCAAATCTCCCCTTCAGTCTCTGCGTACCACCTCCACACACATCACACCTACCCATCCCAAGACTTCCGAAGTCACATTTGCATTCTTGTGCAAAGTTTAAGGTGGGGAGAGGGGGACGTGAAGTTGAGTCTTGATTTTAAGCCCCAGTGTGTGAGACTTCTAAACCCACTTTCAGTCATTTTTTTTCTTTTTTTTTCTTTTTCCAGAATCACAGTTTACTTATTCTATCCCCACTTATATCCTCCTCCTCCTTCCCCCTTTCTCCAAGAACCCCAAACCCCTCCTCTTCCCCTTTGCGTATTGTATAATTTGTCTGCGTGCCCATACTCTGCGTCACTGTATGTCTGCCCGTCTTCCTCTGTCTGTCTTGTCTACTGTCTTGCTGCTTGGGTCTGTTTGGTTCTGCCTTGTGTTTGTCTCTCGTCCCTGTCTTTTCCGTCTTGTCTATCTCTGAAGTCATCTCTTCCATTTAGTTCATAATTTTTTTCCTTCTATGCCTTTTTTTTTTTACTTTCCTTCTGTCTCTTTAACCTCTCCATCCCAACAGACATCTTGACTTAGATGTAGATTTTGTTAAAGTTCATACATAGAAATTATAGAACCCTGTAACAGTCTGTGCCTTTTTTTGTTTAAATTAAACCAAAGTTTTTGTTCAGATAAATACAAAGAAATTGTGCATGCTATAATTAGAGCAGTGCTCCAGCTATTGTCACCCACCCTAGATTAAGATAGGAAAGGAAAACCCAACATTTTATCAGTTTACAACAACTGTGTGCTAATTTGTGTTAGCATTAAGCTAGCCATCCTCTTGCATGTTACGATCTCCTATCAAGTGTTTGCTGAGATGCCTCTCATAAACATGGTGTCTTTTGCTAAATCATGCTCTTTCACTCTCCAACTTTTGCATACTCTGCACAATCATTCCTATACCAATGCAAAAAACAAACAAAAAAACTGCACACATACTATATCTATATATACACATGTAAGTACACAGTACCGTTTACACCTTTCCGTGCACTTTAGGCTCATTATCAACCTCCTTCCACTCAGATCTCCAGTCCTATCCATGAGTTTTGAGGTTCTCCCTGTTTTTCTCTCTTAGCTTTCATTCTGTCCTAATTCAGTTACCTCTGTTTCTCCTTTTACCTCTTCTCTGTCTTATCCCCTGGATTTCTGCTCCCTGTTGATCCAGTTCTGTTTCCTTTCTTCAACACTCTGTGATAGTCGACTCTCTGGCTACAATTACTATAATTCTTTTTCTGTGTATTTCTAGGCACACAACTTGTTCCTCAATACTTATTTTGTGTTAACTGGGACTGCGATGTGACAATGTGCCACCATCACATTTTGTCACATTAGCTAAAGAGAAACAAAGTTTACACAGCACTGAAGCGGGTTATTCCCTTCCCCCCCCTTTTACCCTCCTCCAACCTTCCCTCTATTTTTCTTCCTCTGTCACTCTTTGCTACTCTGTTGCCTTTCTTTCTATACTTCCCTCGGATGTCAAATCCTCTATCTTGTACTTCTACTTTCCTCTCCAATCGTCTTTTGTCTGGGCATGCTAGCGACCCTTCAGTTATATTCCTCTATGCATTTTATCTCAATTTTTATATCTGATTTTGTTATCATTTACTCCTTAATTTACCTCGATCTATTTATGCATGCTGTCTGTGAAACTGATAGCTGCATCTATCAATGGAACCGTGTCAGATCTTAATAAGGCTTTGTCCAGTGGATCTACCCTAAACCACAAAAATCTGATTAAAGTTTCTCATCTTTAAGCTAACCAGGAAGTAGAGGCAGGTGTCAAGTGGCAAACATATGCTAGAATGTGTTTAGTGACCTCATGGAGATGGTCAATAGTCAGTAACCCTACACTTCCTGTGCTGTGGGAGAGGCCTGTAATGGCTAACTTCTTGTTTGGCATGAGTGCCTGATAGGACAGGAAGTTCCAGGTTGCCATGTTGGTCTTATGTGATAACATTATCACATGGCCTTTACTACACACTCTCATACTTCGGGGATAGTTTACGCTGTAGTTGTATATTTGTCAGAAGTTCAGTCCCAAAGATGAGAAACTCGTAATAGATTTTTGTGTCTTTAATTGTGCTGTGATGGGTCAAATATTGGTCAATGGAACCTTGTTGCTATGAATCGTTGCTTAATTGTTAATCTATATTGTTGTTGAAGCAATTCTGTTAGTTTAGTTCCTTCTCATTATTTGTATTTTTTTTTGTTTATGCTTTAAAAAGTCTAGTTTTATTTTGTGTTTCAGTTCACATTTACCATGTTGAACCTTTTGTGTTAAGTATTTTCTGGAGAAAGGTCCATTTTCAACGGCCTCTCTTGTTACCTCTCTCTCTCTCTCTTTCTCTCTCTCTCTTTTTTGACGCCCTTGCCCTCTGTTGTCATCCTCTCCCCCTTCCTCATGCCTTCTCCCAGTCCGGCGGGTGCCTCCTCGCTTCTCCATTCCACCAGCAAGTCAGGAAATCATGCCCGGTGGTAGCGTCAACATAACGTGCGTGGCAGTGGGGTCGCCCATGCCTTATGTCAAATGGATGCTGAACGCTGAGGATTTGACGCCAGAGGATGAGATGCCAGTGGGTAGAAACGTTCTTGAACTGAGCAACGTTCGTGAGTCAGCCAACTACACCTGTGTCGCCATGAGCAGCCTTGGGATTATTGAATCTATGGCACAGATCACTGTCAAATGTAAGAGAAAACTGTGCTTGTGAAGACCGGTGCCAATGACCTAGATAGACTTCATAAGTTTAGTTAACATAGACTACCTATCGACATTATGTTCAGTTAAGTTTTAAACATACAGAAAATTGCTGAATTGCCAAAATATTCCTGTCTCTGGAAAAAATGCCCAAGCCTCAAGTGTGTTACGTTTTTTTGTTTTTTTTTTAACTGCTTTAATTTCTGTTTTTTTTTTTTTACCATAACAGCTCTCCCAAAGCCCCCAGGTACCCCCGTAGTTACGGAGACCACTGCCACCAGTGTGACCATCACCTGGGACTCAGGAAACCCAGATCCAGTGACATACTATATCATCCAATATAGGGCCAAGTCTCCAGACAGCAAATATGAAACTATGGACGACATCACCACTACACGTTACAGCATTGGCGGCCTTTATCCCAACACAGAGTATGAAATCCGTGTCTCAGCTGTCAACACAATTGGCCAGGGTCCTCCTAGTGAGCCGGTAGAAACTCGGACTGGTGAACAAGCCCCGGCCAGTCCACCAAGAAACATTAAGGCCCAGATTCTTCCCCAAAATACCATGATGGTTCAGTGGGAAGAGCCAGAGGAGCCCAATGGGCAGATTAAGGGCTACCGTGTTTATTACACCATGGATAACTCCCAGCCCATGAGCCTCTGGCAGATCCATAATGTCCAGGACAGCCTCATCACCACTATCCAGAGCCTAGTTCCTCAAGAGACCTACACAATCAAAGTTTTAGCATTCACCTCTGTAGGGGATGGACCTTTTTCAGAACCCATCCATGTCAAAGTACTGCAAGGAGGTAAGGACTCTATACCGACTGAATTTTCCTAACTGGGTCAGCTCGGCTGCTGGTGTTGAAACTATGTATGATGAGCATCTGTTCAGTGTTCAGAAAATGTTGAAAGCACATTGTTAGGTAACTTTAAAGTAAGTCATACAGAAATTCTTCAAACGATATGGCCCCTAAAGCAGAAGGCTTTAGACGAATGCTGCGAAAATGGAAAATAAACAGTTGTTTTTTATGAATCTGTTGCATCCTATATTTTCTGAAACTTTGAGCAGACTGTGCTCGGTGCCTAAGAGACATTGTTTTCTTTCCTGCTGTGCAAACTTCACATCTCCAAATGATGTTACAATATGTTTGATCATTATAGTCTGAATAAAAAAAAAACCCGATTTGAGAAAGAAGGATGAGCGTCAGGGCACATCCACTTTTAGACACCGCAAAATAAGTAAATTCTCATTAGCCTAAATATATTATTGCATTGGTATTTGGAGGAAACTTGTAACTAATTTCTAGTAACCTATCCCACTACAAAGTCCTCTGCTGTGTTCTTCAGTTCCAGGTCAACCATCTAAATTCCAGGTTGGTGCTGTGTCCGATACCAGCATTCAACTAACCTGGGAACCCGCCTATGAGAAAGAGGGAATTATAAGTTATGAACTTCGTTATATGGAAAGCACTTTTGGAGGCCAGGTAAGAATCTTAGTGTTTGCTGGTTTTTACATTCAAGAAACGCTTATCGGACGTTGCACGTCATTTAAATTCAGACTTGTCAAAAGGCATATTTTTAATCAACAGATGAAGAAAACATTTGGACCCACAACATCATATGTTGTGGAAGGTCTCCGTCCCAACACAGAGTATCGCTTCTCCCTGGCAGCCATCTCTAACAAAGGCATCGGAGCCTTCACAAATGACATTACGCAGAAGACCTTGCAAGCGAGTATGTAGCCCTTTATTCAGTCTCCCGTCTAACTTTCTTTTCGCTAACAAAGAGGTTTTCCTATCTATGCCACAGTTAAAAAAACATCATGACTGTACGCCTTTGTGGACCATTGCTACACTGAATACTAAACTGAATTTCTAATGGAGTTTTGTGTTTTTTCCCCTTTTCTCTGATGTCAGCGGTATCATCACTTATTCCTTAATAATGACTTCCTAATCACAGTTTAAAGCTGATTAAGACCACATAGCAAACTGATTTAACTGTTGTGTTGTTGAATTCTTGCCGTTTGTTGTGGATTGATATTTCTGTATTTGACCTTCGTGTTGTTAACCTTAATGAACCAAAACAACGGCGGTATGTTCTACCTTGGTGGCAAGGTGGTTAAAAAGAAGCTACAAAGGGGTAAAGACTTTTCAAACTGAGTGTTTTGCATTTTTATTTTTGATTTGAGAATTATTTTATCTTCTAAATTAGCTGTGGTGCCAAAATGTGAGTGTACTCTGTCAAACATATTGAGTCTTTGTGGACTGACAATTTTGGCAGTTTTCTTTCTTTCCCTTCTCAATTTTGTTCATATTTGCTTCTCCTTTGTCAACAGCAAGTGCACTTCCCACGTGACAGAGACACAAAAAATGTCAGTTCTCCTCTGAAACCGCCAAGGCTCTTATATGAGCTGTATGTGTAGTAGCAATGTGAATTTAGTCACGAAAGACCAAAAAAAAAGAAAGTAGTAGTCGCCTAAATTACTAAAATGCCCACCCTCTAAATTTATAGCAGTCTGTTCTGCACTGATTATTTCATTTTACTGATGGTAGAAACACAACTGAATTATTCAAACCATCCAGCTAAAAATAACAGCAGTGATATCATAGTGCACAGTGGTGGAGTCTGTGGGGAAAGAAAATACCCACAGCTTATCCAGTCAAATGCAGTAGTAGGTACAAGAAAAACAATGTATTAAATTCATTGTCTTTTGGGTTTATTATAAATAAAAAGCACAAGAGTGATGTGTATTAAGATGTAATGCATTAATGGTGAAGAACCTTGAAAATAGAGCTGGATTTAAGGGATTATTGGTGGATCTGAGCCAGTCTTTGTAATAATAGAGAAGTCAAAAACGCATGCTTTGTTGGAGTGGCTATTGTTATTCTCAATAAACTGCATTGTGTAGATTTAGAGAAATTGTACACCGACAAAGGAGAGCCATGGCGGGAGAGAGACTTCTTTTAACACATTTTCTGTTTCTACCAGTGCAACTTGTTGGCTGTATCCCCACATCTGGATGTGTGTGGGGGGGCAGCTTTGAAACAACCACGTCACAGTTCTTTTTGTTACTGCTAGGCAGCAGAGCTACACAAGCAGTGCATAGTCACTGAGGAGGGCGCCACCTGCATGCCATACTCACTCCTGCCCACTTGGGGTGCTGTTTTAAACCTAACACTGCACCGCTGATCTTTAAGCAGTCTTGGCATGATAATACTCTGTGTTCATCCCTCTTTTGTCTTGGTGTCTTTTGAGTGTCTGTGCACATTTTCACCTATCATTGTGTCTTTGTGATTTCCTTGCCCGGTAAACCACAAGCTGATTGGATTGGATACGCCTCTATCTTCCTATCACATCCCTATTTCAGCTCTGTTTCCCCTTTTTTGCCACTTGTTCCCCTGTGCATTGGAACAAAAGGTCCTCCTCCTTTGAATGGCTTGACATCACTTTGCTCACTTTGTGTCCTCTCCCTTTTATGTTGACTCTTTTGGAAAAAGGTTTTCTGTTAGATGTTTTATTTATTTATCAATTTGTATTTATTTCTGGGTTCTCTGAAAGAGTATTGGTTTGGCATCATTCCAAACAGTAGCTTGCTACTCTTTTTGGCTTTGTTTTGAGGGGTGGGTGGGGTGGTGGTTCTCGTATGAACCGTAGTCCACCGCTGACAAAGCAAGTACAACACAAGAGACGAAGCAACACACGGCATATTTGCCTTTTAAGTAAATATGGGGCATAACAGGCTTAATTCTTCCTCTGAGTTGCTTCATCTATGCATTTTCATTGGATGATAACAATATCTAGCTGCCCATCTTAAAATTTAATACTACTCCCCTAGATATTTTTATCAAACTCCGTTTTCTGTAAATATTGTGTCAGATATAAGTTCTGCTTTCCATAATAGAGTTGATATTAAATATTATTCTAGTTTTAATTTTAAGGTTTATCACCGCAGGCACCAGAAAAACCAAAGAATAAGTCAGACAATGCAAAATATTTCCCAACACTACACATTAAATAATGTAAGCTTTTTCGATGCTCTGAGGTAAGTGGTTGTGTGGTTTAGAGATTCAGTCTGCCATAACATTAATCAAAGACCATCCAGTTTATAGTTTTTTGAGTTTTTTTCATTAAACATATCAACAGCAATTGGAAAGCTACCTTAAGCCTTTTTATGCTTAAAAATATTTAATAGCTGCAGTTCGGATGTCTCTAGATCTGTAGACATATACGGTATAAGTTTTATTAAGTGGCTTCATAATTGAGCTAAAATTGTCACTCTGTACATCTGAAAAAGCTGAATGTGTTAAGGTCATTATTGACATATAGATGCAAAGAAGCAGATCTACCAGCAGTTTAATAGCTAGTTTTATCTACTGAGTACACAGACACTAAAAACTGCTACACATGCGCATATAATACTCCTACTTTACAGTATAATGAAGATTAAGTGGTTGCTTGACTGAACTTACTGCAGTTAATTTTAAAGATGAATAACTTGCTCAGGAGGAATCAGCGTCATTAGGTCAAAAACTAGAGTAAATAATAAAATGAATTAATATCGCCTTTGCCTGTTCTGTCCAAACACATTGCAGAGCAACAGCATACAATCCCCCCCACGAGACCCACTTCAACTGGGTTTGAATCCACCGCGATGTCTGGCAGACTGAAACACTTTGCCACAAAGTGAAAAGAAAGACAGACAACATGATTTTCCAGTTTGCTTCGTTGTCTAGTATCTGTGGTAAAAATGTTCACATATTGTTGAAGTTTGTGCTCAGTCCAAGTAGCATTACCCGAGGCTATTGTCATGGGGACCATTCTGTCAAGAACTCAGAAAAAGTCACTTCAGAGAATAACAATTTTCTTGGAATTCTCTCACGACCTTTAATTGCGCTACTGCGATTGATGCCAAGTAACTTATCAAACTAAAGAGCACCAAAATCATTTCATTTGGTGCTCTCGGCCAGTGTTTTAATAGGCCGGATTAAATACAGCAAATGTTATTGGCAACAGTGGCCCCCATTCAGAAGCAAGGCCTCATGGGGTATGCTGCCATAGTCAAACCAGGATGCGATAACTTTTGTGAAACCTGTCAGACGTGGCCGGAGTGGGTCCACAACCTGAGAGCCAGGAGGTGCTCCCAGCATTCCTCTAGCTGTTATCCACGCACAAGGCAGGGTAACAGGACCTGAGACAGACCCTGGGAGTGGGTGTTAAGGGACTGCAGGGCCCCAGAGTCGCAGATAAGAATCCCATTTCATAGCGTCAGAATTAATTTCATGCTTTGCGATGAGCTATGAGCCAAGGCCCTGGATTGTCAGGCTTTGTTACACATTTAGATTATACCTAGAACCTGCCAGTAGCCACTCAAGGGCTATCTCTCAAATTAAAGTGGCAGATTCTAAATCCTCTGTATTTAACCAAACAAGCAGTCAGCCGCCAACCCCCGACCCCCCCTCAATGCGCACAAACACACTTACTGTAATTGAAGTGGGTTTTTAGATATATTGGAATATTTGTGTAAGCCACACCACGGCCATTTGGCATCAGTGGAGAGATTAATTCCATAATGATCTACAAATTCGAACATCCTGTCATCTGATGAAAATACAGTGCAGATATAGACATGTGCTTAAAATCTGATAGCAAAAGCACGGGCAATCTGTCATGTGCAGGGTTCATTTCACAACAGGCACTCAGTAATAGCTTGTGTAACTAAAATTGCAAGCATTAATGTATGTAAGTTGCTTGGCTCCCGAGGCAATTTTAATCTGAATGTAGTCATAATAATTAGGTATGCTACCTGCACTTGACATTATTGATTTTATATCCAAAGCACCCGGTCACATCACAACAGACTTAAGAGTCAGAAGATATAAAAGCAGACATGACTAATTATTTGTCAAAGAGCATTTTGGGCAAGTCTTTCAGCGAAGCTTCAAAAGAACCTCAAGTGAAGCATTAGCTGAGTTTCTTCTTTTGTGCTCGTATAGTTCTAGTATCCGTAATCCTGCCACTGGACTTCCTGGGATATGCACTTTATTAAAGCTGTGCCCCAGCCACTCTTAAACTGTTATCAGGCATGAGGATGCCTGTGCACTGTGATAGCCTGGCCACTGTCAGTTTCATAGCCATTTTCTGCCTACAAAGATTGAGAACTGAGCAATCGTTCTTGACGTGGAAGGTTTGCAAATACAATATGAGCGAAAGGAAAGAAGCTGAAAAGCTCAAAATCCAGTAAGACCTTAAGTAAATAAGCCCATTGGACACAGAAGGGTTTGGAAACTGTGGCTGAGGTCCTGTTTTATTTGTTGTGTGCTAGAACATTCAGTCTTCGCTGGGAGGAGGCCTGTCTTATTCTCAGAACTCCTGTTTTTTATTTCCTTTTAAAGCTGTTCTACCCAAAGTGACATTACAGGCAGAACACTGTCATTAAACTTTTATGAATTCCACAACACAAGCTTTCCATGTTGCTTCTTCTATTATGGTGCCCTGGCATTCTCGTAATGGCACTAAGCTTTACAAAGAGACATAGGCACAGGGCTATGAAATGGGATTTATTTTTGCAAATTGCAAATAAAAAAGGATGTTTGTGTAGTTGGCCAAATGTACTAGAATGGAATATCTTGGGAGGGAGTATTTTTCCACCAACGCTTCCACCGCTCACAGTCTTGTGGACCTTCCCAACCGACAGTACAGTATCAGACAGCCCTGGCTACAGCATAGAGCCAACTCTTTCTCTCAGAGTAAACCCAAAAAAGGGGGTTAAAAACAAACTCTCAAAATTAAAAGGTGGCTCGCTGATTTCTCTCAGAATTTGCGGCATGCTTTCTGGCGAGGAAAGCGTTGTCGCACAGCAAAGTTGGCTCATTCTGTAGTCAGGTGCTGGTGGTAAGAAAGTCTTTAAAATTGTGTGTTTTTGGGAGTCAGGTACGTATTATGCAGACAGCGCTTGTGTTTTCTTTATGTTTGTTTGCTTTTCAGAATTTGAATGTTCTTATTTTGTGTTCATGCAGAGTTCCTTTTCCATGTTTACTCATGAGTTGTCATCTTGAACTTTAACTGTTGTTGTAGTTTCTTTTTGAGTCACCTGGGTTACAGAGAAATTTGTTTCAGTGCCCTCCTTTTGTTCATAATTTAGTTTTTCAGACTTTGTTTTTTCCAATGTTTTTATTTCTTTTCTGCTTTATGTGGAATGCTTTATTATTTTATTTATTTTGATTGTTGTGGTTTGTTTACCTACATAATAGACAAAAGATGTAATAATGAACTGGGTTTGTCACATCGGCAGGGACCGTGCATATTTTCAGATTAAACTTGCACAGGGCCATTGGATAGAAACATTTTCATCCAATTCTTCCATACAGTACCAAAGCCTGGATGAGAAGGGTTATCGCCCCCTACACGGCACATTTTCTGGACAAGCTCAAGCTGTCTGAGAACTTGGCTCAGATCAGAAAGAAAGGCACTGAGTTTGGTCTAGAAACTTTTCAAAGACCACTTCAGACACAAATAATAGACACCATGTTGGACTGATTTAATACTGTAAAGAAATAAAGGACAGATACAAAATCTCTTTATACGAAATCTTGAATATCTATTGCAATATATGTATTAGTGCTGTAGGCGTTAATCTCATTAATGCCATAACTACATTAACGCAGCAAATCTCCGTCAACGAGTTACCGCGGATCGCCCGTGTGTGGGGCTGCATGGCGTCAACGCGTTAGCATGGTAGCTCGTTAACGCGTTGACGCCGTGCATCCCCACACACGGGGCGATCCGCGGTACTCTCCTCAGTTGTCTGACTAAAGTGCCTCGTTTGCAATAAAACACTACAACAGGGGTGTTCAACATAAGGCCCGGGGACCAGAACAAGAAGGAGGGCATAACATTTGCAAATTAACAGCTTAGACCTCTCCATTGGTTATTCACACTTCACCAAAGTAACGATTAAATGACACAAAAATTCATTTTTCTATGATCTACTATTGAAATTTCTGGGGTTTTTTTTTTTTACAATGGTTCTACAGTTAAAAAAAATGTTTTTGAACTTTTTGTGTACTTTTATTTCTTACAGTTTAAATCAAGCTGACACATGTCACTTATTGCTGCAGTGTTTCTTTATGAATTGCTGCTGTCTTTATGTATAAAGCTAAGAAATACTGTTGAAATTACCTTTCTTATTCTTTTTCTAAATGTGTAGTTAAACTTCTTTATGCTGACAGAAAGCTGAGTGAGATCAAAGTGCGCTGTATATGGCCCACTGTGTAAAATGAGTTTGACATCCCAGCTCTACACTGACACAACATAGTATATGCATATCCAGTGCTCATATCCCAAAACAATAGCTATCTGGATTCATTATTACACTTGCTTGTGCCATTTATCCATTTATTGCATCTTAAGTTGACATTTGCTTGAGTTTTATTTTTTATTTGAAATTTGTTTTGCATCTGTCTTTGTTTTACAATTTTCTTTGGATTCTTCTTGTTTTTTATTTAAGTTTTGAATTTCCCTTTCTTTTTTCATTTTCTTTATCTCTCCCATCTTTTTTATTTTTTTGTTTTTCACCCCTCCTCCCTCCTTCCCCAACCTCCTCGTCCTCCTCCTTCCTCCCAACCCACCCCTCCTCCTTCCTTCCTGTCCTCTCCACTTCACCAGAGCCCTCAGCTCCCCCTCAAGAAGTTAAGTGCAGCAGCACCAGCTCTACCACCCTGTTGGTAAGTTGGCGCCCCCCACCTTTGGAGAGTCAGAATGGTGCCCTGGTGGGGTATAGGGTGCGCTACCAGGTGGTGGGCCAGTCAGAAGGGGCCGGTGACAACGAGGAACCGCTGGAGGAGCCCATGGTGCCTGCCACTGAGGAGCAGGTGTTGCTTCAGCGATTAGAGAAGTGGACCCAGTACCGTGTCACGGTGTCTGCCTCCACTGTGATTGGACCTGGCCCCGAGAGTGAGCCCCTCGTCTGTCGGACCGACGAAGATGGTAGGTGAACCTAGCCTGTGCAGAAGCTCTTGTATTGACTTTTTATTATGGTTCAATAGCACTTTAGTTTAGTGGTGAGTATACCACCGGTAAACATTGTTTTTCTGTTGTATGTGTATGTGCAACCCAGTATTACAGCAAAATGTGTAATAGACACGCCAGTGCGCGGTTTCCATTTCACACTTTGCTTCTCCAAAACACAAAGTGGACACGTATGCAGAAATTGCATTACCAGCAGGGAGACATGATATATTTAAAGCCACAAAGTCGGTAGTGAGCCAAATACGTATTAAGTACATTCCAGTGTCCTTAATTGTCAGAATTAAGCTAGGGGCCTAATATGTATATTCATGTAAATGTGTTAATAAGTCTGTTTAAACATTTTGTGCATATGTCCTATATGATGGAAATGTGCTGCACATGCATGCATAAAAGAAACTAAGATCACATGGTATCAAATGCATACCAATAATGTTATAGCAGCATACTGCTTTATAAACTGTGCAAATGGAAAGACTCAAAATGAAATATACACGCGGGAAATCAAGCATTTTTGCTATTGCAACATAAACAACTACTGTCCTATTGCTCAATTGAGGGCCATATGCATTTATGCATATGGGTACAAGGCCTTATCTACTCAAGCATTTCCACAAATAAAGAGTCACAACACAGTGACAGTATCTATCGAAAGCCTGTCATTATGATAATAAGTATCTTTAAGGAAATGAGATCCAGGGCTGAACAGTAGAATGCGTCTTGTTAATGAACACAATTTTACCATGATGACGGGAAAGATGATGGGGTTGTGATTTAGAGGCAAAAACAGGGAGTCAAAGTGTTTTGTAAAGGAGCAAATGGAATCAGGTTGAGTGGAAGAATTTTATCAACAGAACATCCATCTCACAAAGGGACGGTCCGTGGCAAACTGAAAGGCCCGAACGCAAGGCCTGCCATAAAAGTCTGTCATTATGACTGACAGACGAGGTTTACCACAGACAGAGACGTACTGAAAAGGTGGAAGAGACACGGGGAAGTGATGAATGCGTGTGCATGTGTGCGTGTTGAATTTGACTGACACTGGAGTGTGTTTGTTGTTTCTAAATGTTTTTGTCCATCATTCTTGCTAGCTGTCAATAGTTTTCTCTGTGCGTACATGAATTTGGATTCAGGGAGTTATTTATGTCACGACATGATGTGAGGCACTTTTACGATGCAGGGCGGTGAATCAGACTCACAGGTGTGTGATGGTCTCATGCGAGGATTTGATTATTTCTTTAATTTCTTGTAGTTCCTGGGGCTCCTCCAAGACGGGTGGAGGTGGAGGTTATCAACTCCACAGCAATTAAGGTGATGTGGCGTTCTCTTACGCCAGGCAAGCAGCACGGACAGATCCGTGGCTACCAGGTTCATTACGTGCGTGTGGAAAATGGCGAGTCTCGAGGCCTGCCTCTCATCAAGGATGTCATGCTGGCTGATGCCCAGGTATGACCATCTCGTAGTTTTCCTTCTACAAATTAGCTGTCAGAAAAATGCAAATCCCGCCACGCAGCATGCGTTTATCGTGCACCAATCGCATTAAAAATTGAAAACATATGTGTAAGCTATTGGCTTTTTTTTTCTTCTCATGCAAATCGCGAATTGTCTAGTTAATCCACGCTGTTGCAGCAGGAGTATGGGGAGCGATAGGGCTCTTGCCTTGTAGATTTCATTTCATTTCTTTCTCCCTCAGCCCGTCGACACACAATAAGAACTATAATCAAAGCTTCACTCATCTTGTCCTCCTTCTTCTACCTCAATGGCTTTTATTAGGAATGTCAAGACCCCTGCTTCATGGCAACATATGCAATGAAATATTTATGTGTGCTTGTATCCAGTGCAAAGACTTGGAGAAAATGGGCACGGAACTATTTCACCACAATTTAGACTTTGACTGGCAGAACTGGAAATGATGCTTTTTGGGGGTTTGTTTGTCTTTGTTGGGGGTTTTTTTTCTGTCAACACAGTTCTAGTGATGACTGTGTGTAGTACCGGCGTTTCAAATGGAGATTTTGAACAATTGGGAAAACAAAACACAAAAAAAGTTTAGTGCATTCAGGCCAAGCACCACACGCACAGGCAAAAACCTCTTTTTTATATCTATTTATCTTAGTTTGTATCATCATTAATCCATGTAATGCTACATTTTCATGCCATTGCTGCTTGTAGTTATCAATATATAACACTATTGTGCCTTTTTGTCAGCTGAACAGTAACGTAATTAAACTAGCAGACCTGTACAGCTCTCCTCACAACATAAACTTCAAACAGTTTCTTTCTCTCTTGACCTCCTAAAACCAGTGACCTATTTCTGATACCCATCCTCTGCTCCCAAACCTCTTATGCCCCCGTCTCTCACAATCCTATTTCTTCCCTTTCTTTTTTTTCTCTTTCTTTGAAAAAAATATTGCTCTCTCTCCTGCGCTCTTTGGGGGGGGGGGGGGTTAGTGGGAAACAGACGATACAGCTGAATATGTGAGTACGAAGCTTCACCTGGGTGCTTTGTGTGCCTGAAAGAGTGTAAACAGAGGGTATTGCATCAGCCCGGTTAGATTCACAGGTTACACAGCCCATCCGATCCTTGTTCATTAAGTCTGGGCAACAGTTTGGCTCAGGGGCTTAGCTCTCTGGTGACTCGGTCTAAACACTATATCTGTGCATAACCAAGAAAAAGGGGGCTTACGTCTGTCATCATTTAGTTCGTACACTTGATGGCTGATGCAATACCCACTGACCACTGTGCCTGGAATGCTAACGCTATTCGTATCATACTGTGTGCTGACAGTGTGTTGTGTCTTGTGCTCTGGTGGTGTTTGTATGATTTTTCCCCCTTCTGTTTTGTGTTTGTGTGATCTGTGCTCCATAGATATATATTCTTTTTTAATGTGGTGCTTTAGAAGTACTGTGCTTCCTTGAGTTTTGTATATTGAGATGGTAGTTTAAAGAATATCTCTGTACGACCCACATTGTGATCATTCATATTTTTTACTTTGCACAGAATGTTCTCTACCTTTGAACCAGAGTCCATCTACATTACACGAGTACCATGTCAAGTGCAGCACACTACTTATAGCTCATTTACCTTTATTGATTTCTCCCATCCTTCTGCCAAACTAGTGCCTGTTAAAAACCTAATTCTGCATTCGTTCAAACCTTCTCTCTTGAAAGATTCATTAGAATTGATCGGAAGCCTCTCTTTGAAGAGGACTCAAGGAAACTTAATGGCTGAGGTAAAAAACTGCCAGGGAATGGCCAGGATGTATTCAGCATGCATTTATCAAAGTTAAGTTGTTGATTGGAATATTGCTAAAGGACTAAGTGGAACTACTTTACATTTACATGCATAATGTCACTCCTCCACCTTGGCAGATCTAATAATTTATGTAATGGAAATGTCTTCCATTACACAGGGGGAAACATTACATTTAATGCATGCCTCGTGAAAATTAATAAAGAGGAGCAGGAGACACTTGGCTTAGATTAACATTCTGCATAAGGCAGTTTGAGCTGCACGAAGTGGGGTCAAATCATGAAAAATTCAACACGTATTTTGACATTTTCCTGTCTCTGCTTCTTCCGTGTGTCCCATAGGAAATGGTCATTGGAGGACTCAAGCCAGAAACCACTTACTCCATCACAGTGGCAGCATACACCACCAAGGGGGATGGTGCTCGGAGCAAACCCAAACTGGTGGTGACCAAAGGCGCAGGTTAGTACAATGATAAATAATTGATTTGTTTGTTGTCATAGAACCTTTGTTCGTGCAGCAGTAAAGCTAACTTGTTTTTCTGCCTCTGACTGAAGGGTTTTTCGCTCAGGGACTCCTGTTCACTCCCATCCAGCTGTCTCCGCTATGATTGTGCTATGATTGCTTGTTTGCATTTATTTAACAATACTCAAAGAACCCTCGCAGAGAGACACAATATAGTGTGATTAACTGATTCGGATCTGTTTAGTAGACACGAACAAATGCAATAATTAATAATTTCAAGAATTTCTGGCAGTTAACTAAGTGTAATTAGGACTCTTTATCGACAGCACCATAGGCTATGATATTAACAGTGTGTTCAGCTACTCAGGGCTGTTATTCAGGGCACATCTAAGTCTAAGGCAGTGTTTGCTTTTATCAGTGCTGCGTTTATCATTTGAGTCATGTCCTGAAGGCTAGCCACAGATTTTTAGAGATCAAGGCCACGGATCTTTTAGAGACCAGGGCATGGTGTGAGTTTTTTTTTTTCCCTAAGACAGATTAGGAGAGCATGAAAACACATGTTGCTCTTTGGTTTTAGCTGTATATTAGAGCCTGCACTCTACAAAGCATTGTTTTCTTCACATTTCTCCTTTTTTTTTTTTCACCGCTGAGCATACCAGTTTGTCTAGACTCTCTATGCCTGCCTAAAAGCTGGTAGTTTGTTTAGAATGAGCATGATCTGCAGAGGATGTAAAAAGCTTGCATACCCCTGCTAAAATGCCACATTTTTGTAATGCAAAAATAGAAAAATATATATATAAATTATTTAGAAATGTTCTACCTAAAATGTGACCTATAACCTGAACAATGTGGTTCAAAACCAGATCTGTTAGGGGGTAAAATAAAAATAAATAAATAAAAATAATGTAGTTCCATATCAACAAGCTTATGTTTTGGGTTTAGTTTAATTGTAGGTACATTCAGTCAGTTCGTTTCCAAGCCAATGTATACCAAAACAAACAGCAAGAAAACAGTGAGGACAATAAATAACAAATGAAATGATGTAAAAGTGACAATAACTATACCTGAACAAAGTTGATGAAAAAACAAGAAGTCGGGGAGCCGGATTTTCTTACAAAGAAAATTAGCAAAATTTTGCAGCAACATCTATCAAGTCTCCCAAAAGGATGTGGAGAAATGTTTCTGGTCTGATGAAACCAAGGGTAAAATCCCAAAGCTTTTTATTACAACCAAAGCAATGCATACCACCAAAACAATGGCATACCCGCGGTGAAGCATGGTGGTGGCAGCATCATGCTTTGGGGGCGTTTTCTTCAGGTTGAGCTAGAGCCTTAGTTAAGGTGGAGGGAATTCTGAGCAGTTTCAAACACCATTGTGTTTTGGCAAAACAGTGAAGTTTATGCTAGAAAGCATTTTAACGTTTAGTGTGCCAAAAACCGAAAGCATCCAGATCAAAAAAAGAATGGCTTGATTAGAAGAAGATTAAAGTTTTGAAATGGCCAAGCCAAGCCAGAGCCCAGAACTGAATCCAAATGAAATATTGTGAGGTGACCTGAAGAAAGCAGATGATGCAATTGGACAGATTTGGAGCACTTTTGCAAGGAAGACTCGGCAAATATTAGAAAGTCACGATGCACTGCGCTTATAAGCACCAACACCATAAGAATGAATTATGTTACAACGTCAAAAGGTGCTTCAACAAAGTGTTAGTTTGAGAGTGCATATTTATGCAGAAGATTATTGTAAGTTTTTTATTTCAATCCTTTTGCAGTTGAGTTGCAGGGTCTGTAGGTCATGTTAGAGGTTGAAAAAGTTCAAAAATTATTTTGCCTGGTCTAATTTTTTTTTTACATCATAAAGTAAACTAGCATTTTGACAATGGTGTGAAGACTTTTTATATTCACTGTGAACCTCAGGTTGACTTGCTATGAGTTTGAAAGCTTTCTGTGAGTGGTTTTAGGCCATTAAACTAAGATTGTGTATGCATGTACTTGAGAAGGCCTCAAAGTGCCAATATGTGCACAACTGTATACATACAGCACATACTTTTTTTTTTTTACGCTATCATTATTTTAAAATAGTGAGGGATTGGGATGCAAGGATTTAATATATGTTAATTTGTTGTTTCTGTGTTTTTGTTTTTGTTTTTTTAAAGTAAAGAAAGAAAGAAACCCGCCATTACCTACATTCACTGTCTAACCAAACCAAAATTACAACAAAGCAGTAGCACTACTAAACTAAAATACTTCCTGAATTTTGGTTCAGTGTGTGATATGGGACTTTACTACCTGGTCTGGTCTCCAGGAAATAGACAGTGGCTGCAAACAACAATGAAGTAGGTTACAGAGCCTCTAGCAACCACTAGACTAGCTGACATGCAGAAAACTAAGCTTGTTGAATACATTCAATGCTCAAAATGTGTTCTAAGCTACAAGTAACAAAAACACTGGATATATACAGGGACACAAAAAAAACCCTAAATCAGGGCTGGCTGGAAGAACAGATTGGCTGTACTTTTGAAGCAGGTGGAAGAATTACTGCTGCAGCTTGATGAGAGCACAGGATTGGGGCACTGTCCAATCAGTAACAACAGAAGGCAGAATGAAGGAAGAGCAGTTAGGCTGGCATGCAGGATGTAAAAAAAAAAGTGCAGGCACTAAATTCTGATCTTGGGGTTACATTCAGAATTACCTTACAAAACAGTCAGAAGACTCAAAAAGACAAAGGACAAGGTGGTGTAATGGTCGAGTAATGTTCAAAAAAATGCTTATATCTTGATAAAGCTGGTGTCTTTCAGTCCATGCTCTCATTCCCTTCCATTCCCCCCAAAAGCAAATAACTTTAAATCCATCCACCCATCTATCTTCTATTTCAGAAGTTCTTCACATAGATATTTTAAAAACGCAGTATTTCTGCTTTGCTGAATCTTTATCAGGGTTTGATTATTTCGTCTGTAACGATATGTGCAGACCTGTAGAGTGGTATGTCATACGCTCCTGTACAGACAGCACATTTTCACAACCTAACGTGTGTACACACAAATGTCCCATCTCGTGACAAGTGTGTGTTACAGGTGTCAGGGAGCATGGCGCTGCCCAAGGGGCCTGAGCGAGTGCTGTCACTCTCCATCCTTCTGTCAGGACTGGCTGACTGATGCGCCATTCCACAGCAATTCTGTTTGTCCCTCGAAGGGAGAGCTTCTCCTTTTTATTATGATTGAATTAAAGAACTAGTTTATGCCAGGGGCCAAGATAAATAGAATAGGGTAAGAGGTGAGAGATTGAGGTGTTGGGGGAAAGAAGTAAAAACAGGTTTTCTTGGAGGTAAAGCAGATGTCCTTCTTGTCCCAAGCACCGTTAGGATGGTTGGGACATTGGCAATTTTCAAGGCAATTTTCTTTTGTTGTTTTTTCCTCCAGAGCAAGTTGAACTAATGAACTAATTGAATAGTTACATCTTTGAATTGCAAAAAATTCAGACAACATGAGAACAGGTGACAGAATCATCAGATTATACACAGTTCATAGTGTCTGTACATTCAATTACAGAGGATGGTCTCATATGATTATATTATGGTATTAGTGGACTAATCAAGAAGCCCTGTTTAGGCTTTTGAGATTTTGTTTCCATGTACCCAGACTTCCTTTTCATTTTTAAAGTGTTTTTAAGCAATACTTCCTCAGGCTTTCCTAAGGTCTGCTTTTTCACTCATTTCACTCATTACCTGACCATTTTCTAGAAGATGTTTTTGTTGTTGTTCGGTAAGACACTTTACACTGACCTATAAATCATTGAAGCATAAAGCAGACACCTATCTCAAGGGATGAAACAGTGTTGTGTTTACACAGACAGCTGAGCAACTTGGTTCAAATCGACATCAATATGTAATGAAGGAGGTCATGCCAGAGCTACAACAATGAGCGTCTACAGGCATCTGTAAAACATGGCGGAGGCTCTGTCATGGTACCAGTGGTGGAATTATGAACGCAGAAAAGCAACTGACTTTTTTTTTAGCATCTTTAGAATTCTGTTTTTGCCCCATATACTATATCTTCATCACTGATTTGCCTTTTTTTTTTTTTAAATATTAAGAAATTTGCAGGTGTCTCGAGACTTTTGCACAACACTGTAACTGTAACATTGTACATTCTTCAACTACAAAACTAAACAAAACACAAACTTTCATAGAAACTTTTCATCAAAAACCACACTAAAAATGGATCCCAACTTGTAGGAACTTATAAACCCAAATATAAGATGTTTTCTTCTTCTTCACCATGAAAAACAGATGTTCTTTGTTGAGACAACCACTCCTTCGTGTGGTTTGCACTTGTGTGAACTCACTCATAAATTGGCACACTTCAAATGCGTATTGTAAATCAATTTAACATTCTCCCACATTGTACGTCCTCTAAAAATATATATTTTTTAAAAAACATGTAACTTATGCAATTTCTTCTAAAATCTTTTTTTTTTCTAAAGCATGCACTTGAGGAGAGCAGTTGCCTACAGAAGATGTCATAGCCTTGGTCTTTTTTTATGTAACAATAAGGCTTCGATACAGTGCGTCATGACAACGATGGCATGTTTTTTCTTGCCACTAAAAATTGTAACATCAATGGCCAAGGCTTTTTATCTTCCAGACTTTCCAACCAGCCTCTCTGGTAGTTTGGTGTATCAAAAAGGATCTGAAAAAGATCTATGCAGGATTTTGTCTGACTTGGATAAAACTGGAGTTCCATACCTATTTGTGAGTCATAGATGAACAACATTTATTCTGTGGCTGAATCTCTCTTTGTTTGCTGAGTGAAAGCTAGGTTTGAAAAGTGGCTTTTCATGAGTCATATTTTTAAAACTCTTCCTTTGAGGAATACACTGAACCACGGCCAACAATCAATGTCTGCGTCCTTTAAATCTTTCATTCTTGCTCACATGCTAATGGAAAAAAAATAGTCAAGACTTCATTATAAGTCGAACAAAGTCAAAACATAATGCTACAAAGGCACAGTTATTTATTGGTAGGCTGTGCGCCAAGTTGCTCAAAATATCAGCTTGGGATCCCAAGAGGCTATAGAGCAAGGGGAAAAACTGTTATTTTGCATCACCAGGTACCAAACATAAGGCCCGTTGGTGTGATCCACACAAATGGATGGATTAAATCATATTAGGTTTGATTTTAATTATTTATAAATTGCATTGCAAGTATGGATGGATATTGATTCAGATCAAATCAGCCACAACACTGTTATTTACAGCTTTAAAGATTGCTGGGTATCCTCCACTTGTAACATCTTAACTGGTTAAAACTCCCTTAGGCCAACCTCACAATACTTGATGCATCATGCAAAAGGTTGCTGAGCTCTTTTTCTCCTTGCTTCTTTAATGGCTCCTTCTCTCCGAATGGGCCAAGTGAAATTTATTGCTTTTCTTTCTCCATTACATTTCCCACCCTACAAATTACTACTCTCCATGAATCCCTGAAATATAGGCAGATAGGATTCAAAGAAGCAAAGGGAAAATAAAGATCAGAGAGACAGATTTTACACGACCTTTCAGCATTTGCAAAGTTGCGTATGCGTGACTGACGTGCACAAGAGAGGTAGGAAATGAGAAAGAAACCTGATCGTCCCCTTCTGAGTCAGACTGAGTAAGTATCAACAGTATTCTGTTAATATGGTGGCCCCACAAGGAGGGACTGAATCAGGCTCGACCCTGAAATGGTCAAAGAGTGGAAAGAGGAGGAAGTTAGGAAATGAGAGTGGGAATTGGACATCGTGCGAAGGGAGAAGTAAAGTAAAGAAATTGGGAAGAAAAAAGGGACTGTGGGTAAAAGGAGGGTGACACAGAGGAGAGGTGGAGAGGGACAATCAAAGTGTCCTGGAAGCCCAGAATCGCTCATGTACACACACACACACACACACGTTTCTGCCTCCTCATATCCCTGTTGGGCCCTCTTTGCAGCTGATTGCACCTTGTCCCCAGTCACCTTCATCATCTCTCATTCACTCATTTTTCAACCCCTCACTATGGCCTTGTTGACTTTATCATCTCCTTGTAGCACCTCACACACACACACACACACTCAGCCCACACCATGAGCAGTCCCCCCACCCCTCCTCCCCCTCTCTACACCAATCTGCTGGCTCAGTACCCGTGATCCCTCTCCCCAGTGTGCACTAGGCCCCAGTTTAAAATGTACAAATAATAAAACCGTTTTGGGGGTACACAGGCTGCAATGGATACATATGGCAGCCTGTTGAATTTCGAAGCGAAGCACAAAAACAGAGAATCGAAGACACGTGCTGCGCCTTTGCAGGATCATTCTCCCTGATTCTATTTTCTTGATTAGCAGTGATCATGAAGGGAGAGTGGGTTTCCAAATGACACCAAGCTGAGCTACAGTATGTAGCCAGGGAGTATTAGAAGCATTTGTCTCACCCAACACTCGCTGCCCCCACCTTTCCATTACCGGCAAATGCTCAGCTGACTAGCCGCCATCTACCCACTCACCTCCATCTTCCTCTAGCAACAGTCTTCAGAAAGAAAATCATTGGCAAACAGAAATGAATAATAAGCGCAGAGGAAGGAGAGTATGTGGAGTGGATTTCTCTCTCTCTCTGTCCCTCTTGCTCTCTCTTTCTTCTCTTTCCAGGCTCTGTGTGTGTGTCTGTGTGTTTACTGTGTGCACAAAACTTACATCTTATCACAATAAACTATATGTAGACACATACAGTATACACGGACACATTTGCACGATGATACTGTTCCACTGAGAGGCAGTACTGTTTCCTCAGACTAATGTTGGCTTCTCCAAATTACTTTAAGTTCACACTGGGCAACAAGCCAAATAGCTCTATGTGCAGCTGGAATGGCGATATAGGAGATGAAGCTGGCTGGAGACCAGGGCCAATAGGCTGACACACATCAGCAAAGAAAATTCAGACTGTCCATCAAGCACAAAGATACAGGATGCAATGATTAAGGGGTGGGTGCGGGGGTGAATTCAGCTTGAATTCATCTAGCATTAGCATCAACAAGCGTTAGCCAAAGAAAGCAAATGAAGGCATAATTATGTCTGCATAAGATAATGATGAAAAGTACATAACATCTGCAACCACAGTTAATAATTTGCATTCTGTTTATTTAGTTGTTAATAAATTTATGCAGGATCAAACAGTTTCGCAGGCCAACTTTGCCAAACAAATTGGCAAGCTTTGTGAATCTTCAGTATGCAGGAGACTGTCACTCATCATTCTGTCTGACTACTGTAGATACATGTAATTAATTTCATAGCTGACGTGTCTCATTACCTCCTTTGTTTTCTTTATTAATACTAAAGTAATGCATTTGGATTTAAATTCATAAAACAATGTGTATCTATAATAGAATACTTATAACATTTGCCAGTTGTTTGTCCCGTCCCCACCTTTTCTGAGAAAATTTGTTGTTTCTCAGAAAAAGGAGGGAAGTACATAGATCAGAAGATGAGCGAGGAAGCTAGAATCTATTTACATGGGGCTCAAGTGCAAATCAGCCACGCTCATCTCTCACAAAGCTTTGACAGCAGCTTGAGAACTAAAGGCTTCACATAACTGCTGCTGCCGCTGTCTCGGTGATGGGACCTTAAAAGGAGGGTTAGGATGAGACGTGTGTCATCCATAACAGCAGCAAAACTGGGCCACTCTGAAGAATAGTGTCTGGACCCCAAGAGTAGATCATCCATTTTACAACAAGAGACAAACAAGGCGCTGTTCTTCGCTTAAAGTTTTAGTGGTGCTTTGCTGTAATGCAATGATTTTTGGCTTCAGCTTCTATGTATCATGAAATGGTAATGGGTACAGCGATCACTTAGGAATTAAAGCATTTTGGGGATCTTCTGCATTTCTGACTCACTTTGTTAGCTTATTGACTGTAAGTTCAAACAATTTCCCCGAGTTTTGTTCATCTTGATCTTTACCTTGGACACATAGACATCGTTTTATGTGCGGTATCTGATCCAGCTATGTTTTTACCATCCTTTGTAAATGCTTCCGTCGTATACTATTTGTATCAATAGTAACAGTGTTGATGATTTTGCTACACAGTACAAAAACTCAGTGCACTTTCTATAACACAAACCATAACTCCTAAATCGGAAGGAAAAATAGAACATAAACGATGATTATATGTCATGAATGACTTTCAACGCTCACCCATATGTACCATTTTCATGTCTCTTATTTAAAAACGTGCATTCTAATAAAACTGTAATGCAAAGACATCACGCTTTTTATTTCTTTGTTTCTGCAGTACCTGGTCCGCCCTATCTGTCAGTGGCTCAGGACTCAGAGACATCAGCCGTGGCTCGCTGGGATCCTCCAGATCTAACCAATGGCATGGACCTGCAGGGTTACCGGCTCCAGTTTGGCAGAAAAGATGTCTCTCCTTTGGCCACACTGGAATTTGCTCCCCAAGAGCGGCAGTACTCTGTGGGCAACATTCACCGGGGGGCAATTTATCTCTTTAAGATCTCTGCCAAGAGCAGGGGTGGCTTTGGGGAAGAGGCTGTGGTAGAAGTCAATGTGCCTGAGAATACGCCAGGGGGATACCCTCAAATTAACGAGGGCTCCAATGTGACTTGCTGCTCAGTGCAGCTGTCCTGGTCTCCACCAGTCCTGGCAGAGAGGAATGGGGTAATCACAGAGTACACTTTGGCCTATAAAGAAGCTGGCACCAGAGAAGCTCCACGGGAACTCCACTTACCCCCCAGCCTCTTCAGCTATGTGCTCAACAGCCTCAAACCGAACTCGGCATATGACGTGAAAATACGTGCACACACCAGTGTAGGTCCAGGGCCCTACAGCCCACCTATCCAGTATCGGACCGTGGCCTTTGATCCAGCAGGTAGGGCTTGCCTGTTTGTCTATGTTATCCAACCCAGTTGGCGGGGGGTTGGAAATTGGCTAAAATTAATCTGCAGCAACACAAAAACTGCCCACCCCCTCCTTCAACCACCTCCACCTCTCCTCAAGAAAGAGGAAACATTGATATTTAAATTGCTTGCCGTGGGATACTTACTTCAATAACCCAAATCAGGTAAAAGATAAGTCAGTAAGTTATAGTCAGTCATTTTGAGAAAGAGGAAAGAAGCCTAGAATTTCAAGGTAAGTGCAATTTGGTCAGACACTCTTCTCAGTCATTCTTGCAGCCTGTTGCCAAGCACAGTCACTCAGCTAATGTCATCTCACATCCCCAGTTTACAAACAAGGTAGGATCTCAATCAGATCTAGTCACTTTGAGAGTAAGTGTGGACCTCTAAAATTGCAAAACTCTCATTTTGGTTCTTTATTTTATTTTTGGTTTAAGATATTCTGCCCTTCCTAACTCCCTTCCTCTCCCAGAACCTCATTCTCCGTCCCCCTGTCCTTCGACAGGACAGCTTGTGGCATGGCATCCCACAGATGCACCGCTAAGGACTGTTAGCATGCTATGTTTTGGGTTTGTCTCTTTGCCTACACAGCATCACGTTGGCAGTGCCAACCCAGACTTAGTAGAGGTGTAGGATCAGTTGGCATTGGGACCGCATGGGTCAGTTGTTAATCATCAAATGCTCGTGGTTCAAAGATAATGATGAGCTGGGTTGGCACTACCCACGATGGCTAGCCAGTAGGTACACCCTTGTGCTCCATGGGTTTGTTGTCCATGAGTCTTACGTGCTGTGTGTCCTAACCAATCGCGTTGCCCTTCTCACAGCCAATCACAGCTCACTGTTACACTCACTTTCCTACCCAGAAGAGCGTTGCAGGGGAAGAACAGCTTTTTTTTTCTTTTTTTTTTTAAAAAAAAGCAAAAAAGAAAAATCAGGTTTCTTTATTTGTTTCCCTTTCTTTCTGATGTAAAGATGGTCCATTCACTTATGATACACCCTCTTTCTTTTTTTCTTCTTCTTGCGTTTGTGCACTCAACAGATGTTCCAAAGAACTTCACTGTAAAGTGGGCCACCAAGTCCACAGTGGTCATTGCTTGGAAGTTTTCTGAAAGCAGGTCCCCGTATAAATGCACTGTGAGTATAATGTTGTAAAGCATTCCCACTGTGTAATTTAGCATCCTTGAAGTTGAATTCAATTGAAAACTGTCATTCAGTTTGTCATATTTCAGTGACAGTCGGGCGATCGTGGCTCAAGAGTTGGGCGTTCGCCTTGTAATCGGAAGGTTGCCGGTTCGAGCCCCGGCTTGGACAGTCTTGGTCGTTGTGTCCTTGGGCAAGACACTTCACCCGTTGCCTACTGGTGGTGGTCAGAGGGCCCGGTGGCGCCAGTGTCCGGCAGCCTCGCCTCTGTCAGTGCGCCCCAGGGTGGCTGTGGCTACAATGTAGCTTGCCATCACCAGTGTGTGAATGTGTGTGTGAATAGGTAGATGACTGGATATGTAAAGCGCTTTGGGGTCCTTAGGGACTAGTAAAGCGCTATATAAATACAGGCCATTTACCATTTATGACATGAGTTACCACTAAACAATCTTCCTCTTTTACTCTCTATTCCCTCACCAATTTGCTGATTGACTATCACTCTAATCCTAGATTGAGTATAACCGCCAGAAGATGGATGTGGATGCCAGGCAGCTGAAGGTGTTCGTCACTGGACTAAGACCTAACACCACCTATGAGTTCACAGTGATCTGTCAAGAAAGCATAAATGGTGGGCAAAGACATCGGGTAATAGCCAGGACAGCGCCGCTCATGCTGATCAGGAAACCCAAGTTGGACATCTACAGTAACTCGGATACCGCGCTCACCATGTCCTTTCCATCATTTGACAGCAAGGATGTCAAGTGAGTTTTGAGGGCTAAAAGCATCTGTGAGCTCTGTCTGAATTGTCTTGAAGGGTTAGGGGTTGCTGTCTTCCTTCTCTCTCCCCAACCGGTTGCAGCAGATGGCCCTGCCCCTTCCTGAGCCTGGTTCTGCCGGCGGTTTCTTCCTGCTAAAAGGGAGTTTTTCCTTCCCACTGTTGCCAAAGTGCTTGCTCGTAGGGGGCCATATGATTGTTGGGTTTTTCTCTGTACGCATTATTGTAGGGTCTACCTTACAATATAAAGCGCCTTGACACAACACAACACAACTGTTGTTGTGATTTGGCACTGTATAAATAAAATTTAATTGAATTAATTGAAAAAGTTTAAATGTTGACATACTTAAAATCTGACGTGACATCTGTTGAGATCACTAGGTAATGAGTATGTGACGTGGACTGCTGGTAATTGCTAGGCCCTTTGAGAGAACCGAATTGTCACGTCAATTTAGTGTTGAGTGTGAGGCTATTTTTAATGTAAATTCTGTTACAATCTTAAAGGATTGTTTATTAAAATCAAATCTTTATTGTGCTTTCATGCTGTGTTCACAGGAACTTCTATGTAGTAGTGGTGCCGCTTAAGAAGACCCCAGGAACTGTTAAAGACTTGAAAAACCCTGATGAGATAGACATAGAAGAGGTAGCGCACACAATAAGCTTTCAAGCTGTTTGTTTGTTTGTTTGTTTGTTTGTTTGTTTGTCATTTTGGCTCTGTACACCACCACAGTGGATTGTACAACCAGCCAACATATGATTAAACTGGAGACTTTCAGCTATAATTGAAGGGATTTAACAACAATGTGTCTGTTTACAAATTAAAGGCATATATACACATTTTCCCTCATTTTAGAGGCTCAAACGTAAATGGACAATGGACTGACAAGCAGTTTAATGGGCTGGTCAGATTTTTACATTCTTATTCCAAGAAAAATTAAGCAAATACGAGATCTGCAGTCGATTCCAAGTGTTAAACTTGGATTTGGTGGCTTCTCACTGTTAAAGCTGAAAGTCATTTCAGTTACTTCTTGACTACCTGATTTTAAATAAACTGTGATGACATACAGAGGCAAAATTGCAAAAATTGCATCATTATACATAAACAGTAGTTTTCATGTTCTGTCCACATTGTGCACATCATGTACCCATGTAGGCAAGGCACACAGAACACAGACATAAGTAAATCTCAGCTATGCTAATTTGACCCCCCCCCCAAAAGCATGCAGAAGAGAGAATTACACAGTCTTCTCCTACTCATAACCATAGCTCGGGGTCACCTTGAGCACCAGATCAACAGCAGCCATCCCTATTGGATTTGGGATTACACACATTCCCTCTGCTTAGGGCCCGCCTCTGTCTGCAGTCTAAACTGAATGAGAGAGGATTGATGTAGGGGAAAGGGTTGCATGGTTGCATGGAGCATTGCCAGAAATGTTGAAGCTTTTAGAATCTTAAGTGTGCAGTTACACCTACAGATTGTTTTCTTTGATCTCAGGAAGAGTTCAAGACCTTCTACAAAACAGCTACTTATTCAAGAGACCTACTGCTTATGTATTTGAAAATTTGTACTACTGCCATATTACAGTTTCTTATTTCCAGTTTATTGAATTGATGTCATTTTTTGTGCTTAAATAATAGCTCTTGTTTTGTTTAAATTTTTATTTAAAAAACATTAACATTATAAACACTTTCTGCACTCAGAAACTCTCATTAGGTCTGACTTGAATGTTCTCTATATTTAGTCTTTGATCTGCCAAAATTTTAAAAATACACTCACGCTCTCACACATAAAGAAGTACAATAAAACCTTTTTACGTCAATCAGCTGTTGAGGGAGGTGAATCCAAAGCGCCGTTCACGCCGTCAGCTGGACCAGAAGAAGCCCTACATCATAGCCTGCTTCAGGCAACTGCCCGCTAGCTTCACAGTAGGATCTGAAAACCGCCACAGTAACTGTGAGAACAAGCCTCTCGAACCTGGCCAGGAGTATGTCTTCTTCCTGCTGGTTGAACTCAATGCCACTAGCGGGGTAAGACAGTTCAGTCGAATTTTTGTCAGAGTGGATTTAATTATGCGGTTTTCTTCAGTTAATAGTGGATCTCTTAATGCTGATTTATCTAAACCTAACACATTTATGCTTCTTGTGGTATTCAATTCAGTTTGTTCAATTTGTATCTTTGGGTTTTATGCACTGTACTAAGTTTTGCGAAAAATTGTTTCTGTTCAGAAAATGTTTGCAGCAAGCCCATATACCGACACGGTGGTGACTCCTGAGCTGGTCGTGGACCCTTTGCCAGTAGACGCTGGAGATGGTCTCATATGGGTGTTGGGCCCCGTCCTGGCTGTTGTCTTCATTATCTGCATCGTCATCGCCATTCTTCTGTATAAAAAGTGAGTGGGCTTGGGAATTTCTGTTTGTGGTGATACTTGTGTGTAAAGATGTCAGAACCTCAAATAGATGTGAAGTTTGGAGTTTGGTTTTTCTTGTCATTTCATGCCAAACCCCTTATTTGTAGTCAAACTGGGGAATTGGGCTATCTTAAATGATTGCATGCTAGGCCGCATGTTGAACGAGGGTCTTATTATGTTTTCATGGCAGCATGATATTCAAAGTCCCAAAAACACAGTTGCATGTAAATATGAAACTTTTTTTTTGTGGAAAAAAAAAGATGGTCGTGGGATGTGAGCTGGTTGGAGAAAGAAGAGAGGAGGAGATTCTTTGAGATGGTGCTCGACTAGTAGAAAGAATTTGTCAGTCAGTAGATGTCAAAAGTGTTTATTCACAGCGAGTATAGGAAGGGTGATAAATTCAAGGGAACAATAAAATAAAGATGTGGTGCCAAAAGTAGACCTTGGTAAAGCATTCATCCAAAATGTGTTGCTTCGTTTGTTGTTGATGTTGGTTAATAGAACGTGGACAGGGCTGTTGTCATCATGAAAGGGACAGGATAGAAATGTTCTATCACAGGACTGGAGTGAGTCTAGTAAGCGTGCCACTGCCCTCCCTCTAAATAGACACAAACCATGAAACCAGTATGATCTCTACCACATAAAAACCATATGCATTATAGAGGAGTGCAGCTATCATGTTACGGTATCATAACTAAAGGTTTTTCCTACATATTGTCAGAGTCTGGATGTGAAATTAGAACTGCGAATTCTAGTGTTCAAGCACTTTTTCCAGTGTTGCCTAAGTTACCCAATAATAATGTTAGTAATGACTAAACTACTAGATTAAAAACTGGGTGATCTTTTTTTTTTTTTTTACTGTAGTGGAGATCAAACTTGCCTTTAAAGCCCAACACCTCTGCTCCTCTGAGTCAAGACTAAGTGAACTCTCTGTAGCTTCGAGCTTTGGAAGATGCACATGCAGTCAGTATATCGCCCTTTTTTACTGTTAGCTGCACATATTTGCCTCGGGGGCTGCAAATCCAAACAGAACAATGTTGCAAGAGGTTGCCCTACATACCAGGAAAGATCCCTGAATTATCTAGAAGGGGGTAGGACTGGTGTGAGAAGCATGAGCAGGGCTCGCTACTGTCAGATGATCCGTGACTATCTGACCTTGGTTTACCTCCATCTTGAATGGTTAGAGGGAGAGTAACATCTCTCCTTGAATCTCTCTCTTTTTTCTCTTCTCTTTCACTCCACCTCACTCTCCCATCTCCCCCATCTCTCCATGGTGAATAGTGTTTCCCAGGACTGCCCTTGGCCCTGACATTCCCCTTTCCTATCTGTATCTGCACCCTTCGCACACACACGTACACACACACGCATGCACGCACACATCCACAGACACGCAAATGCAGGGCTCTCGAATGTATGCGCTTACTTACACATTTCATTGAATACGCACTCATTCCAACTCATTGACACGTGCACACACTTGCACTCATGCACACACCTTCTTCCAATGCTGATGAGCTTTATCTCGCTTTTTTGCGAGCCCAGCAGCGACCCCTGTGAATTTTAAACTGCTCTCTATTGATTTATCTCTCTTCTTGCCTCCCCGTCTCCCTTTCTCCTTGTGTGTTGTGTTTTCACCATCTTTATATATTTATTTGACTCCTATTGCTTTCTCTGGAAACAGCAAACCCGACAGGTAAGGCTTAGTCTTACTTAGATTTAATGCATTTTTCAAGACAAAATAGCTTGTCTCAGCACAAAATGGCCTTAATTAGTGAGAGTGAAGGAGACTTGTTCATACGCGATACATGTTACCAGCTTCACAGTCCGTGATTTTGCTTCACTCTTAGCTTTTCTGACCGACTGAGCTACCAATCAGTCAGAGTTACTGAGTAGATAGTGAGGATGGGATCTCTTGTGCTGGATCAAGTGTGCATTAAAGTTTTTCTTTTTCTTTTGTCTTTTTTTGTACGTCTTCCCCTCTTCCTTCTTTATGTTTGACTTACTGTCCAGCCACAAAAGAAAAGAGTCGGAGCCACGCACAAAATGTCTGCTGAACAACGCAGACATTACACCCCATCACCCCACAGACCCCGTGGAGGTGAGGCGCATCAACTTCCAAACTCCAGGTAAGGCAAAAGGTGCATTACACTCTGAATGAAGAACAGGAAGCTCATTCATCTCATTCTAAAATTGTAGAGCAACAAAGGATTGGAAGAAGTTTCTTTTTCAAATAAAATTAATGGAGGCTGTAAAGGAGGTTTAATCCAAAAAAGATCTCACGGGCTGCATACATGTGTGAATCTGGAGAAGACCTTTCATATTGTTGCACAATTACAATTCAGAGAGAAAACCTTTCATGAAAGCAGAATATAAATATATGGTTATGCATTAATACACTTTACGTGTGTCGTGACAGCAGATTGTTACACTTACACCCACATGTGCTACTCCAAAATGATTGCATATGTGCTTTTGCGTACACCCTGTCTGAGTCCCCCCATATCATTGTGTTTGACATAATTTGCCATCATAACAGCCTGTAGGCTATAAGCATGTGTTTGCCATATCCCCATTAACCGCTGATGAATAAGAAAGAGTTTGAAATTTTGTGCATTGTCAGGCCTGTCTTTTTTATACCCTGGCTTTCTACGTGGTTTTATCTTTTTTTCAAAAACGTCTCAAAGACTTTAGAGTCAGACCTGTTACATATCGTCAACTTTTCTTTATTATCAGGTGTGTTTCCAGAACCACTCAAAGCTGCTGTAATTAAACCTATACTAAAAAAGGACAATCTTGACAAGACACAAATGAACAACTGCCGGCCAATCTCGAATCTCCCGTTTTTAAGTAAGATCATTTGAAAAGCAGTTTCTCAACAGCTCAATTACTTCTTAAAACAGAATAACTGCTATGATGCCTTCCAGTCAGGTTTTAGACTGAACCACAGCACTGAAACCGCTCTGACCAAAGTGTTTAATGACATATGTCTGAACACAGACAGTGGAACAATGTCAGTCTTAGTTTTACTGGATCTCAGTGCAGCATTTGATACAGTTGACCACAACATATTACTCAAACGACTGGAGAACTGGACAGGTCTTTCAGGAACTGTACTAAACTGGTTCAAAACATACTTAGAAAACAGGAAATACTTTGTATCAATAGGTAACTTCACATCTGAGCAGACAAGTATCACATGTGGAGTTCCCCAAGGTTCCATCTTGGGACCCCTTCTGTTTAACATTTACATGCTCCCACTGGCACAGATTATAAAGAACAACAAAATAAACTATCATAGCTATGCAGATGACACACAAATATATATCACAATGTCACTAGGAGACCGAGGCCCTGTACAGGCTCTTGGTAAATGCATTGAGGAAATCAATGACTGGTTGTGCCACAATTTTCTCCAGCTAAACAAAAACAAAACTGAAGTAATAGTCTTTGGAGCCAAAGAAAAACGATTACAGGTCACCAGAGAACTTCAATCTGTACATCTAAAAACCACAAACCAGGCGAGAAATTTGGGTGTAGTGATGGATGCAGACCTAAACTTAGAAAAACACATTAAGACAATAACAAAATCAGCTTACTATCACCTCAAGAATATTTCAAGGATAAAAGATCTGATGTCTCAACAGGACCTGGAAAAACTAGTCCATGCATTCATCTTTAGTAGGCTTGATTAGTGTAACAGCATCTTTACAGGTCTACCTAAAAAATCAGTCAGACAACTACAGCTCATTCAGAACTCTGCTGCTCGAGTCCTCACTAAGACCAAAAAAGTGGACCACATCAGTCCAGCACTGAGGTCTTTACACTGGCTGCCTGTCCGTCAGAGGATAGACTTTAAAGTTCTGATGCTGGTCTATAAAGCTCTAAATGGTTTAGGACCAAAATACATCAGTGACCTCCTGACCCAGTATGAACCTTCCAGATCCCTCAGGTCACCTGGATCCTGTTTTTTATCAATTCCCAGAGTCAGAACCAGACATGGAGAAGCTGCATTCAGCTTTTGTGCTCCATATATCTGGAACAAACTCCCAGAAAGCCTCAGATCAGCTAAAACACTCAGTTTATTTAAATCCAGGTTGAAGACTCACCTGTTCTCAGCTGCATTTGAATAAAGCACCAAATCCGCACTGTTTTACTTTAAGCTTAAATTTCCAAACTTACATTCTAACTACTGATTTTATCTACTGTTCCTTTTTTTTTTCATTTTAAATCATGCTTTTTATTTGTTTTTGTTTTTTAATGTTTCTGTAAAGCACTTTGAATCACCTTGCTGTTGAATTGTGCTATATAAATTAACTTGCCTTGCCTTATTTCTGATGATCATCTGCGCTAAAGTCTGGTTTCTCCAGCCATAGCTTTCTGACATCTTTCCCCTGGCTTTCATTCAGATTGATTTTCTGTTTGTTTGCCTTTTTTTTTATCATCAAGCCTCCTGTAATTTGACCACACTGACATCTACGGTTTGTTGACTCTGGTCTTAGCCGCAGTGGAAGTGTTTTTCTTATGCTGTCTTCTTGTTTCAGTTAAGTTTCAGTGTCCAGTTACAAGCTGTGGTGTGCAAAGAAAAAAAAATGCAGTTGGCACATCTGTCGGCCAGTTACCTTCCAAATGTATTGTAGCATAAAAGCTCGCTATGTATCTAAGTAGCCTTTGTACAGATTGGTCCAAACAAACAGCTAATAAGGGAGACAATTCTCCAAAAGTAGAATAAACACACCCAACCTAGTTTCTGCTTGTTTCTTTTCTTTTATTTCTTCGTTTATTTTTTTTGCCTGCCGTCTTTCTGTCTTCGAGCCGGGATGTTTTTTTGGAAATCCATCTGTCATCCATGGCCAGTCTCTGCTCCATCAAAAGGCTCAGATTTCAAAATAAAGCATTTCTCTTCAGCCCGGACATGCCGCCTTGAGTTTGTATCTTCGAAGGAAAGAGAGATTTCTTTACATCAGAGGACAGAGAAGCAAGGAGACTCACAGAGACACTTACAGAGAAATGCTACTGTTCCCATCTTTATCTTGCTTGGCATTCAGAGTCCTATCAGAGGTTTCTGTAACCACAATGTTATAGTGGCCGCTCTTACGTTTTGAGATTTTCTCCTGTGCTTACCGCTGTCCTTCAGCCTTCCTTAAATAACAGTCACTCTCATTACAAATGCTTGCCCTCTTTTATACAACAGTCACCAGTATATGTTAAGACTTGTCTTTATACTCGACGAGCATTCTCATTCCACAGCCTCGCCGTTGTTCCGCAGAATTGGACGCTGTTGTTATCTCCGCACCCGGGGAATTTAATTTAAATGGACATTTTAGCCCAATTAAGTGGGCCGGTGAGCATTTGTGAACATCCCCATCAGCTAATAGCGACCATTGTTCAAATGAGCATACTCCCCGTGCAGTTATCCAAGGCCTCTCCAATCCAGCCGAGCATATGCCGTGTCGGCAATGTGTGCTCGCTGACCCCTAGTGCTGAGGAACATAAAATATGTTTTTGATTAGCCTTCCAACAGGCATCATGTTTCAGAGAGAGTGCGCACATCTTGTGTGTTTGTGCACGCCTGTCCATGTATGCTTAAAAGCCTGTAGGTGATATGACAGCCTCACAATGACATCCCATAACTCCTTGGGGCACAGAGTGACTTGTTTTGTCATTAACTTCCATTGTGCCTAGGGTTTAATTGGCAAATGGGGCCAAAGTAATGAAGCATCACGACTCGGTGGATATCTACTGTCTATCTGCAGCTAAGCCCTCCCTTTCGCCCAGAGTGCTCGCTTTTTTTTCTTCATCATTTTATTCTTTGTCTACTCTTCTTTATATTAAAGTTAAAGCTTTTTTCCTACAATAGTTAATGATTATCACAACGCTCCAACTAGCAATAAAGAAATAATTAAATGTACTTATAATAAACATTTTCATGTGATGAGTTCGATTTCCCGAGGGTCATATGGGGTATGATCAAAATGTTCTGTGACTGCGGCAACATGATTTGAATTTGACCACCATCCCTCAGCGTTATCTGAAGTCCTTTGGCTGTGACACACTGCCTCCAATGCAGCTGCCATGCTTGGAACACTTTCTGAACGCATTCTTCAGTGCATCACACTGTTCTGCTGCTGCAGCCCTGATGTCCTGATGTAGCACTCAATTGTAATTGCACCACATTTCAGGACCTTTGCACTCAATGTCTTCCATTAGACCCATCATGAGTAGAAGTTGAACTCAGCACACAACCCAGTAAATTTTGGAAAAAATAAACAGCAACCCTCCTCCTGGTCGTGATCCTAAACTTGTATTCCCTCTTGGGTCTTGGAAACTGTGGACTCTTCTCTTTTTAAAACTCCTGTTTAGTCATTAGGTTGCTGATGAAAATGATCACAACTTTAACGTGAAGGTGCTAAAAAGTGGCCGAAAAGGCTTGTACCGGGCACCCCGTGCTGATTGGACTTGGCACCTCTTGCATCGACATGACCGTGCCATGCTCTTGATGTCAGCAGCAATGGAACTTTTCCATTTAATGAAAAATCCAAAACAATCTTGCAGCAAACGCAGCCCCAGACCATCACACTACCACTACCATGTTTCAATGTAGGTGTTGTGTTCTTTTTATGAAACGCTGTGCTAGCTTTACACCAGACATTACGCGACTCAGACTTCCCAAAAAGTTCACGTTTTGTCTCGTTAGTCCGCAAAATATTTTCCCAAAAGTCTTCATCAAGATTTTTTTTTGACAAATGCGAGACAGGCCTGTGTTCTTTTTGTTCATTATGGATGCTACTTTTGCCCAGTCTCTTTTATAATGTTGAATAATGAACACTGTCCTTAATTTGGGCAAGTGAGGTGCAAATTAGATGTTGAGTTCTTTTGTGACTTCCTGGATGAGTCGTCACTGTGCTCTTAGAGTAATTTTGGTGAGCCAGTCGCTTCTGGGACACTTCATTCTGTTTTCTCCATTTGTGGATAATGGCTCTCATTGTGGTTCACTGGAGTCACGAAGCCTTAGAAATAGCTTCGTAACCCTTTCCAGACTGATAGATGTCAATGGCTTTGTTTCTCAGTTGTTTCTTTAAACCCTGGCACAATGTGTTGCTTTTTCAGATCTTTTAGCCTACCTCACTTTGTCAGACAAATTCTTTTTATTTATTGATTCAGCATGTCTAGCAGTAATCAAGTCTTGTTGTGGCTGTTAAAACTGAAATCAGCTTTCCAAAAACTGTTGTTATTCACAGTAAATTTATGATCTATCAAGGTTTTTGTGAGGGTGCAATTCCTTTCTTACATATTTGTCTAATATTGAAAGTCATTTGGTTATCTAGAACGTGCGAGTGTGACAAATATGTAACAAAAGAAAACCTCTGCATACAGCATATAAAATAATACATATGTTCTTCACTATATTTATCTACAAAAGAAGCATCACTCTCACGTCACAACAACTTGAACGGCCAAGTCCTCCCGTTCACAGTTCTGTGGAAACACACACATAACACACACTTCCGTATGAACATAATCAGACATGCCTGTACTTTCTTCATGCTGTGATGAATGACGTTTAGGGACAGCGGTTCAGATAACCACCCACTAGGTTTAATTAGTCATTGTCACAAATCAATTAGGGAGAGGGGGATGTTCAATGTCTTCATCTCACTGCGCTCCTTTTGCATCACTGCAGTGACGTCTTGTCTCCTATAGACGTCAATGTAAAGCCATGAATGCTTGTTTTTGCAGCTATATTTTGGAGACTCAAGCGTAACTGTTTGTTTTTGTTTTCGTTAATAAAATCCCGCTTTAGCCTGTAAATCTTCTAATCTTGTTTCCGTTCCATTAATTTCTCACTTCTTACACGTGAAGCTGAACATAATATCTCGATTCAGTTGGATAAAACTTGCCATCTTTGTATTACGCGATCGACCCTGTCACTCTGATGACAGCTTTCAGCCTGTGCAAAATCTATTTTTCTTTGCTTGATGGGCAGGTTGGACACATCCCATCACATGCCATCTCTTGGCCACATGTCCTGTTAATACTGTCACAGATGGCTCCTTTCTGCTTGAACGGTCGGGGACACCTGTGTCTACACGGACGTAATATCGGCCGGCTGGAGCCCCGGAGGATTTCTACTCTGGAGCAGATAAGATTTTGAACCGTCACCACCCTCCTCGGAGCTCTGACTCCCATCAGCTCCGGCTCCACAGCTGTCAGCCAAGAATGCGGACACTTTTCCACACCTTTCACTCCTGGTGCTTTGGCATGAAGCCACAAACAAAGGAACCTTTCAGAGTTAGTTTTCACCAGCAAACATAAGCTGTTTTTCCCTTCTCTGTCTTCCTCACAGTCCTCCGGATGGGGCCTTTCCAACTGCTGTTTATAAAGGCTTAAATATAGCAAATCAATTTTCTTATCGCTGATCTCTATAGCCGCTGATATGGGGGTTGGCAGACGAAATTTTTCCACGGGCCCACAGAGGCTGACACCCTCAGCCAACCAGTCGGCCCCCAAGTGGGAATCTGGCACTGACTGCTAATTGGTGGTGGACGGGAAGTTGTGTTAAGATTTGGAAATGTTTGCCCTACTTTATCACGTCTGTGTGTCAGTTTGGCCTGAAAACTGAAATAACATAATTTAGGCCACCCTGTGGGATGAACTGAGGTAATATTACCCTTGTGTTTTACTTCATGCCCTTGTGTTATGTTGCACATTTCATATTTTCTGTTAACATGGCATTTTGTGTTGCATTACAGCCTTTTTGAAACCATTTCCTTTATGTCTGCTGTCCTTCACAGATTCTGGTCTAAGCAGTCCTCAGAGTGAAGCAGATTTTGACTATGAAAGTTAGTCACTATGCTCTCAGAGTTTGCGTACCAGCTTTCTTTATATACGTATGGTTTTTGTGTGTGTGTGTGTGTTTTATTTTGTTTTAGGTATTTGAGCACCGCTTGCCTCAATTTCCAAATACATCATTTGCATTTGTTTGTTTTTTCACATGATGCAGCAAAATTTGAGCACTAATTAATTTTATGTTTGTTTCTATTGGTCCACTAGGGTGTGTTTTTTCTTTTTCTTTTTTTTCCCCTTTAATTGGATCACAATATTCACTCGGGCTGTTGGCTGTGCATTAATCTACCATGCATAAATAACCTGTGCGATCACTTCCGCTCATGTATAGCTGGTTAATAAGTGGAGGTTTTTTTCCCAAATACAACTTGTGTTATTCCTTTTTCTCTTCCTCCCAATCCTTACCTCCAAGCTGTTGTTCTCCCGTCTCCCTCCTCCTTCACCACCACTGCTCCATTTCCATTCTGAACCAACGGGGTCTTTTTCTGTGCTCAGAGATAACAAGCAGAATTAATTAAAGCAGTGGCAAACAATGGCTCGACATTTGATCACCCCCTCTCCTGCTCACCACAAAAGAATCACCCGAAAGAAAAAAAAGGAGTTTCTGGTTTTTACTCTTCCCCCAGTTTTCCCTCTTTATTTTCTTTGCTTATCCACAGGCAGACGTCGACTCTTTAAAATGGAAATACGCGACATCATAAATAGGCTTTTGGAAAGACCGGCTTGGCTTTTCGAAAAGAATGATTATATTTCTCAGGCATATCGACTGCAGATCAGGAGACTGGAAGTGTGTAATTAGATGTTTTTTTGTGACGTGTGTTTACTAATCACTATGTTGATTACAGCGGGAGAAAAATAGGATAGTAGATAGATAGGGGGGGGGAAAAGCTTTGGGATTGAGCGTTGTGGGAGAGAGGGGGCTGACTGCTTCAGAGTTAGGTTAAGAAAGAACAGCAATTCGCCCTTGATTGACTTTGCTTGGGTAAGCTTAACAGTCAAGTTTAGCTTAGAAGCTAAATATTTTCTGGGAAATAACATTGCAGCGCGCCTTCAGGTGTGGTAGATTCATTTGTTTGGAGCATAAAGCACGTAGTTTATATTAAATTTAATAGCAAAATGAGGCACCAAAAAGCAAACAGTACTAATTATGCTGATCAAACAAATTGAATTGCATATTTACATCAGGCTCTTATATAAGCCTTCTGCAAATAAGTGCTTCTTACCTCCTCCAGTTGAGGTAAACAAATGCCCTGGTCACTTTTTTTTTTTTTAAGAAAAACTGTAAAAGGATAACACACACACACACAAATTGGGATACGTGCACATGAAAAGAAAACTACACACACCACGCGTGCACAAACCCCAACACAAACAGTCTTTGATCTCCCCTCAAACAACCTCTTGCTCTTGTTTTCCCAAAGAGAAGTAAGGGCCCCTTGTTTGAACACATTTACTTATTTCACTCATAGCGTCTGATAGGGTTTTCCTTTGAAAGCGAGGCTAATAAACTGACAACCAAATTTCATTTTTCATCTTCTTTTTCCTTTTTTTTCTCCTTCCTTGATATCCATCGTAATGAATTCTTACAGCAGAAGCCGTTAATAACCTCGGCTCATTCCAAAGCGCCGCCGCAGAGCTTTGTTATCTCACTGAGAAAACTCAAGTATGAATAAACAAACAGTTCTGCTATTACCCGACAAGGTTTCCTTAAGGTTTGCAATTAACATGCTTAATTGAAACACAAACTCAACATGGGCTTTAAGAATAGGGGGAAACTATTAAGTTTGTCATTTAAGTGGTTTGCATTTTTTGTAAAGTAGACTGTTAATACGGCATGTCCGTGTCTGTGCCCAGAAGATGCCACGGCGTCCATTTGTCTCATGTGTACATTGTAATCTTTATGTACTTGAGACTGCCACATTGTTATATCAGTGTAAAATAAATTACCATCACTAATGAATACTGTCAGCACAGAGAGTTGGTTCCCCCCCCCAAGCGCAACAAAACACGGGTGACCCCCCGTAACATTGGAGGGGGGTATTAAGCATCGTATAAAAGGGAAAGTTAAGGATGGTTAATGTGATTATGCCGATTTGCATGCCCAATTAACCCTGAATTTTTCTGAGGTGGTGTCAACATTTTGTTGACTTTTGACCTCAATGCTCTGCAGGAAAAGAGGCCTTGTGTTTAAAAATATGGAAGTGCTAAGTATTGCCAGTCAGCGTGCAGGGACAGAGCCACAATCTACAGTTGCGCCATATTCCATTACATGGCCTCAGCATTATGCTTCTAAATGGATTAGCGACTGGAGTGCACAGCAGTGCTGATAATATTATAGTAGCTGCAACACAATATTCAGTGGATATTGAAGCAAGGAGGAAAAAAAAAACACAATTTTCCCCACCCATTTAAAAAAGCTTGTACTTTTAGTGAATGCCTTGGGATAAAAAGCAGTAGGATTTTTGGGGAGGGGTGGAAGTGTATGTTGGACTGCCTGTTTTTGGTATTGGAAGGTACCGTTGGGGTATTCGTCATTGAGATAGTGTTCGGCTAATGCCGAGCAAAGCGGCAGATGAAGGAAAAGGCTATCTTTGCACTAGCAGGCTGAAATGGAGCAGCTCTCTGTGTCACTCAGCATCATTCACACTCCTAAACCTTCTGATCCCTCTCACACCTCCCTTCCTATAAGCCCCCCCAGGTCAGGGCTCGATTCTAGAATACGATTTTTATAGAGGCAGCAGTGAAAAGTGGTCGCCGTGCTAACAACGCTGCACAAACAGAGCACTGCAGATTAAGGCTGCGCTAACACCGTGTTTTCCATGTACAGCTAGTGAAAAACAACTAAGTCAACTTAAATTTGAAATGTCCTACTTGATCGAGACCATTCAACGACTCAACAGTATTCCCATTGAGTTGTGAGGTTTTTATTCAAATCATCTCTTGTTGATCGCAGTCGAGCTGAAAGCAAATGTTACTTTTGATTGTCTCTAATGAGGAGTTCAAGGCAATTTTGTCAACATGAGCATTCTGTTGATTGAAAGACCAAAATGGGGGTCTTTGTGATGATTTGTGGGGCTCCTTCGTCTGATCTCTCCATCAAAACCTTTTGTTGTTCCTCTTATGTCACGTTAAACTAATTTCCCAAGCTATCACAATTATTGATGCCTCTGAATGTTTGAGCTATAACTGGCTACGCTCTGCAACTTTTTGTTCCTATTGGTCCACCTGTCCGTCAGCATCGTGATTGCAGTGGGAGTAATTACAATTTGGTCTGCGGGTGTATAACACAACCCTTTCTGGCAAATAATCAATCAGCCCCGCAAGATAAACTTGGCTATTTTTGAGCTCTGGCCTGGTCCAATCAAGTGCGTATAACATCACCAGTCAGCACATTTTTCTTTGCTTTTTTTTTTTACTGTGTGTAACATTCACGATGTCCTGCTCAAGCTTCCTCATCACTAAAACCCATTGTCCCTCGTTATTTAAGCAAAGATCAAAAAACAAGTTACCTGTACTTTAAATGGCATGTGTGAATGTTTAGAACCAGTGTCCCGTGTGCTGTACTGATACACTTTCTTTCCTTTCTTCCCTTGTGTGGAATGTCTCTCTATGTTTTTGGCGAGCAGGTATGATGAATCATCCTCCTATCCCTATCTCAGAGCTGGCTGAACACACAGAACTTCTCAAGGCCAACGACAACCTCAAACTCTCCCAGGAATATGAGGTGGGTGGGCCAACGATTCAAACGTGAAAGTTGCCTTACGGTGTTGATTTCTGTCCAATTGTGTTTTCATTGGGGGGAAAAAAGGACAGTCTCATCTGGTATGCTCTAGTGTCGCGTGCTTCTTCTTTTGAATTCTTTCTTTTCTGCTTGTTTTGCGTATGTGCGTGTTGTAGCTGGTGTTACTTGAGCAATTACAGTGTTTACAACAAGTATCTCATACATTAGCAGCCTCCACATGGCAAAGAAAGACCTCTGCTAATGTGATTTTGGGAAAAGCGCACACTGGCACTCAGGCTTTAACATGGTATGTGTGGGAGTGTGTGTATGTTTGTGTGCAGAGGGGATAACTGAGCTGTCTGAGCTCTGAGACTGCAGCGGTTATAAATGACACCAGAGTTGATTAGAAATCAGGAGCGCTGAATCAGCTCTCGTTTGCATACAAGCAATATCCCCTCCCCACCATCCCTAAATCACTGTGCCTGTCGTCTCGCTGCACACCAGGCTAAGGTGGGAAGCGGGTACACCAGCACAGATTGCCGTCATCATGCCCACTGGTGGATGTTGGCGGATAACGACTTTTAATAGCAATCCTGTATTTCTTGGGTATCTATTATTCATAAATCCACATCCGGGCTATATACCAAATGGACAAGCTTGTTCCGTTCTGCAGGGGAAGAGAGACGAGAAACGTGACGCCAAAGTTGACGCTTTGATGCAACTTCAACTTCTAATTACTTGGTTTTGAGAGAGCCTTAAACCACCAGCTCATCTCTGTCTTCTCTCCCTCGGTCCGCCTGCCCCTTTCGCACAACCACCCCCCAGGAAAAATAAATGACCAAATTAAATAGAGAAGTGTAATTTTAATTTTGTTATTTTCTTGATGAATGGCTGCTCGTGCCGGCGCCCCGGCTTGCCAAGCACAGCTCTACAGGGCTTTGACTGATTGGTTTTTAGCCAGGCGGGATGTGCGAGCGGAGGAAAAAATGGAGGGGAAGAGGGCAGAGAGGAGAGAAGGGAGAGAGAGATGAGGTGGAGAAGTTTTGGTTAATGATGAGGATTCAGCGAGGGGAGAGAAAGCGGGAGAGTGGAGATGAAGAGAAGATAATCTCAAGTACAAACGGAAGCGAGGAAGGCAAACCGCGGCGCTGCGTGATGACACTGAAGCTGCAGAGTTTATCTGTCTGCTGTCAGGCGCTCAGGAGGCGTCGTCCTGCCAAGCCTGTCACGTGGACACGAGCTGTCATTCATCTTCAGCCATCATCACGGTAAAAAGGAGGAGAAACGGGGAGAAATTCTAGTTTTACAAGAGAAAATATTTTGCCGATTTTTTTTAAATTTACAAATTTCTTAAATGTCATTTGTGGAAAAAAATATTGAAATGTGAAATACACGGATGTTGTTTGAAGGTTTTTGCACTGAGGGAGAGTTGGGAGTTTTTTTTAAGAGAGAAATGACCCCAATCTTTTTATGCAGACATGAATACTCACACTTAGTCGGTCATAAGATGATCTGAAAGGAAAAATATAGGGAGTGGGAGAGGTGGAGGACTCTTTAATAGTAAACTTCAGAGAGAACACAGTAGATAAAAAGTGGAAGAGTTTGAAGATGGAGCCGTGCTGATAAGGAAAACGGGGATGTCGAAAAAGGCTAGAGAAGGGGGGAAAAAAGCCAGATGAGGCTAAAACAGAGGGAATCTCTCATTGCTGTAATGATTGCGTGCTGATTGCATGTTAAATTAGGTTTCCAATTGGACTCAGTTTCAGCTTCAGTCTCTCTTTCTCTCGCTCTCTCCAGGCCCAACTGCAAATATCATTCAAGCCTCCATCCCCATGCCAACACGGCACCAGACGCCTATGAGCAAACATCGGCTCATAATGGAATACTTAATTATCCTGGCGAGGGAGCGGAATAGTTATCTAGAATTCTCGTATTTTTAAAGAGACGGCTGAATTTGTCTTTCACCCAAGTGTTGAGGCTCATTCCACGAGTCTCCTGTCAAAGGGGGAAGAGCCGTCGCCTTTATCAATATTGTTATTTGTCATTATGCACCCCCGCGCATTAATGATCTTGATAAAGTACCGCGTGCGGCTGCTGTATCAGAACCAGTCGGCGTGCAGATTGTAATGATACCGTGTTCTTCTTTCTCTCAGGGAAATCAACCTTTCTATCTCTCCCTCCCCCATCTTCCGCTCTTCTTTCTGTGATAGCACGGAGGTTGTATTGTTATTACTCAGCTTCTCTCGTGGCTCCTTTTGATTGCTTCCTTACATGTGCATGTTCTGCCTGTCTCTGCACCCCCGTCAGTCTATTGATCCAGGCCAGCAGTTCACCTGGGAGCACTCCAACCTGGAGGTGAACAAGCCCAAGAATCGTTACGCCAACGTCATCGCCTACGACCACTCACGTGTCATCCTGGCTCCCATAGAGGGTAAGTTTCAGCCTCATGCTCCGCACATCTTCGCCACCTCTGACATGAGCTCGTATCGCTGCTGTTTGATAAGTGCTCACACAGATTCAGCGTAAGTTATCAGTAAAAAAGCAGAATATGTTAAATAATCAGCCGAGTGGAAAGGTGTTTCTTATTGCAGTGTGGATTTAAATGGGATAGATTAGCAATTTAATCCGTCGGGACAAAACTTGACTAGATTATGGAACGGGATTAGGGCCACTGAAAAATATAGAGGGAGATATTTTTTGGGTCAGGACTTTTTTCTCGCTTTCAACTCATACGTTTGTAAACATAATTGTTTATCCACCAGTTTGCACAGGTGCTTTAATGCTGAAATACAAATACAGTTAATATTTTTCAATGGATTTGCCAAACTCCAGTTGTTTACTGAACAGCAGATTTGGTTTTAATGATTGAAACACATCACATCCTTAGGGGTTAATAAAATATTCTGATTCTGAATTTTAAAGAAGTCCACTGTGCCGGCTCAAGTTTGGGTATAAAAAATGTTGAATTCAGTCATTTTTATCTTTAAACCTGTTCTTTTTTTTTTCTACAGATTTCTAAGTATTGTGAAATACTTATCTAATAAACGTGTGAAGCACCATATATGCTTACTGTATAACTTCTATGTAGAAAAGGAAGAAAAGTGAAATGTGCTGATTTTTAAACTCTGGACATTTTTCCAGCTCAGCTTGCTACTGACCAGCTAAGCAGTTTACAGAGGCAAATTGGGGGGTGAGGCAAGGACTCTTTATAGCTCATCTTTAGGCCAAGCGCTTAGATCTCACACTCAAACCGAGTCGGAAGTTAAACCAGTGTTTTCAGTGTCCCATTTGTCTCATCACATCTACGCCCCTGTCTTGACTTCCCTCTAGCTGCCTATAGACACGGTGGTGAGAATCTCAGAGCCAGAAAAATTCTTTCTCTGACTCCTAAATCTCAAGGGACATTGTCAGAGGTAGTCACCCTTCACTGCTGACATTGTTCTGGCTTTGCATCACCAGAAGAGCTGCCGACTCCTTCACAGTAATGCCAAACTCTCTGCTCCAGAGTCCTCTCCTTTTGTGTGAAATAACTGCTCGGGCTAGATTTCGGTATCTTGCAGTAGTCAGTCCAATTTTAGGGTGCAGCAACATGCATAACAAAATTATCCCAGGGAAATAAAATGCCTCGTCCATAAATACATAAATTAATCAAGTCTGAAATTTCTATTTTACACTGCAGTGATTTTGCTATTAGTCGCAGCAGTAGAACAATTCATGCACGCCACCATTCTCTGTTCACTTAGCTATGACTAAAGCCAAGGCAGCCCAGTCAAATTGTGCAACGTGGTATCCGTTTTAATGACATTTGACTTTCTTTTCTCTTCTTTACTTCGATTCTTTGTTCTTTCTTTTCGTCTTTTCACCCTCCCTGCTCTTTCTGCCTCTCGCTCGGTCTCTCCCTTCCTCTGTATATTACATCCTTCCTCTCCGCCCAGGCCGTAGCCCTCACTGAGTCGCCTCTTTTAAACGAGTCCGGTCGAGTTTTTCATTGTTTGTTGCTTGAGCGAAGAGATGTCAGATGTTAAAGAGACATGAGTCTCCGACACACAGATGCTGTCACGCCGAAGCCTCTTCTCAAATGGAGAGATTGTAGAAGTTGGTAAATGAAGATGGGTGATGCTCTGCCTTATCACTGCCAGACGCTCGATGTAAGACACTCCAATCACAAGATAATCCTGTTAACATTTAAAGCATTTTGTCCTTTAGTGACTCCTTTTTAAACTCAAGGGCACCTTGACTTGTGAGCACATTTACACAATCCTGTGCATTAAAAACATTTCAGATCCTTCTAGCTAGATTTAGTAGGACTGGTGTATATCACAGCATGGTAGCAGGCTCAGGGGGACTGAAGCTAAATCTACCTCGTAGCTATGTTGGCTGAAAAGCTGTTTTACTTTCCACTATCTTCCATCATCTTTTTGGTCTGTTGTGGTGGTAAACACGATATCTACGGGAACCTGGAAAGAGCCACAAACGTAGAAAAGAAAAATGATAGAATATTGTGACAGATGTGTTGAATTAATTTAAAAGCGCACAAAAATCTGGTTTGTGATCATTACAGATGGGAGAACTGCAAAAGGCATAATTAGCTGTTAATAAAAACATAGTAAATTGCTAATAGATGCACAATACTGCATGAATTAAGCTTCGTAATGCAAAAAAATAAAAGAGAACCTCAGTGTAGAAAGCTGCTTACACTTCAGTGGTGTAATAAGTAAATTATTAAAACTCAATAAATATGTATTAGTAACATAATAAATTACAAGTGAGTAAAGGCTTTTATTATCATCAGGTGATAATACCCCTTTCCTGACAAGTTTCTTAGAAGCTGACGTGGTCGACAGCATATTGAAAGACATTGCCACTGTAGTTTGGACAGTTTGGGAAATGTTACGGGAATTCAGCCAAATTCCAAATTCTGGTCTTCACATTTACACGTACTCCTTCCTTGGCTGGGAACTGTGTCAGTGCGTGTGACAACTGAGATTTACTGAGGCAGATGGCGTGATAATAATTGTGTTAATGAAAAAGTCTGATAAATGAGGTTTGGAAAAAGAATAATAAAGGAAAAGCCATCAAAGGTACACGTTCCATCTTTTAATCTCTGTTTTTTTTTTCCTCTATCTGCCTACGTGTAGGTATAACAGGCAGCGATTACATCAACGCTAACTACATTGATGGCTACAGGAAGCAGAATGCTTACATTGCCACCCAAGGACCTTTACCAGAGACATTTGGAGACTTCTGGAGGATGGTGTGGGAACAGAGAGCAGCCACTATTGTCATGATGACTCGGCTGGAAGAGAAGTCGCGGGTAGGTCCACTCGGCATATCTGGGCTGCTTTTCTGTACGCTTCTTTTTAAACCCCCAACCTTACAAATCGCTTGAAAATGATGTTTTCTTTTAAATAAGCCTTGGAATCAAATCAGTGCATTACACAACCAAGTACAACAACCAGCTGCTGAAAATGGCACAGCTTTACATTGATTTCCCAGTTGCATAACTGAACTCCATTGGTAGGCAATCAGACTTCATTTTCTTGGGATAGATTGCTTTCAGAGAACTGTAGATATTTGAATGGGGTGGTTAAAGCAACTGGGGAGGCTGATAAAGCAGAGCTAACTCAAAGACACTCTACCTGCGCACATCTGATAAGTAAGGCTGCGTATCCACTGGGAGTACCTTCACAGGCTTAGCTCTGTTTTCTCTCCTTATTTGCAGCAGAAACCACAAGCTGTTGCATGTCCCAGAGAGCATAGAGAGTTGTTGAACTTAGACTGCTTAGTGCAGGAAGCTCAAATGAAATTTTAAGAACGGGAGTGCTAGAGTGCTGTAGAGTATTTGCAGTACCTGCGACCAGTCTCTCCTACAGCCATCTGTTGATTGTAGAATATAGAGAGAAAACGATCCAGAGAGAACAGTGGCTTAGATTCAGGAAGCTCAGCATCCTGTTTTTGTAATGTGTGAAGGAACTGGGTCCTAGCTTAGAAATGACAAATAAGACTACATTAAAGAAAACCTTAAATATTTGGCGGTGGGGGAATAGCGTTCAACGCAGTTTATGATAATCACTGCTGCAAATGAGACTGCACCTGTCATTTATTTGGTACACATTATGGGATATCAGCAGTTGAGACACTGCATCTCTAAGAATAAGAGAGGAGACTAACATTTAAGTACGTGCAGTTGCATAAACTTGCCCAGGCAATATATTTTGCTGATAAAATGTAACTTTATCCCATTAGCTCTAAAACACCATTATGTTTCATTGCACTTAAAATGGGAGTGGGGTGAGTGTGGTGTTTGGTAGTGGGTTTTTTTTTCATGTTTGGAATAGTAATGTAACAGTTGCTCTTTGCATTGTTACATTGTTGCTGATCACGCCCATCCCTTTGTGATCATGGTGCTTTCAGCAGGATAACGCGCATAATAATGTCATAAAGCTCAAATCATCTCAACGTGACAGTTCACTGTCCTCAAATGCTCTCCACAGTCACCACTTCACAAATCAATAGATCACCTTTGGGATGCATGAAAGATTCACATGGTGGCTGTGCAGCCATGATGATCTGCATGATGCTGTTATGTCAGTGTGGCCCGCAATCTCTGAGGAATGTTTCCAGCACCTTGTTGAATCCATGCCCTAAGAAATTGGGCCAGTTATACAGGCAGCAGGGTGCCCAACACCATACTAGCATGATGTTCCTATTAAAGTGACCAGTGGGTGCATGTATAATAATCCACTAATGTAATAATAATTCACTTGGAAGTTTAGCTAGAAATCATCCTGCTGCATGATGAATACTTTTAATAAATTTTTTTACATTTTGTTCTCATGCTTCTGTGATTCTTACCATTTTCAGTGCAGGACCTTTTCCTGTAAAGGATTTTTTTTTCTCACAGTGGATTGATACTTTTACTTAAGTGAGTCCGCCGTGATAATATTTAGTCCTCTCGAGGAGTCGACTTGTCTAAATGTCAAAAAGCCAACCATGATGTTTCGTGCTGTCGAGTCAAACCTGTGTCAACATCAGGCTCACTCACCCCAGGTGTCTCCACTCATTTTCCCTTTCTCCGTCCTCTTTTGAATTGTTTACCTACCTTCCATCCTGACATGCGCATTCCACTCCTGTCAAACGTGATCAGGGTTAGCGGGTGCTGGAGCTCGAGTGTCAGCTCGACCAGGAAATGGGAGAGAAAACTGGAGAGCAGCGTCTCCCTCACAAGCTGTCACATCTGATCTGATGTCCGCTGGCACATCACACCCCATATTGAATGAATCTTTATTAGGTGGACTGACGTGGTTTGTGTGCTTGTGTGTAGTGCCACAGGACTAGAAAAAATTTAACAGTCACAACAAATCAAGGGTTTGCTCTAAAAAGTGTTTTGTTTTGTTTTGTTTTTTTCCTTAATAAACTTTTAAAAAGTGTCCAGGTTTCCGTATGAAGATTTGAAATTATAGCAGCTGTGATTATGGAAAGTCATCAAGTTCCCGAGATTTCAATTACATTCCTTGTGTTTCACATTACTGTTGAATATGTTTTGTTTTAAGAAAAAGGCAAGGAAGGAAGCAGGCTGGATTTGTGTGAGGTTGGTAAAGTTATGCAGTGAGATTGGAGTCGCTGTGACAGGCACATCTGTTCAGTGTGCATAATGTTGTTTCTCAGATGTGAATTATAGAGAAGCTGCCCCGGTGTTTCTGTCACCACTGCACTGTTTCAGTCCAAAGGAGAGCTTGCTGCGAGAGCACGCCATGATACGAATAAATGTGATTTAAAAAATGTCCTAACCGTGCCTTTTTATGTCCGTGAGGTTTTTCATGCTGTAGCTAATGCCTCTCTTTCTCTCCCAGATTAAGTGTGATCAATACTGGCCAAGTCGAGGTACAGAGACCTACGGTATGACCCAAGTGACCCTTTTGGACACGATAGAATTGGCCACTTTCTGCGTGCGCACTTTCTCTTTGCACAAGGTAAGATGGTTCCTCACATTGTTCGCCTACACACTACTATTTGTACTCCTGTCTTATGTTTGATAAACAGTACTTGTCCATTCAAAAGTGATGTGCAAACATGTCCAAGCAAATGAATTACAGCCATTATCTTAAATGGTTCAAAAAATGAATAGCAGCGTCCTCATAAATGTCTTTTCAGCAAAGAGAGTGATAGTCCAGAGGACACGCCTTGTAGAAATACAAGCACAAGGTCTGCATAAACATTGAAAATATTGGTATAAACCACATGGTATTTTTCTGCTTAAAGTGAAGATATGTACAAATAAAACCCTTTGTTTCTATTGTCCTCCCAGTCCAGCCCTTTTTACCTTGCACAGCTCTCTCGCTCTCCTCAATAGATCATCTGTTTATGTGCATCTGCCAAATTGGAGCACTTAGGTAAAGTGAGCAGAAGAGAAACTCAATATACATAATTGGCAGACTGCTCTCATGCTTCTGTGCACGCACACACAGCCCTGCACAGATATTCAGAGCTATGCTCACTGCAAAGACTGCAATCTCAAAAACGAGGGAAAAAAAGCGGGGGAAATATTTATTCAAATGAAAAATGATCATAACAGGATAATCTTACTTACCTAGCTTTTAAAAACAAGTAAAAAAAAAAAAACATGATCGCATTGAACAGACTGTTTTGTTTTTATCAAATTTGGCAAGTAATAGCATAGTTGTCTTCAAATAACACTATATGTTTATATGCTAAAAGCAGAAGAGCTACATCAGAAGCTGTGGGACCCGTGCCTTGATACAAAGAAGCAATCTTAAATATCTTTATCGATACGTCTGAAAAGCTACTGGGGAGGTTGACAGAAAAAATGATAGTATTTGAACAAATATCCATTAACCATTATGATCTTGTTATAATAACAAATCCTGACTAAAAATAGATGTGCTTTTACCACAAATCTCCTGCTTAAAGGGGCATGAAGAGTCCATTTAGATATGTGACTCTTCATATGTGATTCAATTATGACAGAGCAATGTAACGGTGTATTAATTTCCCAAATAAGATATTACTCCAGTAATCATCTGCGTTGACTTTAAAAGGCAGAAAGGTTTGTTGTGTACTGTTAGTGGCAGGAACACGCGACTGTTTCATTCATATCAATATGTGAAAGGGATGCTTAAAGAAACTGTTTTTATAATCACGTTTTTGTTTTTATAATTTTATAATAGTAAAATGCTCTAAAATAAGAGGGGAGGCATAGTGTGTATTCCCTCTAATTAAGATATTTCATATGACGTATTGCAGTGCACTTTCTCCATGTGAATGAGCACATTCTCAAGACAGATTTTGCACATCCAAGCTTGCATTCATGCTTTTGCACAAATATCGGAAATGCTACATGCATAAATATGATGCCACACACAAACCAGTGTATTATTACCGCACCAGCACACATACATTACATGCACCCTGTTCTCACTCGCAGCCCTATCACAGAACCTGCAAAGACAGGTTCTGTGATAGGAGCTGAACCAGCCACTGGAAGGATTAGACATTTCCAGAATTTTCCTTTTGCCAAGATTACACCAGTGTTAAGTCACTGTTGACTTTTTTTTTTTTACCTGAATTGTCAATGGAACAATGGATGCTGAGGCAAACCAGTGACAGTAAAGATAGCAACGTATCAGCAGCCGTGGCGCTTTAAAGCTGGTTGACCTTCAGGGCCATTTACATTCTGCCGCTCTCAGCCTCTATCACACCCGCCGGTGCTTTCTTCTTTTTTCTGCTCACCCTCTTCCCTCTTGCTTATACCTGAAGCCATTGCCGGGATTTCTCACTGAGCTGTTTTCACTTTGTTGAATTTGTGTGAAGAATCAGGTGGCAGAGGCACACAGACAAACACACGGCACATTCACAAAGCAGCTGCTGTGGTACATATCTATATGTATGTGTATCCTACAGTGACGCAGGATTGTGTCCGCTGATAAATTCTTGACAAAAAAAAAAAGACTTTAAAACCAGCAGCCAGGTAGCAGTCGTATTCATCCTGTCTTCCAACTCCAGAAATGGGGAATGTCCAAAAAAAAGGAAAACAAGAAGTAGGTCAGTTTGCTTTTAATTACCACACTCATTTATTCATTTATTCAGCAAGGAAAAATTCCCTCTGTCAGGCAAGTAGAAGCACTTCACTGAAATGCAAACAGTGCCTACATTAGAGGATCTTCTGTGAGGAGGGGGAAGCGGACAGGAAGATGCGAGGCTGATCTTTCTCTCAGTCTCTTTCTTCTTGTCCTTCACAAAATTCTTCCTCTGGATCCCAGTTTTGATGCCTCAATAGTGGATTTTATGACAGGAGCTGTCAAACGGGTGTGTAATATGAGTGTTTGCCGCTTGTATCATGTCCCGAGTGTTCTCAGCAACAACAATGAGTACATGAGCACACGCACATCAGTGCTGATCAGCATGAAAATGATATCTACTACAACAACGAGTTCAAACTGTGTAAAATCATGATCAAAAGAAAGAAAAAGATTTCCCAAAAACTGCAAAGCCCATTTTGTAAATGAGAGCGGATTTAAACAGCTGTAAAATGTTTAAATATACGCTTATTTTATTTAATGTGATGCCAGCGACACATTTCAAAACAAAATCGTGACAGGGGCATGTTTACCACTGGTTTGCATCACCTCTTTCTTTTTTTAACAACACTGAGCTCTCAAAACTGCAGCTCAGCCCGCAAACACAAACATGTTTTCCCATTCTTGCTTGAGAGGATGGGTTTTGAGCCTCTCAAAATGTTCTGCAATAATAAGATGTTCACAGCATGCCGCATGCGGCTCATCCACATCGAAAGGAGCGAGTTCAGGTGGTTCTGGCATCTGACAAGGATGCCTCCTGGGTGAGGTGTTTTGCCCCACCGGGATGAGGCCACGGGGCAGACCCAGGACACGCTGGAGAGATTATATCTCTCGGCTGGCCTGGGAGCACCTTGGTGGATAAGCTGGAGGAGGTGGCTGGGGAGAGGGAGGTCTTGGCTTCTCTGCTTAGGTTGCTGCCCGGATAAGCAGAAGAAGATGGATGGATGGACGGACTGCATTTCCTGTGTCCGTAATGTCCATGCGCTTTAATGAACACCCAAACCCCTTTAAAGGACATCAGTGATAAGTGATCAGAATTTCTAAGTTTATACTGTAGCTGGTTTTCAGCTTTGTCCCTTTTTAATGTATTTTGTACTGGAGACTATGAAAGCGGCACATTCTTTGCAGTATTACACTGCAATTACACTGACACTTAGTCTTGTGTTACTGAGTTATTCTTAAACTGCTAAAAAACCTACTCACAAACTCCAGTGGATGCTTCTATTAAATCCAGTTATATTTATGACCATTTTCAGGACCCTTGTTTCAACTTTTTTTGAATTTTTTCCACTTTCAGTCTTTGATATTTTGTCTCTGTGTTGTACAACTAAACTAAACTAAACTGGCATAGTGCAGAAAAGTAGACAGAGGAAAAACAGATGCCAAGCCTCGGTCTGGTTTAAATGCCTAGGAATAAAAATGAGTTTTCAAGCGGCTCTTGAAGATGTCGAGTGTTGCTGAGGTGCTCATTTCAAGGGCGCGGGCTGTTTCAAAGTTCAGGGGCATCTACAGAGAAGGCCAGGTCTCCTCTATGCTTTAATCTGCTTCACAGTAAGACCAGAAGCATCTGGTCAGCTGATCTCAATGATCATTTCAGAGAATGTGTAGTTAAAACATCCAAAAACAGGGGAAATACGAGCTCGCTTGCAGGTGCCTGTCAGGACTTGAGCTGCTGCATTTTGGTTGCAGAGGAGAACGCAGCGCCTGGCTGATTCTCAAATAAAAACTACTCCAAAAAGCAAGCCTGGGTGAAATGAAGGTATGAACTAGTCCGTCTAGGCTCTCAGTCATCCAGGTCATGGTAGTCGTAGGAGCTTGAAAAATCTTTTAGAACTAAAGAAACCTCTTGTATGAAAGGTGAAACATCCTCACACACTTGAACAAGTCCAGTGCCTTCTTTTTCAAGCATGGTTTGCCTTCTTAGCAAAAGAGAGAGAGGGCTTAGCCTTTTGCCTCGGGTAGAAGAAACTAACTGTAGCAACAGCATTTATCTGTTTATCAAATGTGTGATCCGTCCCGTGTTTTGGAGGGCCAAGACGAGTGAGGTTCAAGAGGTCCACTTCTTTGCTTCATCCACAATTTTAACTCAGTGAGACAGTCCAGCAAGGACAGGGTTTAAATGATTTCCAAATCAATACAATTTACACAGTCCCCCAGCTTTTCTATTAGATTTACTGTTGAAGCCATTGATGAGCTGCATGTGTTGAAAGCATTTCATCATAGATGATTTTAACCTAAACTATAGTGCATTTTACTCATCAAGGCTACAAAGTGCAACTTTTTATTTGACCTGAAATCCCATCTTTGTGGTAAGCAGGTGTATCCACTAAATACGTCAGTATGTCAGCTTTCTGAATGTTTTGTGGTCTCACTGTACAACATCTCTCTGTAACAGCCAAGTTGCACAAAGCAGCACCGTTATCAAGACACCATTTGGGTTTATAGACCAACAATAAAGCTACTGAATGACCCAGTGCAAACACAGTGCAACCAGCCTCTCTGTGTGTTATGCAGAATGGTTCGAGTGAGAAGCGGGAGGTTCGTCAGTTCCAGTTCACCGCCTGGCCTGACCACGGCGTACCAGAGTACCCAACCCCGTTCCTGGCCTTCCTCCGTAGGGTGAAGACTTGCAATCCGCCTGACGCTGGACCAATCATTGCTCACTGCAGGTCGGTTTGTAATTTGATTCACTTTTGTGCTTCAAAGGAACCGAGGAGTGGTTCTTGCACCAGCCGGTCTCCCAAAAATGAAGTCAAGCCCAGCATATGGAAAATCCCAGCTTCAGTAATGCAGTTGTTATTAGGTCATTGTGTGTCCGTGAGCCAACAGAATGGCAGGCTTTACCTGCGTACTTGCTATTATAGGTTACGTAAAACACTTTACACCACCGCATACTCTCTTTCCCAAATGACCTCTGTCTCTTCTATTTTCAATTGGTCACAGCAGCCTTCTCTTTAATTTGTGCTTTATTTCCCTGCTGCCATTCTCTCCACCTTTTTCTTTTTATCTCTTTCTGTCAAAAAGCCTCAAAAGTAATCCCTTCCCATCTCCTTTGCGTCTCCCATTTCACTCCTTAGCTCTTCCTCCTTTTACGTGTGGTATTTCTCAGATGGCTTATTCAAATTGAAACCTTCCTTTTTGTCAAGATAAGAAGACTTCAGTGAGTCCAAAGCACTACACAATAAAATTGAAATTTGACGGCTTGCTTCACCTAGTCTCCATCACTGTCCTCCTGTTGTTCTATTTGTCATTTTCCTTTATTGTTTATTTATTTCCTCTCTTAGCTTTCATAACATCTCTCTCTTTGCGTCTTCCTATTCAATTATGCAAAGTGTGACTTCACAACAGAGCTTACAGGACTTGCTGTATATAAAACATTATAATGGCACAGTGAATTACACTGAAAATATTCAATGCCAAAACACAAAGTAATTTTGTATCTTTTTTTTTTTTTTTTTTACTCCAGTGCGGGCGTAGGCCGGACGGGCTGCTTCATCGTCATCGACGCCATGCTGGAGCGGATCAAGCACGAGAAGACGGTCGACATTTACGGCCATGTGACACTTATGCGATCGCAGCGGAATTACATGGTGCAGACCGAAGACCAGTACAGCTTCATTCATGACGCACTGCTGGAGGCGGTGGCCTGCGGAAACACTGAGGTGGCTGCCCGGAGCCTGTATTCTTACATCCAGAAGCTTGCACAGGTGGAGAGCGGTGAGCACGTCACTGGCATGGAGCTGGAGTTCAAGGTATAGGAAATAAACCTATAAAACCTTAATAACCTTCTGACCATTTTAAGTGCACTATGCACTGGAATTAGAGGGTTTTACACCTTGCTTTGTTGTTGTTGTTTCTTTATTAATGAGCCCTAACTACATATACCGATCAACTTTAACTTCTGCTGGGGTCAGACATGCAAATTATCAGGGAGCCTGCTTGGAGTTTTTCCTCAGAGTCACCTGCCAAGACAGTGGGAAATAACGAGCAGCCACAGATCAATGTCTACATTAACTTTCCTCTCTGTAGTCCTTATCATAACTAAATAATGAAGACGGCACCGGTATGTTTTTCTGACACCTTGTTTTAAGCCACTGTAAGCCTTTTAAATAAGCCTAGCTGCCAGCTTTATCTTCCCAGCAGTTATTCTGGATGCAAATCCAATTTCATTGCTTTTCATATTTTTCTTCATCATTATTTGCAGTGTGCTTAATTTTTGGTTTCAGTCATTGCTCTTTGCTTTGTGATAATACGTTTCTTTGTATTTTGATTTGGGGTTTTTTTGTTTTGTTTTGGTGTTTTTTCAGTGGTTCTTAACTATCAGCATCTGTGTTTCTGACAAGAAGCTGTGAAACTAAATTAGGAGACTAGGAAAGAGACAAATTGGATGGTTGCTGTCACTGCCTGGGTGGGTGGGGGGACTGAAAGAATAACATTTTAGTTGAGTGAAGATGCAGTTTATACAGTGTAGCATCACTGTAGAAGGTATATTTAAACTGCCTTATTTGAATGGCAGCTATTTGTCAGTTTTTTACGGATGCTATCCAAGTAACAGGTGACTAAAAAACAAATTTCCTTTACTTTCTTGTGCTTCACTTAAAACGTTTCATCATTTAGGTACACAATGCTATTGAGGTGTAGTATTTTTTTTCCAGAGCTAGAAAAGAGAAATAAGAAGCCCTTTGCTGTTGGGCCACATTGTTCATTTTTGAGGATTTTGCAATAATATGCTTAGGCTAAGAAATTGGGTTTAATCTAGCAGGGGCAAGACAAAGGATTTTTTGGCTCAGAGCAGCACGGATTTTCGGTTTTAAGAAAGAAAAAATTAATGAAAAAGCAGTAGGTGAGAAAGACAGCAAAGCATAGTGTTTACGTACAGAGGGGTGACTTATTAAAGGAAAAACATAAACCCTTGAATCCTGCGATGGGGAGACTGGGCGACTGCTACAGCGGGGGGATATTAGCTGGCATCGTGTACTTTTTCCTTTATACAGCCGTTGCAATTCGTCACAGCCACCGGGCATCAATCTAGCTGACCATCTATGAGACATCGTGGCATATTAGAAAGTGCTCTCCATCACCACCATCAAACATCACATATCTTTTGGAAGAATGCTACTTGTAGAGTCACTGCCAGTTAATTGAGTTGGGGGGCTTATCCTATAATTTGTCACCCGTCCATAAAGTAAAGTCACCTCAACTTTGGCACACCAGTTAGCATCTGCTGACCTTGGATTACGCACACAGATTCTTGAATCATTCGTCATCGCTTTTCATCAACGCAGCCTCCCTACCAAGAAACAACAACAGTGCCAGTGCGATTAGTCTTTTTTTGGGGGGTGTCTTCTCACTGGTGCACAACAGTGACGGAAACTCCACTGCCATCTGTATCGGGAAATAATGCTGAGCTGGCATCAGGAGTCGAACGGGGATTAATAACATCCACCCTGCTGTCAGTACAGAGGGGGTAGGCGTGTGAGAAAAGGGGTGGTTGAGCTAAGTAATTAATACTTGATGATGACAAATGGAGGTGGAAGGTGAGGCAAGCGGAGGGAGGAACGTTTGGCTAATGAACAAAGGGACGAGTGTATACTAAGTTGGCAGTAAGGAAGTGATTTGACAGAATACTGCACTATAGGCGAGAGTGGGAGGGCACTGTCATTCTCAGGTAGGATACATAGTCACGCAGAGTTAAGCCATAACTGTTGGGAATCCCTGAAGATAATTTTGTCATGAAGTAGTCAGACAAAAATGCTTTCTTGCTCACAGTATGTGCATTTTTATGGAGATTTATGCACATAGCATGCTTGTAGAACGTATTTTGCAACAGTATGTGGATTACAACATACACACACAACAAAATGCTACTGAGCTGCTGGGATAAATTTCAATTTAAATAGAAGCAAGTATGAGTTGGGATTCAGCTGTTTAAATTGGGATCCAAGTCCAAACAAAAATACAAAAATCTTCTCGAGTTATATAGAAACAGTTATATACATATACAAAACTCTAACAAGGCTTTGCATGGCAATGCATAATTAATAATTAAAGAAGTACACAATTGGAAAGATAGTATTTACTAGAAATAAACCGAAAACCTATGATCTAATAGATAGTAAATGTACTAAAAAGAATAAATATGTGTAAATCTGTAGTGATATTCAGAATACTTTACTATAGATTTATAGAAATGCCAGATGGTATTTAATATTCTCAGACCCTTGTATTTTCTATTACAGGGTTCTGACTTCCCACTTAGATTTGGTTATGTCCAGGGAAGCCTACTGGGGATGGTCCTACTGCGTTTTTGGTCACAGTGCTTCTTTAAGCTCTAGTTTCTGATACATAACCAAATATATGTTTCGGTGCAACATGCCAAATGGAATGAAAACTGACCAGATATGCTGTACTATAAATGGGAAGGAGCTACTATGAGGTGAAGAGATTGAGGCTGCCAGGTCTGGCGCAGTTCCCTTCACCCTCTGTGGTGTAGCTGAGGGCCTCTTTAGCACTGCCAGGCCACCTTAAGCCTTTCCAGGTGCCTCTGTGAAACACAGATCAAAAGCAAGACAGTAGCAAGGGATAAAGGCATGGGAGGAGGAGGAGGCAAACACTGGATGGACTCCAAGAAGCCACTGATAGAGAGCTGCTGGTGCTATACGAGGGGGGAAAGAGAAAGAGAGACCGAGAATACTCTAATTGGAAGAGAAAATGGAAAGTTAGACCTGGTTTGCGCACACATAAAAGCATGAACACACTGACTTTTTGTATTTTGACAAGTATTGGGAGCTGGAAAATCTAGAAAATATATTCACATCCCGCCTTCTTTTTCACCGGGGTCAGCTGCAGCTCATCTCTTGTCTCGTTCTCATTTCTTGTGCTGCTGCTGGTGTTTTCAGCGCGCCGTGCGTTCTGTCTGAAAGGGGTCCTAAACCATCTGACAAGGGTATCTTCTATTTGCTTGCTAACGAGCAAGAACACACACACACATATTCTTTATTGAGACGTCGAAGCCAAAAGGAGGAGATCATAGGACTTGCTGACCCACAAACTCGCGCTGAGATCCTTATGACGGTGATGATGTAGCAGTACGGCATTTTCATTTTGATCATTATGCAGCGTGCGTGTGTGTTTGTCTTTCTGAGCATCCCTATGTGAGTCTATGTTTTATGCACACTGCCATTATCAAAGCTGCGACTGACCCACTTTTAGGCAAGTTTTCTGTTTCATACAGGCTTGATCCAGAGGCTTGTTAGTCTGGGTGTGTAACGTATTTTCCGTCATTTTATCTGACCCTCCAGGACCTCACAAGTTGCAAACGGGAATAAAGTTTTGAATTGCTTTCTGATAAATATATTCCTGATAAACAATGTCCTTTGAAGCTGTGGCATCGTGGGTGACAGATCAGATTAGATTAGGTCTTCTTTATTACTTTCTGCAATTGATATTCTCCACTTTCTAGCTATCTTGCACCTGTCTTCTTCATCCTCTCCTGCTCTTCCTTTTTCTTTTACTTCTTTCCTCTGCAGTGCTATCTTCTCACATTTCTCTGCTTTTAATCTTTATTCTCCTCCTCTGCATCATTCATTGCAGTCTTACTAAATGTCTCTTTTTTTTTAACACTATACTATATTTTTACCTTAGTCTGTACTGTTATTGTTATTGCTTATCTTCTGGTATGTTAAACTATCCCTTTGTCTTCCCCCAACAGCGTTTGGCCAACTCCAAAGCCCACACGTCGCGCTTCATCAGTGCCAACCTTCCCTGCAACAAGTTCAAAAATCGGCTGGTTAACATCATGCCCTACGAGACCACTCGTGTTTGCCTGCAGCCAATCAGAGGCCTGGAAGGATCTGACTACATCAATGCCAGCTTTATTGATGGATACAGGTAGGAAGAGTTGAGATGGCAGAAAAGCACGCCAGCATGAGTGAAGTAACTGCTTATTTATTCATGTGTTTATTTCTACTGCAAAGAAACATCTTGATTGATCAGAGACATATATTACATGGAATAAAGAAAATGAGAGAAATATTCATTCTATTTTTGTATTTTTTCCTCATAGCAGTCATGTAATCGTGTGTATTATTATGTAAAAGCAATCATCAAGTTTACTTATCGTCCACAAGTTTGTGTCATACGGTTGATTTTGTTTTTCCCCCTCTGAATTTGCATCAGTGGTGTTTACAGTTAATTACTCAAGTAAACATGGTGTGACTTTACTGTTTAAACAGGCAACAGAAAGCCTACATTGCCACGCAGGGCCCTCTGGCGGAGACTACAGAAGACTTCTGGAGAATGCTCTGGGAGAACAACTCCACTATTGTAGTCATGTTGACCAAACTTAGAGAGATGGGACGGGTACGACGCTGATTTATGTTATTTATCTGTCTCTTTTTGCTTAAAAATTAAAATAATTTAAAATCAAAATGTAAAACGCCATAAAAAATTCCACTAAAAATCATCACTATTTTTTTTCAAACAGGAAAAATGTCACCAGTACTGGCCTGCAGAGCGCTCTGCCAGGTATCAGTACTTTGTGGTAGACCCCATGGCAGAGTATAACATGCCTCAGTACATCCTCCGAGAGTTCAAGGTCACAGACGCCAGGGTAAGAGGGGGTCCTTTGGCGGTTTGGGAGGGTTAAATAGGGCACAAGATGTGAAATTTTCCAATGAATGCAAAATATATAAATACAATACATTACACCCTTGAAAAGCCTACATAAACACAGAGCCTGTACATGTTTCCACACTGTAGCCTACATGTTGTATTTTTTCTGTTCAGCGGCTTTTGTTGTTGACGCTGGGGCGTAAATCTGAAATCTGCCCATCACACCTTAAAAGAAAACTTTGTACTAAATTGCTGTCAGCATTCAATAGATATTCAGCTGCAGTTTCTTTGTATCAAAGCGCAAGAGGGACTTTTTCCAGTCTTCTTCTTTATGCTTTTGTTCATCAGAAGTTGTGCGCCAATGACGCATTTTTAGCCTCCTCAAAAGACTAAAAGTATAAGAGTAAAAAAAAAAAAGATGTTATAATTTGGACAGATGCGCCATCAACAACTCACTGAGGTGTTGGAAATGTCGAAGATTAAGCAAGTTGAGTAAAACTAGGCCACGTAAACAGAAAAACATCGCAGTCTCGTCATATTTATCCCAAAAACCTTCCTTAAAAGAGTTTTTTTCTGTTTCTATTGTGAGATAGATTTCCATACAGTGTTTCACTACTGAACTGACTTTTCTCACCCTGAACTGTTAAGAAGCTACTCTGCTCTTTTGTAGTTATCTCTTTACCTCCGATAACATTTCTTTTTTGGTCAAATTAGGTCAGACAGTTCAAAGGAGCAACAGTAGAAATCTAGCAGAGAGATGAAAATCTCCCGTCTCGGCTGATATACCCACTGATTTCCCAGGCATCATCCTGTTGGTATTAAAGCAATTAAGGCGCACACATGCACTCATGAAAAGGCTCATGCCGATCTCCTTTCCTCTGTATATTTCTATTAGTTCATGCGCATAAGTTCAGATATCATCTTCCAAAGGCTCTGATAGATTAAACACACTAGCCGGGCCTGCTTTTTCTAATTCTTCATCCCATATTTAGTGAGTGGAACAAAACTGTAGAGGTTATCGCTGTGAGTGTGACGATGTTCGTGCACAGTTTCGGTAAGATTGACCCAGTCGTTTCGGAGTAGCTTGAATACACACAGATACATATGCAGTGTTGGGAAGGTTACTTTTAAAATGTATTCCGTTACAGAATACAGAATACATGCCCCAAAATGTATTCTGTAACGTATTCCGTTACGTTACTCAATGAGAGTAACGTATTCTGAATACTTTGGATTACTTAATATATTATCGTGCTTTTTACAACAACGTGAATGTACTATTGCTGTGTGATTTATTACTATTACTGAAGGTCCGCGACTCCGAACTGTAGTAAAGGGACCTCTGACTAATACGGCGGGGTCCCTGTCGGCTCAGAGCCGAAAAATAGCTTTACTTTGTTGTGTGGGTCAATTTTTCTTGCGAGAGACAGAGAGAGGCGTTGAAAGACTGCTCCAACGGAACTTATTGTTTTCGGAGGAAAACACGAACACGGTGTACAGTCGAGTCTTAATAGCTTACTTACAACTGGGCTCGTCAGGCACTCTTCTTGGCTGCAGTGGTTATTATTATATTTACATGTTTCCAGCTCCCGTTTTTCCTCGACGACAACTCGTACCTTTCCACTCGCCTTTTTCTCCCTCCTCGCGCTCACAGACCCATAACGTGTATGGCAGTGCATTCTCCCTGCAGCACGGACTATACTGCCCATGATGCTACATTCTTTAGAGCTTGTAGCATTCTGCCTGTTAGCTTAGCACAACAACAAAAAGGCGCTCTCTCACCCAGGAAACACACAGTCGCAGAGAGAGAGAGCGAGCGTCGCCCTGTAACCATGGCAACCGTAACGCTGCCACCTGGAACAACAGAACGTAGCTGTCAAACAAAACCCAAACAGTCCTGACCCGCGACAAAATGAAACAGGAAAGTACCGCAGTGTAATCCATTTATTTCAACAAAGTAACTGTATTCTGAATACCACCTTTTTAAACGGTAACTGTAACGGAATACAGTTACTCATATTTTGTATTCTAAATACGTAACGGCGGTACATGTATTCCATTACTCCCCAACACTGTACATATGCATACATGCGCTACCATCGTTTTAGTAAGAAGATATGAATGCATATAAAGTATGAGATTGCTCTAACGTGCATGCAAACACGATGCCCCGAGGTCTGGTCAGTGCTGCTTTTCTTTTCGAGGATTGTCCAAGGGGACTCAATCATCAAAACAAACAGTGTTAGCAAACAGGCAGTCAAAGCTTATCACACAGTTAAGAAAACAAAGCGGAGAGATGGAGCAGGTGATAGTCCGGTCTGTGCTTTCAGGCCGCGCGTGTGCGTCGATCTTGCTGATTGTGTATGCACTTAAAAGTGTCTGTGACCTGGGCTTACCCTGCTATTGCACAGATCACATGTACATGTTTGTCTGTTTTGTATATGTATGACTGTGTGTGTGTGTGTGCACACAGCTGTGTGTGTTTCTCTCGCATGCCTCTGCGCAGTAATAGCATAGACTCCACGCTTCAACACTCACATCTAGCGAGCCAGTCACGTATTTAATCACACAATTTGACACGGCGCGTGGGCCCTCAGGTTGTGTGTTAAATTTTGCTCCCCACCCCCACCCCCCCTTCTTTCTTTCGCGTGCTTAGTTTATTGTGTTGTTGTCTTTGCCCCTCTTTCATTTTTAATCCCCCTGCTGAGGCTAAATGTTTTTGAGATGGAAAAACAAAGGCAACACAAGAAAGAAAACATGCAATGCGTCATAAAACAGGGAAAGAGACATGAGGTGTTTTACAAAGAGAGCTGGTATACGGGGCCTAACTTATTAGATTCTAAATCACTGTATTTGTCAAGCACAATAAATGTACAAGAGTACCCCTTGGCAGCAGCGATGCAGACTCACATCAGCAGCACGTATAGTCCCATGTGACAATAGGCAGATTATTTAAATCCTTTGACATATAGTAACAACGTAAAGTATATATGTTCAGCATAGAGTCACCGTCTGAACGGGGGGATGGTTAGCTCTTGGCAAAAATCAGAATAAATCAGTAAGAATGTAAGACAGCTCCCATCCATGATGGTTAGAGACCCTCAGGTACTTGTTTACTTCAACACATTTGACATTTACCATGAATTCTGCTCAGTATGATTTTTGTCATTTATGACATGAAGCATGTTGCATGTCTTCATTGCATCTTGTTCTTTACATACACCATACTGCAGTTTCTTCAACAATATTGGGGAAAATTTCAATAATGTCTTTAAAAGTAAAAATGCTATTTTCATTAATACATATATATATATATATATATATATATATATATATATATATATATATATATGTATATAAACCGAATTAGCATTTTTATACCCCAAATTTGAGTGGACTTTGCTGAGACATCAGAAATTAATCAGACATTTTTCTGCAAGTAAATAATTTGCCATCTTTATCAAAAAATAATAATGTTTTTTATTATTTTTCAGCTTTTTTTTTTTTTTTAATCAGTAAATTTAAAATTGGTGGATAACAATGATAATTAGATTTTAGCATAAAAAAAACAATGATTACTGGTGGATTAACCATTACAGAAACATACAAATGATTTTGTAATTACCAATAAGGTTAATTTAGGGCAGCTGTGGTATAAAGCTTACACTGGGTGGTGACCTAATAAACTGGTTAAACACTGTACATGTGCACTGACTGTTAGCTTGAAGCTAACTACTGACTGACACTTTTAATTTACTCAGATGAAGATGTTATTGCAATGTTATTCTTTTCCCCAATAACATAATTGAGAATTTGTCTCTTTTAACATTTGTAACAAACTTCAAATGTCAAATTTACTCCAAACAAATTTTAGAATCAAATATCGTTAGCAGCTAATAGCAGGATTTTCAAAAACAATAAATTGTTTACTTGCCAACTGAGTACTCAACCAGTTGTGCTTCCGCCATGTGTGTGAAAAAATCTATAGAGAATGTGCGAGAATGACACTTCATATCCAAGCTGAGGTCTGCTGTGCTGAGAAGTGAGAAACAACTGGAGAAATGAACACCTGGTTGTCTTAATTACTGGTGGCATCAAGCGGAGAGCTTGTCTCTGCGAAAATGCTCGTCTGCTCGCCGGCTTTCTCGAGCAATGTGCTGTCTCTGAGACAACATCAAAAGAAGTTTCTTTACAAGGACACGAGTATCGACTGTGCATTCTCAGAGTGGATAATCAGCTCTCTCATAATAAAGCAGATCCTGTCCGTTCTCCTCCTGCGATGCCACTTCATTGGATAAAAAAACTATTCAAATGCGTTTGTTTGCACTGCAGTTGAAGCAAATGTAGTTGCCTCACCATTACAACAAGGTTGTAAGAATCAATAAAAGATTAAGTTGTCAAGGTTGACATTTTTCGAACATGCACGTCATTGTGTCAGGGTTTTTGTTTCCAATTTTCATCCTCCAATCCCGCCTTCTTTTCCATAAGTCCTTCTTACTTCTTACATCCCTCCTCCCTCCCTCTCCGTGCTCATCCATCACGTTGCTCTATTGATCGCATCTCAGGATTATCTTATTCAACTTGGTGTCTAGGAGAGGACGCTTGTCATGGCAGATGCACTATTGATTAGCTATAACTAGGACCTTTTTGTGACACACACACACGACTACCGCGCTGTGAACACAATAGGGAAGAAAATGGAAACAGTTGGGTTTGAGTAAGAGAGGACACACTGTCCCTATGTTGTGAGCAGTATGTGTGTCACTGTATCAGCAGGTTTAGTCTTATACAGAAAAAAAGTGCATATTTAATTAGTGCGAAGGCGTTTTTTGCTTTCAGTTTGTCCTCTGTGTGGATGTACATAACTTTGTCCTTTTTTCTCAAGAATGCAATATCTCAGAAATGCCTTAAGGGATTTTCTTCAAGTTTGTCTTTAATGTTCACCAGGACCCAAGGTCACTGTGACCTCTCTCAGCCATAGCTTAAGAATTCATACGCTAATAATGACAACATTTCAAGCTGCTGTCTAATAGAATAAAATGATAAAATGATGACATTTTATATCCAAAAAGGTCACAATTTTACTCCAGTATCAAAATGTTCTGCAAAAACACTTTTCTAGCCATTATTCAGCACAATAACTCAAAAAGAGAGAGAAGGGGAGATTGTAACCATATTTCACATTTGGTTCCCTGCTGGATTGGTCACACTGATTATGGATGCCCGTCTTAAACTTTTAGTTCTGTCAGAATCACTTTTCTCAGCCACACGTGTGAACAAATGTTCTTGCATTTATCTCTTATTGAACCTACGCGACAAGAGAACGACAAAAACAAGGCTTTACAAATTCAAGTCAAATCGATTTCAATCTCTAGCAAGTGACAACCTTTGTCTAGACCCTCAATTCAGATGGAGAGACAAAGCAGAAACATGCTTGCATACAACCAACAGGGGATCCTTCTATTAGTAGTGCATTTATTCTGCATAGAGTTGGTGGAAGGATACTGATACTGTGGAATTGTTGGTGGGAACTGTCGCCATTTAAGATAACCTTAAATGTATCTTTGCTACTCACCTCATTTTCTCTCTGTTTTGCAGGATGGCCAATCCAGAACAGTAAGGCAGTTCCAGTTTACTGATTGGCCAGAGCAAGGCGTGCCCAAATCGGGGGAAGGATTCATTGATTTTATTGGCCAGGTGCATAAAACCAAGGAGCAGTTTGGGCAGGATGGCCCAATCTCTGTCCACTGCAGGTAATGTTGTCATGTGCATTATATGGCTTGTATATTTTATTTTATATTAATAATTGTTTTCCTAAAAGGAGATGACTTGTCACCTGCTTTGCCTCAAACCGGTCTCTAAAGACATTCTTCTCTTCTTGAAAGCGATATAAGTCTCAAGACGAGATTAAATCTCTTCTTAAGATGGTTATTGTTTTGCAGCAGAGCTCCTCCTAAGGCGCAGCTCTAACAACATCCCTCTTCTCCTCTTTGCCAAGCGCAGTGCACTACCTCAGCACCTCCACGGGCCCTTCTCTTTCATAATTGATAAGCCTCAGATGTGGCTTGGCATTTGCAAGGAGAAGACATATGAAATGATACAGCCATTCTTTTGGGGGTTTTACGATCACTGCGTGGTGCATTTTTATCACCTCCGGTGTAGTTTCCAAGGTAACTTTCACCATTAACTCGAGATGCTGTATTACAGGTAGTAATTGATATTTGGTAGTGGTCACCAGCAGAACGTCAGATTATTAATATTCATAACCCTGAGTGGGATCCGTCTGAATGACTTGTTATTCTCAGTAGCCAAATGAGGACAATCTTCACAGCTTTGGTTCTGTATACGCTGCGAGACAAGCAAAGACGGAATGTATGTCTCGTATATGATCTCCGACACACTTTTTTTAAACGTTTGATTGGCATTCAGCTCCAAGGATACAAATGGGCGAACACTAATAATTCCCTTGCTGTCTCTTAAAAATACTTTACCTTTGGAGCAGAATAGGTGTCACTTTTGCGCCACATTTCTACTGCAGAGGCGCCATGACATCATCGAATGTAGCATAACGTCCTTTGGATTAAAAAGCAATGATGTCACCAGCCATCAAATGACCCTCTGGGAGTTGTCTCGGACTTGTGTCAGGCTAGCACCACTAAGACTGAGTTATTCTACCCCTCTGTGAAGCCTTTATGGGAGTGCTGTCCTTAAAGTGAAAGGCCTGGTTATTGCAGGACTGGAGTAATGCACAAGAAAGCAGACAGAGGCTGCATTTAGCGCCTAAATAAGTGATGCATCTCATCAAATGCGGTCCTGATTTTGAGGCGTGCGCGCGAGTAAACACAGCAAAGTGTTTTATGTCATTAGAGTTCGATGATATTAATCAGGGAATCATTTTGCACCGATGTGTATCTCGAGTAGTTGAGTAGTAATAGTTGTTGGCTGCATTATCTGTCGGGACTCTAGCTACCTCCTTTCCCATCTAATCATTGTAGCCCTCTCAACTTTCTCCATCCCTCCTCCTTCAGGCTTAGTCGTTTCCGAGAGTAGAGCTTATAGCTTCCTTTTCTCTTACTCTTTCGTCTTCTGTCACCCGCCTACCCCGTTCGTCAACTGCCTGTCTGTTTCTTAATCCTCGCTCTCTCTCGCTTCCTCTCGGCCCATCCATTCTCCTGCACCTCTTTTCTTTTATTCTTCTCCCTTCCTCCTCGGCGTCTATCTAATAGACCCACATGCTTTTTGTCATTAATTGCCTGATTACTTCCTGTGAATGGGGACACCAAATCCTCTCAGTCTGCAGTGGCTCGGCGAGCCTTCAGATTTGGAGAGTCGATCTTCCTGGGGAGTGGGAGAGGTTGAAAGAGAGTGAGAGAGAAAGAGAGAGAGGGGGGAGCTCTGAGTGAGTTTAAGAGCCCATGTGACAGTCTGTGACTGACTCCCATGAAGAGGCTTTGGGTGGGCTGAGAGATACTGCAGTGTGGGGGTGATTAGGCTCCTGTTTCTTTTTTCATTTAATGGCGTCAAACAATACCAAGTCATCTTTTGTCTCAAGTGCGCCGTTTTCCTCCAGCAGACACACGCAAACTTGTCAACAAACTCACGCACAAGTCAAAAAAGTGTCTCCCAGCAGCCGTCACTTCCACTCTCCATTCAGACAAAATAGCATCAGAGGCTGGAAGAAGCCCAAATAAATCTGTTGTCATATCAATTATTGTTCCATTGGTGAAGTGGAAGTCATTTCACAGCAAAGCAGCTTAGAGAGGCAGCTCTCAAGTATTTCAGGATCTGAGTTAAGACTCGGGCTGTATTTCTGGAGAGCAGCAGAAGGCTGAGTTTTTCGACACATGGGAGGAGGGACTTAATGAGACAAAATGTTTGCTTGGTCGCTTGTGTGCGACTTGAAATGTGCGCCTATGTGTCCTTGGGCTTGTGTGTGTGTGTGTGTGTGTGTGTGTGTGTGTGTGTGTGTGTGTTAGACAAGAATGTGGCCACAATATGTAAGTGGATTCACGAGGTTCTCACATGCAAATTGCCTCCTTTGCTAGTGTCACTGGTGTTTTACCGTGGAGCAGAATGTCCAGCTGTGGAAGTTTGCTTCCTCTAAGTGGTTAGAGCTTCCAGTGTGCAAAGTATTTTTAGATCTTTGCAGTCACTGTCCCCCACAAAATGCTGCATGCGACACGAAAGAAAGGCGCAATTTACAAAGGCACCATTCACTCGCTGTGTGCACAGGGCGTGCTTTACATCTTTCTGAATACACTTTTTTCTCTTTTTGTGTTTGCAGTGCTGGCGTGGGCAGGACCGGAGTCTTTATCACCCTTAGCATCGTCCTGGAAAGGATGCGTTATGAAGGTGTGGTTGATATCTTCCAAACGGTGAAGATGCTCCGAACACAGAGGCCAGCTATGGTCCAAACTGAGGTGAGAAATCACAGAGTCACACACAATAACATACACTGCTCCTTATTTGGATAGACTTATGGAATTTTAAAAGACCACCAATAAGTTAGCAACGCTCTATTAAACCACTTTTGGGTGGGTGTCTTCACCCCCATAAGGTCTATTATTGGTTTTCTGGTCTTCCTGTGTGAAAATGGGTAAATGCAAAATCAAGTTTTTGTATTTAGCAAAAGATTTTTGCTCATGCCAATCTAGGCTTTCTACTTAGGTATAGGATCTATAGAATGATCTTGTCAGGACATGCGCTGCCTCAGCAAATTGCGAAATTTACTGCAAGTTGAAATTGTCTGAAAATTGTAATCTCTCATGTCATTAAACTCCTGGGGAGGTGTTCTAATGCAATTTGTTATGCGTCTGTCTGTTTTTTTCCCTCCACAGGATGAGTATCAATTCTGCTATCACGCAGCTCTGGAGTACTTAGGAAGCTTTGATCACTATGCAACGTAAAAAGCCATCTCCCCCCCTCCCCCTCCTCTGAATCCTGTTGCCCCCCCACCCCCACCTCAACAGCCTCTTGAGCCATAGGAACTAAAATTTAAAACGACAGCAAACAACCACATCGCCACCGCCAATTCAGCCACATCAACCAGGATCTCCTAGATTTTTTTTTTTTTAAGACAACACCCGGTCCAACCAGTTCAGAGTCCAATTTGACTTTTCAAATATGCCACAAGGAAACACAAGAAAATTGTCCATCATCTCAAGAAAAGAAGATCCTCGGCAGGGGAGGAACCAGATGCTGTGGCTCAAGATGTGGGGCGGGTTTTGATCAAAGTGTCAGACTGCTTACCTTACCTCAAGTGTTTCAATGTGGAGGACATTGTAAACATTCGTGGACGTTTCTCTTCTCAAAAAATATCTTCGTGACACAACAGTAACAAGCGACAGATGACGAAGGAAAAGGAAGGCAAAAAAAATACAAATAAAAATCTAAAAAACACTGAGAAGCAGATGGATGTAGCCAAGACTTGGTGACTATCTTGTTTTTTGATATGCTCGGGTGTAAAAGGGGTTCAAGTATTTCCATCAACACAGTGTGTGAGTAATATTGTGAGAAATGAAGAAACTGGTTGCCTGCATAAAAGATTTATCAAGCTGTACAAAAAAAGTGAAACAAAATAAACAGAAAAGGACAAGTTCACTCACATTCGGCACCAAATCCTTCAAGAAAACCTAAAGTTTTTACAGTATTTTGTGTGGGATAACACTCGACTATTAAAGCGACTTCTTCTCGAGCACTAAGAGCTAAAAGAAGACACTTTTTGGTTTTCTTACAGTTGTGAGGATGAAAACAGCGACACATTTCTTAAAATGTGCTAATTGCATCAGTTGTGAATTCGTGTGAAATCAGTATCCTCAGCCAGGTAATCGCAGGAATGTTGCAACACGCCAGTATATTAACAGTGCAAAGATCAGTCACCGGATAAAAGTCTCGCCTGCTGCACGAAGCTTCCGCCGCGTCGTCTTGCGTGCAGCCAAGGTGAGACAAGCGGCAGCCGTGTCCCGTGATTTTTCTTTCTTTCTTCTGTTTTTTAACAATCGCTCCTGTCTTTGGAACCACTACATTGTGGGGCTGCGGTTTCAACATCCACGGTTTTGAACAAGAGATAAACCTGGTGGGGGGGGAAAGCTTTGGAACAAAAATGGAACAACCAAACAAGGATTGCCGCAAAAGTGAGGGCTCTCTTTGTGTACAGTGACCAACGCTCATCGTCATCCTCCAGAACTTTGTCTAATGAGGAATTATCTCGTTTTTCTCGGTTTTTTTTATTATTATGATTTTCTGTCAAAACCAAACATGCTGCTTATCTCGTGTACGCTGTACGTGTGACTTTGGAAGGAGAGGAAACTGATGAATCAAAGATGCCATCTCTGATAACTGGCATGACTGAAAGCGCATCCACTTGACGTCATCGTCCACGCCTCCTTTTCCCCTCCCTCTCGCCCAGCCTCCTCTATAATCATCTATATCATTGTATAAGACGCTCAAGTGGCAAAGGCCTGCTGCAGTTACCAAGCTGCACATTAATGTGGTTGAAAAATTGGCCTTTAGTTCCACTGTTTGTGTGTTTTGGTGACAGGTGGATACATTTAAACAAAAAAAAACAAAAAACAGATGCTTTGGTATTTGCCCTCCGTTTTCAAGGTGATGTCTCTGTGGGTGACACAGCCAGACCAAGGAGCCATGATGGATCTCGACGCTGTGACGCGTTCCTGAAACTCTCCAGTACAAGTTACTTGCACATCCCCAAACGAAAAAAAGATTAACTTTAAACGTATTACCCCCGCCAACCCCTCCCTACTCTCCCCGAACAACTGCAGGTCGACACACTAGTGTATGTTGTGATTTAAAAAGAAAAATCAAGCTTTTGAGATCACCGGGTTTTCATTTCGAGAACAGCGCTTTGGTATACGCGAGCGTTACGGATCCCGCGCAGGTTTCCGATGGGTGTGCACAAAAGCCGGAGCGATGGACAGAACTGTGTGTAATCTTTTCTTATTTCCAAAAAAGCCTTATTGTTATTGTAACATTACGAAAACATTAATGTTGTATTATGACGACTTATTTTACACTACATAGTTGACTTTTTATTATGTTTTTGGTTGTTTTGTTTTTTTCAGTTTAGTTTTCTAACAGATGTTGTATCATTTTTTAAAATTAGCAGGAAAAGAGAAAAGCTTATCTGTTCATATTATGTTTAAAGACATTCTATTTTTTCACTGTAGAAATGTTAAGTATAACATGGCTGTGTGCTTGTGCGCATACATGTATGCATTCATGTGTACTGCGCACTCACACATTCATATATATTTAAATGCAGAATATGAAGATATATCCAAACCTTAGTATGAATTATATGTTTCTCCTCATCATCTTTTTTGTTTTTTAAACATGTCAGTTCTCATGCTTGAAAATATGATTTTATTTCATTTTGTTTTTCTTTGTGTGTGTGGTTTTTTTTAATATATACATACATATATATATATATATAAATATATAATCTTAGAGACCTTGTGTGTTTCTTAATGGAAGCTGAGGGAAGCACTATGCCTGAATCCTCTGCCTCCACTCACCATTGCTCTTCTACCTGAGGGTAGAACCTGTGCCGATGAGGAGATGCCATTTTTTATTTCTATTTTTTACTTTTTTGTCGTTTTTTCTTTTTCTTTTGAGCAACTGTTGATGAAGCGATCTACAAAATATCAATCAAATATTTCAAAACTGACGATTTTTTTCTTACCTATATAGGACCAACTTGACGAACTGTATCTTGTATGATCATGGTCAGGCTATGACCCTCGCAGTTTAAGAAAATCCTCTTCAAGTTCTCTTTTCTTTTTTAAATTTTTCAGACATAATGTGGCCATTCATTTTGTTAGATATCCACTATGATCTAGAGTATACCTGTAAATAAACAAATATATAGATTATATGTATTTGTATCATTTGACCTTCAAGATCTCATACTTTAGGTGGGGACAGAAATACAAAAATCAAAGTCCTTCTCACATCCTGGTGGTTGTAGAGCCTGCTTTCTGAAACCTCTCTTCTCCAGTCCTTCCTCCCTGGTCTTTAATTACCACTCACTTTTCTTCTGACTTTAATTTCCCCTGCTAGCATTTGAAATGGGAAACATGCCAGCCTCTGTTCTCATACCTATAGCCTCAAACAGAGCACGAAATCAGCACCAGTGATCTGCTGGTATAATTTGACCAAGCCTGGGAGGTTAGTTCTTTCTGTCAACTATTTGAATTGCTAATCAATCATTATTTCAAGGACCTGTTACATTCTTATTCTAGGTGTAAGACAGAGTGGAGCAACTAAAGGGTGTTTTTGAAAAAGAAATATTGTCTTAAAATAATTCTCAAACAAAGGATTAATCACAAAGGTGTAAATTCTTAAAGCCACAGCTACGGTAAAAACGCTGGAGGCATCCTTCATTCCTTAACACTTTCCACAAAACCCCCAGAAGATGTGCAACTGTTTAACTCCCTAAAATGCCAAGGTGTTAATCCATAAATATATCATTAGCTGAGGAGCAAATACAGCTATGTTAAAGGCCAGACATGGTTCAGTTCCAACATGACACGTTGATTTATTGTCTCCCCGGTGCATTTTTTTTAAGCCTGGAACAGAACCATACTGCTTTTTTCTTTGGTTTTTGTTTTTGTCTTTGACCATGCTTCATTTTGGGATGCAGAAAGAAATCAGGACTCAGTGAAAGATAGCAGAGTGATGCAACCAAGGAAAGACTGAGACAACCAAAAACGTGCTGCAAATTCACATTTCCAGCATGTCATTTCTGAACAGTGGGAACCTTGAGATGTTTCATAATGAACTCAAAGCCTAAGATGAAAGACTCTGGAATTCAGTGAGGCTGATGAGAAAGGGCCCAGGCCAAAACTGAAACCATGGAAGTCTTTCAAAGCTTGTGCAATGTGTTACGTTTTTTTTTTTTTTGACTTAATGTGAAGATGTTAGGCTTTTGAAAACAAACCGCCAAATTTGCAGGAGTATGTTGAATATTTCAGGGGAAGAGGGGAAATAACAAAAGATGAACCCTAACTTAATCAATTAATCAAAATAACAGAACGTATACAGTACGACAAATTGGAAAAAATAAAAAACAACCCAAATTCAGAAAAATACTTTTTTTGTATGAGGGCCAAGTGCTATCACTTTCAAACTGTTACTTCTAACTGAAACAATAATTGGTTTAAAGCCACTGTGTATGTAGATATGTTGACTTTGTATTAAAGAAATGTTGTCTGAAAATCATTTTGCATGTGTTTCTTGCTGGTAAGATTGGTTACAGCATGGATATCTCTCCTCCTGTCTGATTGTCTGCCTACAGTATTTCCCCATCTGTTAATATGCAAATTTCTGGTGAGAGTTATTTAGCTATGATACTTGAAGTACATCAGCACTTACTTTGCGCATCATACATCAGACTGGAACTTGCACTGAAAAAAAATCTGTTCTATAGGACGAGTGATGAAACTCACAGATGGTGCGCATCGTTTGTTGATAGATGGCTTGATTAGCTTCCTCCTATATTTATCCACCAGCCTCTCTGCAAACACATCCCAGTGTGTCCTTAAGCTCCTCTTCAAGCTTGATAAATGCCATGCAGACAGGCTGATATTGGTGCAGAGGTAAACCCTTACCTAGTGGTATTTACTCTCTAATCTGTCCTCTTTGGGTATCGGCTAACCTCGAAGTGATGCTTCTGGAAATCAAAGGGTGTGTTGGTCCCAGACCTGACTGTGTTTGCCTTAAAGATATTGCTTTAGATTACAACCTGCAAATTGCAGCATGTGCTTATTTGGTATTTGCACGGTATCCCTAAAATATTTGTAACAATAACTCTAGCGAGACAAAAAAGGGAAGAACAAAGAGGTTGGGGAATGAGGGGGTAGCTAGGATTCATTTTTCAACATTTTTTCTCATTTTGTTTTTGTTTTTTAATCTTTTTTTTTCCCTGAGGAGTAGGAATGACGAATCTCAGAGGTAATGGGAGTGAATTAGTTGCAAATTCTACAGGATGCCATGTGTAGTGTGTATTTTATTTTATATATATGATGAATTTCAGAAGCAGTAGCATGCACAGTGTATAGTCATCTGCATTTTTTGTGCATTAAAGCAATCTCTAATGACTTTTTCAAGATAACGATACTGTAAATATTTAGAATACATAAACTGTATTTATATTTTAATTTTATACTTTATATTTTAAGCCTTGTATATATTCCTTTGTGTCCACCTGTAACTAGAAATGTGTTGGTTGTTGGGTTTTTTACACTGAGCTATAGATCTAAACTTCAATGAGTTTACAACTGTGAGCTATCAGAGTGTTTCAAATTGGCAAAAATCTGCCTCTCCTAAGACTTTGCTCTTCACGCCATGTTGGATTCACCTGTAAATTAGATGCCGCTGCATCATCATCTCACCCTGTGACAGCCACTAAAGCATTGTCATTTATTAAATGGTAATGTACGCAGATTGACAACCCGCTTCAAGGATGATGTTACTAATTGTGCGCCGGAAGAGCTGCTGCAGTCCATCCCTTTCTAATAGTGGCGAGCCAGCAGACCAAGTGTGAGGGTAGGCAAGGAAGTGAATTAGGGTGGCGATTATGCAGTGATTCAGACAGCAGCTCATTAGGACCCAGCTAAGCAAGCAATCAACGAATCGATGTGACAGTGGACCCAAAAGCCACAGAAATTTGTAATAAATGGCAAAGCGATAAATTGGATTATCCACAGCCCCGTGGCCAAGCTCTTTCTGTTGCAAATGACAAATCAATCCAATCATGCCACGAAAAAAGCTAAAGAACCACAAAAACGGGAGGGAGGGCCTCGAGTTGCACCGGCTGTGGAGGTTATCTGTCTGTCAGATGCGTCTTGTTAAGGTTGTAGTTTTCCAGAGGTCATTTCTGTGTGATATTCAGGGCTCTAAAAAATTCATGGCCAGCCATTAGGTGTTTATGACCACCTTTTATAACTGGAGATTTAGTGACATTTGAATTCGTGCCAGAGCAGTAAAGGTGTCAGAGGGCTGCCATGCCACATGCCTGCTGAACCAACAGGACGAAGGCAGAGCTGCTTTCAGATGTTAAGGATGTAAAAGAGCAGAAAAGGAGAAATAATTAATAAAAATGAGGCAGCAGCAGGATCCCGTCTTAACTCTGTTTCATTTCTTGTATTGTAAGCACAAGAGATGGATCTGCTCCATCAACCTGTCAAATCATCACCGCTGAATGCCACGACCATGACTGGAGTGCTGGATGAAGAAACACTGACATGACATTGATGGACAAAGATGAGCAGATAGATGAGTTATAAACATTAAACCTGTTCAAACATGTCAGCACACAGCTGGCACCAGTTTCATGGAAAGATACGAAAACATCACACGTCAAATATTGTATTAAATAAACCAGTATTTTTGTCAAAGGACTTTGCTGCCATCTGCAGGATAATATAAGATGGCACCATCTGGATAACACTAAAGAGCTGTTTCCATTCAATTAAATCAGAGATCCACATTGATAGATGGTGGATTGGAATGTATTGTCCTCTCCAGAGGCTTTCTCTATGGCATAGAGAAAGCCTAGAAAGGTCTAGTTAGCATAGACTCTATGCTAACTAGACCATTATGAGCTGCTGCTTAGAAATAACTTTCTCTATTTTAAATGCATCTACATGTGGGATCCGTGCATTCATACAAATACTAACAGTTTTAGTTCCATATATAGTATTCTACCATGCAGCAAGATCGTTATACACCTGAAACACAAAAAGTCTGGAGTGCGAATTGAGCAGGGACCCCCGTGCACAAGCGCTCATACTCGGCGCCCTTCCTGTTAAAAGTGTGTTTGAGCGTCTGCCAGCAGTAAACGGTGGCATTTCAAAATTGTGGTGCGACATGACTCCTGTGTTTATGGCCTCGTGCTGTTATTTCCTATAATCTGTCTTACGTTCCCTGGTTCCTTTCTGCCTCTCTGTGTGCAGGCAGGGCTCTTCCACTGACTGATTGCTGCTATTAAAAAAGCAAGCAGCGGGGATACTGTCTTGGTTTCCTTCTTCCTTTTGCAGTTTTATTTCTCAGTCTCATCCACCAGTTCTATTTTGTCATCTCGCTACACTCTTAGGTCTCAACATTCATCTGCTATTCCAATTTTATTTTAAAACAGTGGCCCCTGGCCTTGCCTAATGGCCTGTCCAAGCTTGTTGGGGGAACCTTTTATCTTTGAAAGCTATTTGATTTTTAACTTTGAATAAAATATCAAGGTTGATCATTAGTGAATGTCCTAACTCATTTAAAATATCACATTTTGTTTCCAGTTGATGAAGTCCCACAAAAAAGAGAAATAATAACTATATTGGACCCCGCCAGACGAGACTAATTTAAAAAAAAACTGGCAGCAATAGGATTGCTTGTTTTCCATTTTAATTGGCCGATAAAAAAAAAGACATTTTTTTGATTCCAAAAAGACTGATTGGTTTTCACAAAATAGCAGTTTGAATCCATTTGATGGCATGCTTGAATCCCAGCATCCCAGTTTGCTCAGTTAGAGAAGTATGATTTAAACCTTGTTTCTTAATTCAGCGTTCTGGAAAAGGTTGAGAAGCCTGGTTTCAAAACATATTTGAAAAGCAAACAAAAAAGCTAAACTTTCTCATAAATATTGCACACAGAACAGCACATCCTCTTTCAAATTTTGCTTCTTGGATCTGGGATGATTCTTAAATGGGGCATTTAATCCAGTGTACACAATGGGAAGTGGCTTTGGCACAGCGTCTAAACAGAAAGTCACATATTTCTTCTTGGATTTTTTTTCCAAAATATACCCAAACAAGGACAAGGAATGTCTCTGGTATAAATTTGTGATAGGTCATCATTTGGTGCTGACTTTGAAATACTTCTTTGAAAACTTCAAGAGCAGTAAACATGAGAATCTTCCAACTTTGCCTCGTGTCTGCTTTCCTAACAATGTTTCTAAAAACTCATTTGGACTCTGGTCTCAAATGTCAGCTAAAGCACTCAGTTCAAAATATGCTCAGTACTGTGGAGACAGATAATGGTTCTGTAATGGGAAACACAACATAAGAATGATGGCTTCCAGAAAAAAACAAAACAAGCATTCTGCGGTGCTCTACAGTGAATTTTCCATTAATGATTAAGGACACATGAAACCGTCTGCAATGGAACCATTAAAGCTTCCTTGTAAACATGTCCATCTGAACATAATAAACTTACATTCCAGCAGAGTGAGAGGCAGAGAAAATGAGTTCAGGATGAAAAATGAAGATGTGTTACAATTGTAGTTCGAGGAATACAGGCGGGAACTTCTAGCCGAGCTCTACGAGTTGGACTTCTCATCCGAGTGAATCTCAAATTTGCATAACGTAATCACTCAGCCGTCCCAGTCTGGCCCACAAATATGAGCACCGATAAAAAGAGGGCGTTCACTAACCACTGCATCGACTGAAGTTCACCACATAATGACAGGGCGCACCGCCTGTGTCTTTTATGTCATCATTATAGGTTTAGAGTAAGTCGGTATGTTTGCTACCGCTGATGCTAAAAGCTTAGGTCTCATATAATTCGGTGTCCATCCTCTGACCCTGCTAGTGTGGTAATTAACATAAAAGGTGGTGCACGGTTTCATTGCATGAAAGTGCTTCCTGTTTGGGGCTGAATTCTTTAAGTAGTCTTCAATAGTTCCCCAGGCTTCTTGAAGGACATTCAAAGCTCTTGTTCTGTATTTGGCTGCCTCTGATAGATGACGATCTCACACTGCTTCAGTGTTAAGGTCGAGGCTCCGGGGAGACCAAACCAAGACTGATAGTGTTCAATTGTGTCTATTTCTATCCAGGTATTCTTTAACTGCACTGTCAGTGTGTTTGGGATCAGCCCCACACCATGGCAGAGCTTCACTGTGTTTTACAGATGGCTGTAGACGCTCACTGCTGTACTTCATTCCTGACCTCCTCCATACAGCACACAGTGGTGATGATTTATACTCCATAAGCTTTGTTGGCACTAGTTTTCTGTCTGCTTTAGTCATATCTCAGCTTTTTCTCTTCCTTAAGAACGGCTTCTTGACAGCCACCCATCCACTGAGACCATTTTTGATGATACTTCAGTGAGCAATCAACTGAAGAGTCAGATGCATCTCTCAGGGCCTGAGTCAGTTCTTTGCTGGATTTTTTTTTTTCAGACTTGGAGGACATGACTTTTAGGGACCGTTCCTGTGCTGTGGATAGTTT